TTTAAACTCCCTACTACAAAAAGTGTTGTTAATACAGTCCCTTTGCCATTTGTATGTGATTATTGACCTTCATTTGATCTTTATGATAAGATGTAAATATATCATTCGCTATTAATTTTATTTTTTTCCTTTTAGTTAAATGTTTAGCTCACCTGGCCTTTGTTTTGTTTAACCTCACATGACTTCAATCATTGATGGGCTATAAAAAAGAAACATAACAATGTCTATCTCTTTTTGTCTCACCCGCTAACCAGTAAATTTCCCCAGAGATAATAATGACAATGGGATGGCTTATTTAGTTAGAAAAGACAATGGGAAGGCTTATTAGGTAAAAATGACAATGGGGTGTGGCTTATTTAGTTTACATACACAGATATATAACAGAAAACTTCCATCAGAAATATATCTCTGATGTAGTTGTCTCCCTTTGTAATATAGCTCTGATGTAGTTGTCTCCCTTTGTACCTTGATATTAATAGAATTTCATTCTCATGATTACAAATACAAATATCAACCATATTGTATCTGAGTATTCCATAAACATCCTAAACATTACATTTATCTTGTAATTGAGCATGTTACTATCCATTGTATTTAACACAGACATCTTACAATGTTTACCTTACTTATATCATAATATTGTGTAAAACTAACAACTAACATTGTCAACACTAACATCATGATGGCGTATGCTGTATAGTGCTTATATTTTTGTGGACGTATTATTTGTGGCTTGAAAAAAATGCAAAATTTAAACCTCACCAATAAGTTATGTTAGAGAGCTGGGGCTCCACAATGTTTATAATGAATCGTTGATCATTTAGGAAATATGATATTAAAACTATACAGATTATGCTCTTGTTTTAAATTATATTTCAATGCTACAATTAAAACTAACTGAAGTTTATAATCTCCAGCTATATCATTAAGAAAATAGTTGACTATTGAGAGATTACCTTTACGACTGTTTCTGATTGTTGACTTTTGAGAGATTACCTTCACGACTGTATCTGATTGTTGACTATTGAGAGATTACCTTCGCGACTGTTTCTGATTGTTGACTATTGAGAGATTACCTTCACGACGGTTTCTGATAGTTGACTATTGAGAGATTACGTTCACGACGGTTTCTGATTGTTGACTATTAAGAGATTACCTTTATGACTGTTTCTGATTGTTGACTATTGAGAGATTACCTTCACGACTGTTTCTGATTGTTGACTATTAAGAGATTACCTTCACGACAGTTTCTGATTGTAGCAATGGAATTCTTAATAGTGTCTAGATTTGCATGCTGGGTACTGGTATTTCTTTGCTTTTGCTTTATTTAGATGTCTTTTTCTGGTAATGCTGTTGATCAGATTACCTCTGTAGTGATTAGCTAGAGACATCTTATGCTCTCTACATAGTCAGGCTGGAACTGTCTGTGTTAGAAATAGCGTTTGTTTAGACTGGTCCAGTGTGTGTTGTGTGGGTAGGGGACTCTGTAGCTTGTGAGTGAATTGTCTTAGAGAGATTCCCAAAACTCAATTTTGGGGTACATTATGTTTGGTTCTCTGTTAGCCATGATTCCCCGACCTTGTTGATTATCACAAATTAATCCTCAAGGTCAAAATATTTAGTTAATTGCTCAAAAAATGAAATAATTATAGAATATAACTTCATTGCTAAAGACAGTACATCAGTATAGTATAGATTAAATGTAAGTAAATAGTCACCTGGCCTACACAGTGACTGCAGGAAATCACCCAAGTCTTTGACTGAACAGACGGAGACTTGGACAGACTGCTGAAATCACCCAAGTAATTGACTGAACAGACGGATGCTTGGACAGACTGCTGAAATCACCCAAGTCATTGACTGAACAGATGGATGCTTGGAAAGACTGCTGAACAAGTCATTGACTGAACAGACGGATGCTTGGAAAGACTGCTGAACTAGTCATTGACTGAACAGACGGAGACTTGGACAGACTGCTGAAATCACGCAAGTCATTGACTGAACAGACGGAGACTTGGACAGACTGCTGAAATCACCCACGTCATTGACTGAACAGATGGATGCTTGGACAGACTGCTGAACAAGTCATTGAATGAACAGACGGATGCTTGGAAAGACTTCTGAAATCACCCAAGTCATTGACTAAACAGACGGATGCTTGGACAGACTGCGGAAATCACCCAAGTAATTGACTGAACATATGGATGCTTGGACAGACTGCTGAACAAGACATTGACTGAACAGACGGATGCTTGGACAGACTGCTGAACAAGACATTGACTGAACAGACGGATGCTTGGACAGACTGCGGAAATCACCCAAGTAATTGACTGAACATATGGATGCTTGGACAGACTGCTGAAACCACCCAAGTCATTGACTGAACAGTCGGATGCTTGGATAGACTGCTGAAATCACCCAAGGAATTGACTGAACAGACGGATGCTTGGAAAGGCTGCTGAAATCACCCAAGTCATTGACTGAACAGACGGATGCTTGGATAGACTGCTGAAATCACCCAAGTAATTGACTGAACAGACGGATGCTTGGAAAGACTGCTGAAATCACCCAAGTCATTGACTGAACAGACGGAGACTTGGACAGACTGCTGAAATCAAATTACGATAATTGTAATATAAGTTGATTTGTACGTGGCTAGTTATTTTCATAATGTATAAATCAGTATTTATGAATGTCGAGATCTGCTATTTAAGATACAGGGTAGGGTTTAACTTGTTATCTTAAAATTGGGTTTCTGAATTCTGTAAAAATTGATTTTTTGACTCTCCAGAAATGGACTCCGTAATATATTGAGGAAGTCAGTAGTATAAGTACTTGATAGAGGTGCACTTTTAATTTAGTGATGCTGCGGTCCAAATTTTTAAGCTTGTGATTTATTGAAATCAGCAGTCAACCCATTGAGTCAGATGCTGCCACGTTGATCAAAGAAGTTTATTCTAAATTAAGCGTTTGAATTTCCTATTTGAGCAATTGACCAAATATTTATGGGATCACAGTAGTCGGGCGATAATCTCGAGTAAAAGTTACTCTGAATACGTCACCTGTTGTGGTTCTCATGACATGCCAGGTCTCAACATGTGGGGCCAAGTCTCATGGATTTTCACCTCTGAGAAGGTCTCACAGCATTGGACATAAGATCGTAAAATGTCCTCCAAACCCTTCATCACCTGTGTAATGCCAAAATCTGCTTCTTATTGTGAGATCAAAGTTAATTTAGAGGAATAAAATAGGGTTCTGTGAAAAATGCAAAAGAAAATATCTGAGTTATTTTTACCAAAACTCCATTAAAATGATTGTAAAGCTCACAGATTGGTCCCCAGGAAATTTTCCACAATATATGCACTAAGCTAAAAAAATCTCCTTCATCAGAATATTTTCAACATAAGAAAGGGTTTCATTAAGATTGAATTTTCATCAATCAACACATTTTTTCTGAACCAATTTTGATTTAAAAGTAAACTTATCCAGTAATGAATATTCATCATTATTTAATCTTCATCCAATCAACATGTTCATGTTGTAACCATCATCAGTGTTAATTGTCATCGAGGTTTAATCTTCATCAAATTAAATTCTACAGTCATTGTATATCATGATAGACACCCAAATCATTTTCTTAATCTTAATCATATTGAATTTTCCAACTTACCAACACTTTTTTTCTTCACACAATTTATTTTTCCAGTTATAATTTTAAAAAATTCAAATTAGTATACATGTATTAATATTTTGTATTCCTCAAAATCATATTTTAAATCAATTCCTTTAAATTATTTTCATATGTGTAAAATGTGTTAATTTTTGTTACCTCTACATATTTAAGTTTATTGTTTAATTTTGGCTAAATATAACAGCAATGTATTGTAGACTAAATCATATATCATAAAGCCACCATTTTATTTCTATATTTAGCCTGTAGTTTACACAGCTTGTGATGTCATGCATGTGCTTACATCTAACTTGGTTTCAGGCTCTTGCCAGTAAGATTAAAACGCATCAAGCTAAGGTAAATGACATTAATGAAAAACGTCGTGCACTCAACGAGAGAAGCCTTTTGATTGGCCCAGACGCTGCAGAAAAACTGTGTGAGCTTGGATATTACCCATCAACACTTTCGTCACTCAAAGTTTCCGTTCGGCCAGAATCCACAGCTCATGACAGTGGTGTTTCAATGTCACCGCTCACATCTCATGATGCTACCCCACAGACATTTTCGGATGTTGATTTTTCTAACTCCACTCAAAGATCGGGACGTTCTGGCAGAGATAAATTTAGTCCCATGTCAGGTGACCGACCTTATATGGAGAGTACAAACAGTCTCTCGGCACGTTCAGATGACACAGATGTACTTCTATATGAAAGTCTGGAACCATTGTATGTACCACAAGTGCACTCTGGCCGTCGGGCAAAATCACCTGGGCCACATCATGAAATGAAACTAGATTTATCGTATTGGTCAAAATCTGGTCACCATGATGATCCGGACCAAACAGCTAGTGGTAGTAGTGTCCGTTCAACTGACCGCCGATCTTCCCCCTGGAGGGAACGGTCATCTTCCCCCTCCCCCCGGAGGGTAACATCCCAACCCTCTGAGAATAGGTATAACCAGCGGTACCGACCGTTGTCCATGCGCTCCCTTTCCCCCACCTCCAGCATGCAGGCTAGTTCCAGGGAGTGGAAGAGACCCAAGTTAATCCCTCTGGTTCCGTACTCAGAAATGGTAATTATTTGTAGACTTCGTCCGATGTGTATAAGTAATGTGTTGTAAAATATCAGTCACATTCCAGTTTTCTGATGTGTATCAGTAATCTGTCGTAATTTAAGATATTAAACACAACCCAGTATATCAGTCTATATATGTATATACCTACTGTTTAAATGAGATTCCAAATTTTTATAAAGTTACCATAAATGATGTACATAATACTACGTGGCATCTTCTTATGTTTCAGTCAATGAAATCTCAAAAATATTCTAAAATATGCTGTTCTTTGGTAATTACCACAAATGTTGTATAATGCTGTTTTCTGTTGGTGTTGCATGATGTTTTTCATGGACCCTTATCTCTTCTGTCTTGGCCCCTATTTGACCTGTCTATGTTAACATTTTATCATTTTGCGGTAGGGATCATTGCATGACCTTGAAGTAGGTTTGTGTGTTTCGGTGTCAGTAGAATTGTGTCTGTACTGTGCTTTTGTGTTACAATGGCTGTTTGGGGTATGAGCTAGGACTTGCATGTTGTCTGTAATTTGTGAATTGGTGTTGATTTAGTAACAAACTGTGTGTATAAAATCTGGGTAAAAGCTACAAAACATGTAAGGCCTCATGTAGGAAAATATTCAACTATACTAAAATGTATTTATTCTTGATAATGATCATTTACTGATTTTTCCAATAAGGTTTTAAATTCAAAGCTAATGTCAAGACTAGTCTTACATTATTTTTCTGAAATAGATGAATGGGTTTTTTTTTCTTAAAAAAAAAGGATATTGCAAACAAACATGACGTTTTCTGTAGGGTAACTTCGGGACCATTTCAGGAGAAATAGGTGTTGTTTGTAGCTTGTACCTAGGTTTTGCTTATGATTGCTGTGAGGTAAGCTTGTAATAAACAACAAGAGTTTGACCTCTGACCTTTGTTCCTAACGCTTACCAGGATATATCTGCCAGTGTGCCAAACTTACTACAGACATCAGAGCTAGAGCCTCGAGAGAGAAGTGCATCTTTTGGATCAAAACTCTCTCGTCCCAAGCCCCCACAACGTCCACTTGGCCACAGTGGCCAGGACACGCGCCTAGCTCAGCTCAACCAATCATGGAACTGTTTACAGCAGCAGGTAGGCTCATGATAATCACTTTAACTAATGATAAATCTGTCAACAACTCATGGTAGGAAAACATTTCAGGTGTATTTCACACGCTTCTATTCTGACACAAACATTCCCCATTTTGTTCACCCCTGCATGTCTATGTACAGGAAATGTTTCTACAAATTATGGCCTCTTGCTCAATGCTACTTTCTTTCATTATATGAAAATCATTTATTAAAATAATTAATAACATTACAAATTTTATAGTGCCATTCATTTCACATTTAGCAAGAATAGGCTGCAGCCAGAATTTGTTGTCAAAGCAAAAAGGAGATTATAGCGTAACAGAATTAATGTGATGTTCATTTCATTCTGAATGTCCTAGTTATATAAGTATTTCCGTTGTTTAAGCTTTAATATTTATGAAACAGAAACAAGTAGCTGTCCACTACATGACCCATAGTTATCATCAATCAGGAAATTTATCATCATTTCCTCCAAATTGTAGCAAGACCGCTAGGAAAGCTAACATCAAAACACCAACATCAATTACCAATGTTTAAGCCAAAAATCAGTGTCAGTTATCAAACAGTTAGCCAGAAAACAATATCAATTAGGTATAGCCAAAACACCAACATCAATTACCTATGTTTAAGCCAAAAATCAGTGTCTGCAGTTATCGTACAGTTAGCCAGAAAACAATATCAATTAGGTATAGCCAAAACACCAACATCAATTACCAATGTTTAAGCCAAATATCAGTGTCAGTTATCATACAGTTAGCCAGAAACCAACATCAATTAGGTGTAGCCAAAACACCAACATCAATTACCAATGATTAAGCCAAAAATCAGTGTCAGCTATCATACAGTTAGCCAGAAAACAACATCAATTAGGTATAGCCAAAACACCAACAGCAATTTCCAATGTTTAAGCCAAAAATCAGTGTCAGTTATCATACAGTTAGCCAGAAACCAACATCAATTAGGTATAGCCAAAACACCAACATCAATTACCTATGTTTAAGCCAAACATCAGTGTCAGTTATCGTACAGTTAGCCAGAAAACAATATCAATTAGGTATAGCCAAAACATCAACATCAATAATGTTTAACCAAAAACAGAAAATTCAGATTGTACCTTAAAGTTTACAAACTAGATCTTCATACTTGCCAACCTTTTTAAAATTTCCGTGGGGGAGATTCTGTATGTTCAAAGTTAAAAATTAAACATCAATAAAATGTGTATGTACCCTTAGGAACACAATAACATCTGTTGAGTTTTTTCTTTCGGATGAAATCATTAGATCTTAGACTATAGAAATAGTTGAGCAGATGATTGGAAGTGTTAGATTTCAGGGTCCTAAAACAGGAGAGTTGGCAAGTAGAGATCTTTTAAAGATTCCTACTTCATGCTTAGAAAATTAAACAAAAGCAAAAAGACATGAATGTGTCATTGTACATACCAGTAAGTGCAGACAATAATTTACCTGTGACGACTTTAGAATTATTTACACCTGTGTATCCCATTGTCATTATATACACATCTAAGTGTACCAATAAATGGTTGTTTGACTGATACTTGTTGAAAACTATTTTTTGTTGAAGTTTTTATGCTAAATTTGAAGGTTTTGCAGGTTTTTCACACTAACCGTGCATTTTTGCGGAGGTTTGTTTTGTGTAACATTGTGTGTTATTTTAGAAACCAATGTAACATTGTGATAAATGCGATTCAGCAGTTAATCTGAAATACAGTCTTTATTAGATACTTTTCACTAATTATATGATAATTAACATTAAAAAAACCTCCTCCTGGCCATACTTTTACAAAATCTCCAAAACCTGGCCATACTTTACAAAATCTCAAAAACCTGGCCATACTTTATAATATTTTCAAAAACCTGGCCATACATTATAAAACCTCCAAAACCTGGCCATACTTTATAAAATCTCCAAAACCTGGCCATACATTATACCTGACCATACTTTATACCTGACCATACTTTATAAAACCTCCAAATCCTGGCTTTACTTTATATAACCTCCAAATCCTGGCCAAAATGTTGATTTTTTTTATAATGCAAAAAAGAAATTCATTGGGTTCATGTATTATATATGTTGCTATAGAACTGATCTCCGATCTCTCTAAAAACATAATCATATACCCTAGGTATGTGACCGTTGTTTTATGTCAGGTTGGCTATTTTTTACAATTATCTGGAATACTTTCAGTATCAGTCAATACTTTATTGATTTTATTTGATGGTTGTAGTTAATTATTTAACATTAGCCTTTGATATTTGTTTTCATCTCCTTCAGCTTTCACTTCTACCTGGCAGTCTACGTGTATATATATATATGTAGCGTTGATATCTATAATATATGATAGACCAGTATCAGTAGGATATGGTTGATAATGTTCGGAATGTCATTATTTTATTGATGTTTTCTGATATTTTTGTTCAGATGCTACAATCTCGGTTCTTAGAATTTTCATTAAATACAAAAATATTTACACAAAAACATTGTATACAAAAATAACAGCTGAAAAATTCAGTGATAAGTCCATATTGTAGTATGTTTTCAGGTGTTTTAATAAGTAATTAAGAATTCAAAATGTGTTGACATCTACCACCTATACTAGATATAGAGACTAAGGTCTATTGGGAATTACCGATAAATTTGTCGTGTTGTGGGTATATAACGCTGTCCCAGCATGAACATGCTTCACCTGTGGTGTAGTATTTGGACAGAATTTCCAATGAGCCAATCACACCATTGAATGGATAGTATAACTAGCATGATCGTAAAAGAGACAGAAATTTCCATGGCTCTGTGGTTGGGACTCTTTAATTAGTAAGAATTATTGGCTGATCCATGCTCTGAATAGTTAACCAATTTCCATTTCCAAGCAGATTTGTGACAAACAGTTTCCATAAATATACTTGTTATGTTGTTTGGAGTTATGCTGAGATAAGATTTTAGGCCTGGAGAGTTCAAAGACATGACCAAGTTGGATAGATTTGAATTAATAGACCAATATATCTGTGAGATGTAGAAAAGGTGTATGGTGTTATAAAGATCACAAGGGCGGAATGAGGGGGACTTTCGACATCTAGAGCCTTTGAGAGTTTCACCAGATGTGGATGTGTATATTTTTACCTGGTGTGTGATTGGAAAACACATATGTTTTCAACATTTTCATCTTGTCACTGGTGTAACTGCAGGTGTGTGAGGAAGGCGAGGTTGGTTGTCTCTGTCATAAGACTGGTGTATGTGTGTATAACAGTTACCAGGTACTTTATAGGGTAACCTGTAGATGGAGACATAATCAGCAGGTTTTGGCCGGCAGCCATGGGTGTGTAAATATGTGTAGGCCTCCAAGTGTTTGCAGCCCTTTCGATACCTGATGACTTGACTATAATGCTACGAGATATGTATGACCGTGGATTACTCACTTATTAATCAGCTATGGCAATGATACAGCCACAATCATTTAGGCTGAGGTCAGCTCCACTGACCAACAAACCAGGGTCAACTTCACTGAATCCGACCAATCCAAACAAGATCGCTACTGCTAATTATCCAAACAAGTTCGCTAGTGTGATTAATTCTAACAAAGTTGCTGCTGCTAATTTTTCGAAACCTTTCTCCAAACAGCTTGGTGTGAGGGAACAGGAACTACAACATGCCCTCCACAAACAGGAGCGCTACCAGCAGTGTGTTCAGGACGTGACAACAAAGATGGAGCGGGCTCACTTGCGCCTCAATAAAGGTTTCCCCTCGAGCCTGACTGATCTGGACCGACAACTAAATGATTACAGGGTATTTATTGAACTTGCATGTGGTCAGTCTTACATGTTAATCAAGTTGTACTGGTTTTGGTCAGTCTAGTGCAGCCACTGATTGGTTCTGGTAAGTCTAGTGCAGCCACTGATTGGTTCTGGTCAGTCTCGTGCAGCCACTGATTGGTTTATTATGTGTCTGTTGTATCAATTAAATATCTGAGGCTATATTCATGGTTACACTATCAACAGACAGGCAGATTTACCTGGTATCAGTGATAAAGCCCAATCTTAAGTGTCATTTAGATTGTAAGGCAATGCTGTAAATTATATCTTACATACCATCTAATTCTAGTTGAAATATTTTAATGAAGTAGTATATGTTTACACAGCTGTCTCTATAGGCAGATGCTGCTGTAAAACATGTAGATGGGCCTCATGCAACCCAGAAAATGAACAAATAGTGTATGACTTGTTTAACTGACAGATTTTCTAGACTCTGTAGCAGGTGTTATTGTTAGATATTGAGACAGTCTTGAATAGCTATGTGTTAACAACAGGTTATAAAGTAGCAGACCAGAGGGTCTGTAAAGACAGGCTATAATGTTTCAGATGAGGGAGTCTGTTTAGACAAGTTTAACTGTAAAAAATGAGGAATCTGTTAAGACAGGTTAAAATGCAGATGATGGTGGGTTCTGTTTAGACAAGTTTTAATTTAGAAGACAAGGGTGTCTGTTTAGACAGGTTTTAGTTAAGAAGATAATGGGTTCTGTTAAGACAGGTTATATATTAGAAGATGATTGGTTCTGTTTAGACAGGTTTTAATTTAGAAGATAATGGTGTCTGTTAAGACAGGTTTTAATTTAGAAGATAAAGGATTCAGTTTAGACAGGTTTTAATTAAGAAGATGAAGGAGTCTGTTTAGACAGGTTTTAATTTAGAATACAATGGTGTCTGTTTAGACAGGTTCAAATTTAATAGTTGAGGGGGTAATTCTATCAAGTCTTTGTAGATAGGTTTTCTGTTCAGCGTACTTTCAAGCCTTTTTGTGACCTTGAGTTACTTGACACAATGTTGTATTGCCTTGATTGACTAGGAGTACAGAGATTTGATAACATCCAATTTCATTATCAACAAGAGTTAATGGGATTAAGATTGATATTATTTGGTATCACAGTACGTGAGGCTAATAAAAGGCATGGACCTAGTAACAAATGTATCCAGGTCTGTACTACAGAGATTGTGTCACTCACCCTATTCACCTACTACCATTTAAATCTTCTATTACACAATGAAATCATCAGCATTAGTTCTTTTAAAAATTATGAATCTGAAGGCCCATGCCCGTATTCCTCTGTTTATGGACAGACCATTTAACCTTCAAACTTGGATAGTGTATTGGAATGCTTGATGGTATTTAAATGGGTCTGCTCTGTGTTATTACCATGCAGACAACACCAGTACAATGTAATACTGAAGTGAAAGTCAAGTTCAAACCTGTACTATAAGTGGCACACTTTCTCCTTATGTGTTTTGATTGGTTGAATTCCTTACTAGCCAGTGTTAAGTGGAACTACAAATATGGACAAGGAGATAGGAGTACTTTGGGAGCTTTTTAAAACTACTTCATTAATACATTCAAGTTCTATGACATTCCTTACTTACTATTTTTCTTATTCTTTGAACATATTTAAATATAACATGCCTACATGTGTGTAAGCCTTGCCTTGGCATATTAAATACTACCAAAGCTTGTGACTGTATGGTTTTATTATCCCCCACTACAATATTAATGAGACAGGTGGTAATGCCCTCATCCGAGGTGCTGTCTGGAGCACCTCACCAACACTACTACACCAGCGATCATCAACCTTGATACACTAGTACCTCTGGGGAAGGTGGAGTGTCATATAAAAACATAGGTCACAATGACCTATATTTTGACCTTTGACCTCAATAGATCTTGAGGTACCACTTATTTCACCTGTGATCATTAAAGTTTGTTTTCTGATACATCTTGGAAATGTGAATTTGTAAATTGCACATTCTCAAGTTTCAGGAACCTATAACATTATGTGATACCAAACTTTATATATTCATAATCCTGAAATTAACTCTCAGAAGATTTTTTTCCAGTTGATGTTGAACTTGCTCCTAATACCATTATTCAATAAATATATTTTTCCTGTAACTAGAAATTGCTAAAATAAATATGTTGCTTCATGACATCAAAAACACAGTTCTTTATCACAAAGATATGTGATGCATTAGTTTGGGGTTTTGTTTGTCCAAAAAGCATTGCAAAATATTTTGGTAGTCATGGTAACAGCTAGTTTTGTGTTGTTGACAGGAAGTTCTACAAGACATTGAGGGTATCAAGGAGGATATCATACGGGTCAAGGAACGAGGACGACAGATTGTGGAAATATCAGATCCTGAAGGCTACAAGGCAATGCAGGCTACACTCACCATGCTTTCTGACAGGGTGGAAAGCCTACAAACCATGGCCGACAACAAGGGCCGACAACTCCAGGTATACTTGATTAGTGCTATACCTCAATACATTAAATAGCAGGGAAATATGACAAAGAATATATTGTTAATATTTTTCTACTGAAACTTGATCACATACAAGATTAAGACCTTTTTGTGATGCCGATCTGTTTGTGATTTAGTTGTAATGTTTGGCTATTGCAGACTGCTGTCAAAGACAAGGAAAAGCACAACATTTCACTGAATGCATACAAAAAACGAGTGAAAGAACTGGAGGACTGGCTGGATGAGATGAAGATCCGACAGTCAGCCACACCCCTGCCCTCGGATGCTGTTGACTCCCTCAAATACAACCTGCAGGAAAATCAGGTATACAGCTCTATATCTATGGTCTATTTAATATTAATCGAATCATTTTAGATCCCAAAAATTTCATTGGATGCCTAATTATTCAGATATAACCAACGACCAACAGGCTTTTGTGTGAAGTATTATGCTGTTTGATGGAGGTTTTGTTAGAAACTGTTCTATTTTCTGCTCACAGGACATGAAATGCCTATGAGTTTATTGTATAATGCAGCGTGTGTCCATCCCTCCTCCCTGTTTTTAAACATTTCTTACTGATAGCTGTCAAAGACCCAGAGTCCTAATATCTGGCCAGGAGGTACCTAGATTTGAGTGTCATAAAGTGTCCTGATATAAATTACCATTACCTACTTTCAAGGTCTTAGATGTCATATCAAATGTATTAAAATCTAGACTTATGATACTTGGGTGAGTCATGTAGGCTAACCGTGTAAATAATGTTATGCCCGGCCACTAAGTGATGCTGAGCATTGGGTGAGTCATGTAGGCCAGCCGGGTAAATAATGTTATGCCCCGCCACTAAGTGCTGCTGAGCATTGGGTGAGTCATGTAGGCTAGCCGTGTAAATAATGTTATGCCCGGCCACTAAGGGATGCTGAGCATTGGGTGAGTCATGTAGCCCAGCCGTGTAAATAATGTTAGGCCCCGCCACAAAGTGATGCTGAGCATTGGGTGGGTCATGTAGGCCAGCCGTGTAAATAATGTTATCCCCCGCCACTAAGTGATGCTGAGCATTGGGTGAGTCATGTAGGCTAACCGGGTAAATAATGTTATGCCCCGCCACAAAGGGATGCTGAGCATTGGGTGAGTCATGTAGGCTAGCCGTGTAAATAATGTTATGCCCGGCCACTAAGTGATGTTGAGCATTGGGTGAGTCATGTAGGCCAGCCGTGTAAATACTGTTATGCCCCGCCACAAAGTGATGCTGAGCATTGGGTGATATCCTTTTTGGTATGTACATGTTTTCCTTTCAGGTTTTACAGGATGAAATCAATGACAAACTTCAGATGATATCAGACCTTGCTGTACAGTGTGACAACCTCTGTGACATGGAAAGTCCAACCAATGCTGAGAAACTCAAATCTCAGCTGACTAATCTCCAGACTCAACTGGGAAATCTTAAACTAGCCTCGATAGAGAAACAGGCACCTCTGCGTTCGGCCATAAAGGAGAGTGAACGGAGAAAGAAAGAAATGGATGAATACGAAAATAACCTGAAGAAACTTCAGCAGTGGGTGACGGATACCAAACAGATGACATTGGCTCCCGTCCATGTAGAATCTCTCATCATTGGAGAGGACCAAATCAACCTACAACAGGTACTCTCCCCGAGGGTTTCAAACTACGTCTCCCCGAGGGTTTCAAACTGCGTCTCCCCAAGGGTTTCAAACTACGGCTCCCCGAGGGTTTCAAACTACGTCTCCCCGAGGGTTTCTAACTACGTCTCCCCTAGGGTTTCTAACTACGTCTCCCAGAGGGTTTCTAACTACGTCTCCCCGAGGGTTTCTAACTACGTCTCCCCGAGGGTTTCAAACTGTGTGTAATGTTACATTCATTTGATAGCTTTATTGTAAGGGACTAATCTTGAGTCTGACAAACGGCACTTACGACAAGGAAGTATTGGGATAACTCTTACATGTATTTTTTCACAAAAGTTGAGCCATTGAACGTGATGTAGATAGACATCTCAGCCGGAGGGTAAGATTTAAAGTGGTCAGCACAAGACTTTGCTGAACTTAAAAACCTTATCCCGAGGGTTGGAATTTATCTGTCAGCATCACACTGTAGGGGTTGAGTATTTCTCTCTCAAAACTTTCTTGCTGTCAAAATTAGATGTATAATGGTAAATCCAATGTTTTACACTATCATCAAACGCACATGGACAGTTTGTCATGATAATACACTGGTCAAACATGCACTAAGTGATGACACAATCACGGGTTCAGTAGGATGAGTGTGAACTGTCTGGTATTGACAGAGGTATTTTTAGAATAGCGAATACAAGAACATACCTATTTAGTTAGTGTAGGAGAAATTATATTGTCATGTTATGTTAAATTGGTTTTTTAATTTTTTTAATTTTTTTGATATTGCTTCATAGAAGCTGAAGTCAGACCTCCTTGAGCACCGCCAGTTGGTACAACAGATCTCAAGTGATGCTGCAGGACACGATGCTCGAGATGAGCCTCATCCTGATATCACCGCCATCAGCGAGGAGGACCTGAAACAGAGGTGGCAGGAGATCAGCTCAGAACTCGCTCACCGCAAACAGAGTCTTACAGACATGCTGTACAAGAAGGATGCTATGGTAACGTCTCTAGACTCATCCCTTTGTCATTGACAATCTTTCACTAATTATTTAGACATCTCTAGACTCATCCCTTTGTCATTGACAATCTTTCACTAATTATTTAGACGTCTCTAGACTCATCCCTTTGTCATTGACAATCTTTCACTAATTATTTAGACGTCTCTAGACTCATCCCTTTGTCATTGACAATCTTTCACTAATTATTTAGACGTCTCTAGACTCATCCCTTTGTCATTGACAATCTTTCACTAATTATTTAGACGTCTCTAGACTCATCCCTTTGTCATTGACAATCTTTCACTAATTATTTAGACGTCTCTAGACTCATCCCTTTGTCATTGACAATCTTTCACTAATTATTTAGACGTCTCTAGACTCATCCCTTTGTCATTGACAATCTTTCACTAATTATTTAGACGTCTCTAGACTCATCCCTTTGTCATTGACAATCTTTCACTAATTATTTAGACGTCTCTAGACTCATCCCTTTGTCATTGACAATCTTTCACTAATTATTTAGACGTCTCTAGACTCATCCCTTTGTCATTGACAATCTTTCACTAATTATTTAGACGTCTCTAGACTCATCCCTTTGTCATTGACAATCTTTCACTAATTATTTAGACGTCTCTAGACTCATCCCTTTGTCATTGACAATCTTTCACTAATTATTTAGACGTCTCTAGACTCATCCCTTTGTCATTGACAATCTTTCACTAATTATTTAGACGTCTCTAGACTCATCCCTTTGTCATTGACAATCTTTCACTAATTATTTAGACGTCCCTAGACTCATCCTTTTGTCATTTACAATCTTTCACTAATTATTTAGACAGTGCCTTTTACAATTTACATTCAAATTTCATGAAATTCAATTCATATAATCAACAATAAAATTTTAAGATTTGCATCTGCACTTACTTTTGAAATCTGTGTCTGTTTGTGTGAGCAATTCTCCTTTATAACAATCCTGCCTGGGTTACTATCATTTCATCCAAATTTTGTGGAAAAACACAGGTATATTCATTAAACTCTGAATTTGTACATTTGCACACATTTTTTTTATTGCTCTTTTTCCATGGGATTTTTTTATCCCTTTTGCAAAATCCGGAACGAAATCTATTTTACATAGACATTATGTCCAGAATTATGTTCATAAAACCTTTCTGCAGACTCAATTTAATTAAACTGTGCACTGCAATTGACTTTATTTTGGTAGTTTATATGGGAAGAGGTGGGTACTAGCCTGTGGCTGACAGTTCTAGTCTAACAAGTTCAGCTGTAGTATTTCAGAACATATCACAGAGACTTAGTGTTAAAGATCTTTTTATGTTAATGATGTGAAATAGCATAGTTTATTTATACATTGATATATCTTGTTTGGAATATATTTGATATGTTATGACAAACTTTACAGGATGGTGGGAGGGGCTACCCAGGCTGGCTGCCAGCCACCGATACCAGCGGTCAACTGAAGGATGTACGCCAGAGTCTGGCTGAGCTCAGCAACCTCTGGGGTCAGCTGCAGACTCAGGTTGAGGATCGACAGGTGCGCATTGACCGTGCCCTTGAGTTCCAGCAGAAGTACCAAGATTCCCTACAGAGCATATCATCCTGGCTTGACCTTGCAGAGCAGAAACTTTTCTCTCCAGACATAGACATGGACGCTGGCCAGCAGGTCCAGAAAAATGAGGTAATGTCACAGAAAGTAGGCTATCCAGAATGTCCATTGATAAGAGTAAAATGCAATTTCACTTGAAGTATCTCAAATTGTAATTGTACAAGAAAAATATATCTGTTACTACTCTTAAAGTTTGGACAGTTGGTTGGTGTGATAAGTTTTCAGCTGTCTGTATTGGAACCAGGTTAGTTAGTGGGATAAGTTTTCAGCTGTCTGTATTGGAACCAGGTTAGTTAGTGGGATAAGTTTTCAGCTGTCTGTATTGAAACCAGGTTAGTTAGTGAGATAAGTTTTCAGCTGTCTGTTTTGGAACCAGGTTAGTTAGTGGGATAAGTTTTCAGCTGTCTGTTTTGGAACCAGGTTAGTAAGTGGGATAAGTTTTCAGCTGTCTGTTTTGGAACCAGGTTAGTTAGTGAGATAAGTTTTCAGCTGTCTGTATTGGAACCAGGTTAGTAAGTGGGATAAGTTTTCAGCTGTCTGTTTTGGAACCAGGATAGTTAGTGGGATAAGTTTTCAGCTGTCTGTTTTGGAACCAGGTTAGTTAGTGAGATAAGTTTTCAGCTGTCTGTTTTGGAACCAGGTTAGTTAGTGAGATAAGTTTTCAGCTGTCTGTATTGGAACCAGGTTGGTTAGTGGGATAAGTTTTCAGCTGTCTGTATTGGAACCAGGTTGGATAGTGGGATAAGTTTTCAGCTGTCTGTATTGGAACCAGGTTAGTTAGTGGGATAAGTAAACCTATTTAGTCATAGCATGCTGGGGTGATGGATCCGTGAGTTTGATAACATAAATAACCTTGACCCCTAACCTTGTAACTTAATTCTGTTATGAAGTGTTGANGGGGGGTAGTAAAACAAGTTAAAAACAAAGATACATAAACTCTAGAGTAATAAAAACATAACAATAACATTTTAGCCTTTATAAATAAATATGACCTTGACCATCTTTAAAGGTCAAAGATACAACACGTGCGGCCCCATAAGTATTGATTTTATACTTGTATCAGCAAAATATATTGAAATGAAAATTAATGTGGTTTATTTTATCTATGGAAGCCTACTTTTATTTATTGGGTTATTTTTTATTGTAACAGGCCTTACAGCGAGAGATCCGGCTGCTTCAGAACGAGATTGGTCTGATGGGGCGTACATCCCAGGACCTACTCTCATCGGTCAACAAAGAAAGTCAGGGCCTTGTGGAGGATAGCCTTTCCAATCTCAACAGTCGTGTCCAGATCCTGGAGGAACAGGCTCGTAGCCAGGGTGACAAGCTCCGTCAGGTTGACAGGCAGGCGAAGCACTATCAGGTACACCAGACCGTCTATCTGTATTACCCACATCTCAGCAACAACTTCTTCATACAATTGGATCATAACTTAGTATCCAGGCCCTCTGGACCTCTTGTCTTACTTGACATATAATCACATTGTAAAATATAGTAGAAATTTAGTTTTTCAATACAAATTGCATCTTGGCTGTCGTTTAGATATTTGACCACTCTTTATATTTAAATATAAATTTTCTTTTTCTTTTTTGATTTACAGGATGATTTGAGAAATCTACAGAAAAAGCTGGCAGAGATACGCACTTCTATGGTGACATCTAGTCCTTCCACCTCCCTCAACCAGCTCATCTCAAACATGCAGGTAGTTTCTTAGTTATTAGCTAACCTGACTATTAGCTATCGCGGCACAAAGTGTCTGTTAGATTATGGTATGGTGCAGCGACTGTCATCTTTCCTCCTTTAACACTTTCTCACTGAAAACTGCAAGGCCCAGTAATGAGATATATTGGCAGTAAGTACCTGGGATAGAGTGTTATAAAGCTTTCTCACCTACTGTCAAGGTCAACTAGTACATATACATACAGATCTCAACCAGGCTGCTAACAACCTTGCATCAGAGAGATGGAGCCCAGAACAAATGACAATACTACCATTTTAATGAGAATACATTGAGATAATTGCTGGAATATATATATATCCAAGTGAGCGAAACGGGCCCTCTGGGCCTCTTGTTTTATTAGTTGTGACCTACTTGTTTACGTTTTTCTTACTCTTGTGTTTGCAGTCAAACAAATTTCTTGAAATATTTCTCTGGAATGAAATTTTAAATAAGATATGTTTAGATAAAGATTTCGCAATCTTACTGGTAGTATGAAACTTAAATGTAATTGGGTACTCTGAATTACCATGTGATGATTTATCCTACAGTAGAGATGTATTGTAGAAGTAAAGCAGTCACCGTGATTGTACAAAGCTATTTCTCATTGATATAGACGGCCGAGGCTTGCAGACAGATAATGGTAGGGTCAAGGTTGTGACTTGTGTACACACTTACAAGATGTTTTGATGTGATCTGCTGATGTATATCTATTTTATAAACCTGAATGCTCAGAAGGAAAACAAGATCCTTTGTTTCTTGCAATAATTTATTGGTCTTATTAACAGTTTAATGAAAAATTCTTTTTAAAAGATGATCACTTTGCAATATCTTCTTGTAATAAACACATGTGTGTGGATTCCCCTGTAATAAACACACATTTGAAATCCTCTCTGTAGCAAACACACGTGTGTGGAACCCACTCTGTAACAAAGACATGTGTGAAACCCTCTCTGTAGCAAACACACGTGTGTGGAACCCACTCTGTAACAAACACGTGTGTGTGGAACCGTCTCTGTAACAAAGAAATGTGTTAAACCCTCTCTGTAGCAAACACACATGTGTGGAACCCCTTCTGTTACAAACACACATGTGTGAAACCCACTCTGCAACAAACACATGTGTGTGGAACCATCTCTGTAACAAACACATGTGTGTGGAAGACTCTCTGTAACAAATACACATGTGTGGAACCGTCTCTGTAGCAAACACACATGTGTGGAACCCCTTCTGTTACAAACACACATGTGCGGAACCCACTCTGTAACAAACACATGTGTGTGGAACCATCTCTGTAACAAACACATGTGTGTGGAACCGTCTCTGTAACAAACACATGTGTGTGGAACTGTCTCTGTAACAAACACATGTGTGTGGAACCATCTCTGTAACAAACACATGTGTGTGGAAGCCTCTCTGTAACAAATACACATGTGTGGAACCATCTCTGTAACAAACACATGTGTGTGGAACCGTCTCTGTAACAAACACACATGTGTTTGGATTTGTGTGTGGAACCGTCTCTGTAACAAACACATGTGTGTGGAACCGTCTCTGTAACAAACACACATGCGTGGAACCGTCTCTGTAACAAACACACATGTGTGGAACCGTCTCTGTAACAAACACACATGTGTTTGGATTTGTGTGTGGAACTGTCTCTGTAACAAACACACATGTGTTTGGATTTGTGTGTGGAACCGTCTCTGTAACAAACACATGTGTGTGGAACCGTCTGTAACAAACACACTTGTGTTTGGATTTGTGTGTGGAACCATCTCTGTAACAAACACACATGTGTGGAACCGTCTCTGTAACAAACACACATGTGTGGAACCCACTCTGTAGCAAACACACATGTGTTTGGAACCCCTGGTGAACAGACTGGTGAGTGGTAAGGCCAGACTGGTGAGTGGTAAGGACAGACTTGTGAGTGGTAAGGACAGACTGGTGAGTGGTAAGGACAGACTGGTGAGTGGTAAGGACAGACTGGTGAGTGGTAAGGACAGACTGGTGAGTGGTAAGGACAGACTGGTGAGTGGTAAGGACAGACTGGTGAGTGGTAAGGACAGACTGGTGAGTGGTAAGGACAGACTGGTGAGTGGTAAGGACAGACTGGTGAGTGGTAAGGACAGACTGGTGAGTGGTAAGGACAGACTGGTGAGTGGTAAGGACAGACTTGTGAGTGGTAAGGACAGACTGGTGAGTGGTAAGGACAGACTGGTGAGTGGTAAGGACAGACTGGTGAGTGGTAAGGACAGACTTGTGAGTGGTAAGGACAGACTTGTGAGTGGTAAGGACAGACTGGTGAGTGGTAAGGACAGACTGGTGAGTGGTAAGGACAGACTGGTGAGTGGTAAGGACAGACTGGTGAGTGGTAAGGACAGACTGGTGAGTGGTAAGGACAGACTTGTGAGTGGTAAGGACAGACTGGTGAGTGGTAAGGACAGACTTGTGAGTGGTAAGGACAGACTGGTGAGTGGTAAGGACAGACTGGTGAGTGGTAAGGACAGACTGGTGAGTGGTAAGGACAGACTGGTGAGTGGTAAGGACAGACTGGTGAGTGGTAAGGACAGACTGGTGAGTGGTAAGGACAGACTGGTGAGTGGTAAGGACAGACTGGTGAGTGGTAAGGACAGACTGGTGAGTGGTAAGGACAGACTGGTGAGTGGTAAGGACAGACTGGTGAGTGGTAAGGACAGACTGGTGAGTGGTAAGGACAGACTTGTGAGTGGTAAGGACAGACTGGTGAGTGGTAAGGACAGACTGGTGAGTGGTAAGGACAGACTGGTGAGTGGTAAGGACAGACTTGTGAGTGGTAAGGACAGACTTGTGAGTGGTAAGGACAGACTGGTGAGTGGTAAGGACAGACTGGTGAGTGGTAAGGACAGACTGGTGAGTGGTAAGGACAGACTGGTGAGTGGTAAGGACAGACTGGTGAGTGGTAAGGACAGACTGGTGAGTGGTAAGGACAGACTGGTGAGTGGTAAGGACAGACTGGTGAGTGGTAAGGACAGACTTGTGAGTGGTAAGGACAGACTGGTGAGTGGTAAGGACAGACTTGTGAGTGGTAAGGACAGACTGGTGAGTGGTAAGGACAGACTGGTGAGTGGTAAGGACAGACTGGTGAGTGGTAAGGACAGACTGGTGAGTGGTAAGGACAGACTGGTGAGTGGTAAGGACAGACTGGTGAGTGGTAAGGACAGACTGGTGAGTGGTAAGGACAGACTGGTGAGTGGTAAGGACAGACTGGTGAGTGGTAAGGACAGACTTGTGAGTGGTAAGGACAGACTGGTGAGTGGTAAGGACAGACTTGTGAGTGGTAAGGACAGACTGGTGAGTGGTAAGGACAGACTTGTGAGTGGTAAGGACAGACTGGTGAGTGGTAAGGACAGACTTGTGAGTGGTAAGGACAGACTGGTGAGTGGTAAGGACAGACTTGTGAGTGGTAAGGACAGACTGGTGAGTGGTAAGGACAGACTTGTGAGTGGTAAGGACAGACTGGTGAGTGGTAAGGACAGACTTGTGAGTGGTAAGGACAGACTGGTGAGTGGTAAGGACAGACTTGTGAGTGGTAAGGACAGACTGGTGAGTGGTAAGGACAGACTTGTGAGTGGTAAGGACAGACTGGTGAGTGGTAAGGACAGACTTGTGAGTGGTAAGGACAGACTGGTGAGTGGTAAGGACAGACTTGTGAGTGGTAAGGACAGACTGGTGAGTGGTAAGGACAGACTTGTGAGTGGTAAGGACAGACTGGTGAGTGGTAAGGCCAGACTTGTGAGTGGTAAGGACAGACTGGTGAGTGGTAAGGACAGACTTGGGAGTGGTAAGGACAGACTGGTGAGTGGTAAGAACAGACTTGTGAGTGGTAAGGACAGACTGGTGAGTGGTTAGGCCAGACTGCTGAGTGGTTAGGCCAGACTGGTGAGTGGTAAGGACAGACTTGGGAGTGGTAAGGACAGACTTGTGAGTGGTAAGGACAGACTGGTGAGTGGTAAGAACAGACTGGTGAGTGGTAAGGACAGACTGGTGAGTGGTAAGAACAGACTTGTGAGTGGTTAGGCCAGACTGGTGAGTGGTTAGGCCAGACTGGTGAGTGGTAAGGCCAGACTGGTGAGTGGTAAGGCTAGACTTGTGAGTGGTAAGGGCAGACTGGTGAGTGGTAAGGCTAGACTTGTGAGTGGTAAGGACAGATTGGTGAGTGGTAAGGCTAGACTTGTGAGTGGTAAGGTTAGACTTGTGAGTTGTAAGGTCAGACTTGTGAGTGGTAAGGCCAGACTTGTGAGTGGTAAGGACAGACTGGTGAGTGGTTAGGCCAGACTGGTGAGTGGTAAGGCCAGACTGGTGAGTGGTAAGGACAGACTTGGAAGTGGTAAGGACAGACTTGGGAGTGGTAAGGACAGACCTGTGAGTGGTAAGGACAGACTGGTGAGTGGTAAGGCTAGACTTGTGCGTGGTAAGGACAGACTGGTGAGTGGTAAGGCTAGACTTGTGAGTGGTAAGGTCAGACTTGTGAGTTGTAAGGTCAGACTTGTGAGTGGTAAGGACAGACTTGTGAGTGGTAAGGACAGACTGATGAGTGGGAAGGCCAGACTGGTGAGTGGTAAGAACAGACTGGTGAGTGGTAAGGCCAGATTGGTGAGTGGTAAGGACAGACTTGTGAGTGGTAAGGTCCGACTTGTGAGTGGTAAGGTCAGACTTGTGAGTGGTAAGGACAGACTGATGAGTGGGAAGGCCAGACTGGTGAGTGGTAAGGACAGAATGGTGAGTGGTAAGGCCAGATTGGGGAGTGGTAAGGCTACTCACCAAAGCAAGACTGTATCAAAGTTCACAGCAGAACTCACTATGTTTGACTTGGTGTGAAATGTCAAACAATTGTACCTGCTCTTTTATCTCCTGAGACGAGGCTCTAGATCTCCTGAGACCAGGCTCTTTATCTCCTGAGACCAGGCTTTTTATCTCCTGAGACCAGGCTCTAGATCTCCTGTGATCAAGCTCTTGATCTCCTGAGACGAGGCTCTTTACCTCCTGAGACCAGGCTCTAGATCTTCTTGAGACGAGGCTCTAGATCTCCTGAGACGAGGCTCTTTATCTCCTGAGACCAGGCTCTTCATCTCCAGAGACCATGAGGCTCTAGATCTTCTGAGACCAGGCTCTATATCTCCTGAGACCAGGTTCTTCATCTCCTGAGGCCAGGCTCTAGATCTGCTGTACACTGGGAGCAGGAGATGAGAATAGGAATAAATCAGAATTTAAAAAAAAATTATTCAATCACAAAAGTTAAGTATTAATTCAGAAAAACTTCTGCTTTATCAAAAAGTTTGTAATCAGTGACTGTATTTGACATTTTGTGATTGGTCAACCTAAAAATAGAACGACACAGTACAGGCCCTCACAGTAGATATAATAGTCAGTGTCTTCAATGAATTTGTTTCCCTTTTTTTTCCAGATATTTTTATTGGAAGAAAAATATGTGTGTATAATCTTTAAAATAACCTACAATCACGAATGATGTAGACATTCTGACTGTGTTGCTTTGTATGTTACACCTTAAGAAACGACAAGAATAAAAAAATTAAAAGTCAAAGCAATTAAATAGCTTATCTGTATTCATCAAATTTCAGCAATGTTTCATTTGAAAAGGTGCAAAATAAAACAAAATTCCAGTGAAATGATACATTTATAACGTAACTTTTGTTCTGCAATTCAAAGCCAATACTGAAGATGTTAATAAAGAGGAGATAATTTCATTTGATAAAGATATATTAAAAAGCTGAGACAAGCGGTGGACTGTTGATACATCTGATTCCCCGGTGGACTATTGTGATGAGCTTGGTTGTGTAAGATGGGACACAGATTTCACTATGGCTGTTCACAGAACACTATATATCTTTTATTTACATTGTGCAAAATAATGTGGTTTTGTCACATTTTTATTATTTGACAATTGCTACCCGTTGTAAAGTTTGAATTATTTCTGTTCTTCCCCTGTTCATTTACCTTTTGGTTACGCTATGTATTGAAGTGGCCTTTGTTCCCACACTCAGATTTCTGCTTTAATTTTTAGATATTTGTGTAAACTTTGTGTTCCGTTTATTTCGCCTGCAAAAGCAAACTAGTTCAATTATCTGAAATGCAATGTCAAAATGTGGTTTTACCCAGTTAACCAATTATAGCAACATGTAAGAGTGAATTCAAATCCTGAGCAGAAATACATGTGATGAAAATTGAATTGTATAGACTCAGTATTCAGTATTTACTTTTGATATGAAAAAGATTATCAACAAAGGGAGTGAACTTTGTTGCTGGCCTTGCTACAGTTGAGTTGATGTCCCGCTCAGTCCTGTTCCCCCCTAATATAATGCTAATAATCAATCAATTCTACCTTTTAAATTACCTGGGTACTCGTCAGTATAGCTGTACAGGTACACATAAATAAATCCCTTCAGGTAAATATAAGTCTCTAATACCTGCTTTGTCAATATTAAAATGTTCAAACCATGATAATCATTGATCCATATATACATTAAAATGACAAATATGGCTCTCTGAAATCTCCTTACATAATCCTGTGTGTATAGAATTGGAGCCGGGAGAAACTGAAATGCTTTAAATGTCTATCTATAAGGGACCTGTCGCTAGTCAAGGTGAAAATGAGATTAAAGTTGTATGGATCATGAGATAATCAAGCAGGATTATCAAAACTGACAATAATCAGTGAAGATTATAAAAACAGAAATGACTTGTTAGGTAGTAATCCTGGTAAAGTGCCATGATCGTAGTATCTCAACACCAATGCACAGGAGTCTAACATACTCTGTTTTTTCTCCTGGAACAGAGAATTGAGGCTCAGATGAAGAAATGTGAAAGTCAACTGGAAGAGTTAAAGAGGAAGGGACAGGACTTATCTGCCCTTGCTCCTCAGATGGTCAGCCCAACAGAGCTAAATGCCCTTCAGTCCAGCTACAGAGATCTCCGGCAAAAGGTTTGTTGAAACTGTCCTGTTGAAGTAGAAGGTGTATCAGACATAAAAAGGTCAGAAAGTCCTTGATCTCGGGTATGACTGTCCGTGTGTTATATTGCAGTACAATGTTCCTGTGTTATATTACAGTACAGTGTCCCTGTGTTATATAACTGTACAGTGTCCCTGTGTTATATAACAGTACAGTGTCCCTGTGTTATATAACAGTACAGTGTCCCTATGTTATATTGCAGTATAGTGTCCCTGTGTTATATTACAGTGCAGTGTCCCTATGTTATATTACAGTATAGTGTCCCTGTGTTATATTGCAGTACAATGTTCCTGTGTTATATTACAGTACAGTGTCCCTGTGTTATATTACAGTACAATGTTCCTGTGTTATATTACAGTGCAGTGTCCCTGTGTTATATTACAGTACAGTGTCCCTGTGTTATATTACAGTACAAAGTCCCTGTGTTATATTACAGTGCAGTGTCCCTATGTTATATTACAGTATAGTGTCCCTGTGTTATATTACAGTACAGTGTCCCTATGTTAGATTACAGTATAGTGTCCCTGTGTTATATTACAGTATAGTGTCCCTGTGTTATATTGCAGTGCAGTGTCCCAGTGTTATATTACAGTGCAGTGTCCCTGTGTTATATTGCAGTACAAAGTCCCTGTGTTATATTACAGTACACTGTCCCTGTGTTATATTACAGTACAGAGTCCTTGTGATATATTACAGTACACTGTCCCTGTGTTATATTACAGTACAGTGTCCCTGTGTTATATTACAGTACAGTGTCCATGTGTTATATTACAGTATAGTGTCCCTGTGTTATATTACAGTACAAAGTCCCTGTGTTATACTACAGTAAAGTGTCCCTGTGTTATATTACAGTATAGTGTCCCTGTGTTATATTACAGTACAAAGTCCCTGTGTTATACTACAGTAAAGTGTCCCTGTGTTATATTACAGTATAGTGTCCATGTGTTATATTACAGTGCACTGTCCCTGTGTTATACTACAGTAAAGTGTCCCTGTGTTATATTACAGTACAGTGTCCATGTGTTATATTACAGTACACTGTCCCTGTGTTATACTACAGTAAAGTGTCCCTGTGTTATATAAAGCTGCGCCTCTGTTTTAGGTGATGGATAAGAAGGCAGACCTACTACAGTATAGTGTCCCTGTGTTATATAAAGCTATGCCTCTGTTTTAGGTGATGGATAAGAAGGCAGACCTACTACAGTCCATGTCCATACAGGACCAGTATGAGAAGATGTTACTTGACTATGCTGAGTTCCTGGAGACAGCTCAGGATAAACTGAAGTCTGAGGAGATTACTGCACGCGATCTGGACAGTCTCAAGCACCAGCTGGCAGCCCACAAGGTATAACGGAGTTTATGTTTCTGTTCATCTATTTACATCCCTACAACAAAGTTAAGGGGTGTGCAACAATTATCCAACGTTTCAAAATTCATGAAACATCACTGATGTAGTCAGCACACTCAGAGTACGCCAACAGTACTCCATCAATTTAGAGGATACTTGGTACACACAACACTTACATGTAAGGCATTAAAATAGATGCTACTTGGTAAACACGACACTTACATGTAAGGCATGAAAATAGATGATACTTGGTAAACACAACACTTACATGTAAGGCATTAAAATAGATGATACTTGGTAAACACAAAACTTACATGTTAGGCATTAAAATAGATGATACTTGGTATACACAACACTTACATGTAAGGCATTAAAATAGATGATACTTAGTACACACAACACTTACATGTAAGGCATTAAAATAGATGCTACTTGGTAAACACGACACTTACATGTAAGGCATGAAAATAGATGATACTTGGTAAACACAAAACTTACATGTAAGGCATTAAAATAGAGGATATTTGGTACACACAACACTTACATGTAAGGCATTAAAATAGATGATACTTGTTACACACGACACTTACATGTAAGGCATGAAAATTAAGTTCATCATTTAGAGTTACCTCACTCACTGACTCACAAAACATTGTTGGTACTACCCCTCCAAAGTACTGCACTGATTTGAATATTACAGAACCTATACATCAAGGGGATGTCAGTATATATATGTATTGGTGTCTCCTTCCCTTATTATGGAGTTATGCCCCTTTGTTTAGCCATATTGTTGGACAGAGACAATGTGAATTATGTAATGTAAAATGGAGTTACTTCCCCTATTTATGGAGTTGTCCCTTTGTTTAAGAAAAATTGCTCGCACAACTCCTCATAAAGCACAGGAATGATTTGAATAATACTTAATGTGCAAAACTTTTTACATCAACAGGTTGTGGAAAAAAGTATATAACGGAGAGTAATCTCCCCTATTTATGGAGTTATGTATCTATGTTTAACCCTTTCACCCCTATGTAACTTTAGTAGACTCTACCATGCATTGATCTGGATGAGGCCATTATGGTCTATAGGAGTAAAAGGGTTCAAAATAATTTGAAAGAGCTATTTCTGAAGTTCTTGACCCAGGCAGTGGGAAGAAGTCAGCCATTCTAGTGACAGTTCTAGTTATTTAAAAAAAAATGATTAGCTGGTCAAGCATTGGAAGACAAGTGTGTTTTTTCAAAAACCTGTTTTGAGAACAAGTAAAGGGCAGACTGTGCCACATGGAAATGTTATATACTTTATCTAGCATTCAAAAAAACAACTATTTTTTAGATTTTGAAAGATCATTTAAATCTCAGGGAAAATCTCATTTTGAAAATGAGTACTTCAAAATAACAACTACAGTATTTGCTGTGTTCTTCTCTTGAAAACTTTCTCCAGGAGAATAAATCTAGATGATTTAAATTTTGTGAATGATCTTACAGGATTTCTTCAGTGACCTTGAGGTTCACCGGGCCATGCTAGACTCACTAGCCACTCAAACTGACCAGGCCACACAGAACAAACATGCTGCCCAGAACTCCAGACTGACCAATCTCACATATGTCATACAAGATAAAGCCAGTCTCTTTGGACAAAAACTTGACCGCTTGGTCAGACAGTGGACAGAACTCAACGAGAAGCACAGCAGACTGCAACGATTTCTGGATACAATTGAGGAAGAGGTACCTACACCGGTATCAAATTCTGACTCCATGGCAACCATTCAGGAGAAAATGGCCACCTACGGGCGGCTACAGAAGGAAATCACAGAGGAGAAACCCATTCTGTACCAGGTGGTAGACAAGGGCAAACAACTCCTGCACAGCATCACATGCCCGTCAATGGAAAACTCGGTCGCTGAGGCAGGAGAGAGATGGGTCGCTCTCACCACCAACATCTCGCACGAACTCAAAAAGTAAAACACTACTACTACCTGTCAGTACACGTACTTCTAATGAGGGCAGAACACAATTGACTATATTAATGCATACATGTTAGAAAAGGTTATGACTGAATATAACAAATGAAAATATAAATTATAAGACAATAAGAATATGAATGATTTTGATTTTGTATTTACAAGTTAACTACGGTTATTGTCCTTTGCTGGGAATATTTTGTGTATGTTCACTGTAATACATATCCTTGGTTTCAAAAATGAGTCCTAAATCAGAAAGTTCAAACAAATTGAGATTATCTAAATCAAAAGGACTTGTAAAAGGGATTTCAATACTTTAAAGTTCTCCATCTGCATAAGTTATATTTCAAATAAAAAAAATGAAAATTCAGATTGTGAAACTACTTTGAAAGTGCAGTCAGTATACCCTCCTAAATTTCAGCTCATATATCCTCAGTAATTATGACAGTATATATGGATAAACTTGATTTTCAGCAATATACACTTTGTAATTTCTTAGAATTATAATTTCACTCTTTAATTTCTAATCTTCAGAACTGAAACACTTGGGGACCAACTGCAAGAATTTGAAGGTGAAGCAACTCTATTCAGAACCTGGCTTAGCACAGCCAAACTCAAACTTGGTGACATCAAACATGTGTCGGAGCAGGATCAGCACAGTATCGCGACCATTCGCGGTAAAGTCGATAAACTCCTGGTAAGATGATATTGTCTTTGAATGTAGCTGTTTTTCAGAATATTTTGTGTATACATTTGTATATTCAGTTTGTGTACTTGGTGAACTTGATGGTAAATTTTTGCTTTCAAGAAATAACTGGAACATGAAGTACTGAGGGGTATACCATGGGATGTGGTTGGCAAGCGTTCTGTCCTTATTTTTAGCTAATGCATTCTATATTGCAGTTATTTTCATCAGCCTACTCATATTCATAACTGCCATTTTGTTTAATACGTCACCTGGTGTCAAAGAAAATGCTTTAACAGTAAACTTCACCACATATCAACTGTAAAGTCCCTACAGAGTAGCCTTGGTACATACAGGCCATAAAAAGTGCTGGAATGGAGGTTAGGGCTTAGTACTGAGAAATGATGTGTCCTGGAAAAGTGCTGGAATTTACTGAATATGAACTGGAGACATTTTACATGTTTTCCTTTCCATACAAGAATGGTTCACACTTATATTAATGAAAGAATTGATGTGGACTTAGAAACCACCTAACTAACCATTAACTACAAACTCAGTTCTTAAGCTTTAGTCAGTTTCAAATCAGGTTTCAAAGTGTCGATTCCAGAGCGAGGCTCCCCGGCGTGCCTTTGTGGCAGAGCCTAAAACATGGAGCCGCGCTGCCTTTCCTGGGTCGTAAACCACAACAAAATGTTTGGTGTGGGAATGTTTCTTTCATGAAAACACAATCAATTGTTTTAAGTCTATTTTGAATTGTTTTACTTAACGCTGTGTAACTTTTGTACACTTAACACAAAACTTTTTAATGTGTTGGATTCATATATTCCCGTTTTTAAGAATAACCTATTTTTTCTGTCCATCACCTTAGCTTTCACTACTGTCAGTTATTTGATTGAGGTTGTATGTATAAACAAAAATCTGTACCTGATCACAGGAGTTCCGTAAAGAAGTGGAGGTCCAGATCCCTCTAAAGAACAAGATACTGTCTGTAGGGAACCAACTGTCCCAGAATGCCTCTTATAGCACGGCCGACCTGGAGACACGCCTTGCCTGGTTTGAGGACCAGTGGGGACTCCTCCAGCATGACATAGGGAAGGCAGAGGAATACCTCCACACTGCACAGATGGACCTGATGCCATCCCGACAAGCTCTTCACGAACTGGGGGCATGGCTTAATGACATGGAGGGGGCCGTCAGCGAAGAAAAACAGCGACCAGTACAGGACCATGCTGATATAGAAGTCCTCCTCAAAAAGTTCAAGGCAAATATTAATATATATTGCTCTTTATTTAATTTGAATCTCTATAACTTGGGTAATTTATACACAGTATATAATCATGATTAAATTAGGAGTGACTCCTGCATAAAAACTCCAGTAAATACAGTATTCAGATTATCAGAATCTTAACTTGCTTTGGCTGTCTACACTCCACTTGTGTTAATTTCAATGTTGAACATTTTCAGGACTTAAAGATAGAGCTGCAGAACAAACAATTGACGATGGACTTTGTGAATCAGTCAGCGCTGCAGACAAGTGTGCCAGATGGGGATGAGGCTCCCGTGTCTGCCGACAAGACAGACTTTGCTGAACGCCTGGGTAATCTGAACAAAAGGTGGCAGACCCTGAGCCAGGATGTGTCGGGGAAGCTTAAGACACTGGAGATGATGCACAGCAAGTGGGCAGAATATAACCGTGCATTGCTACGCCTCCAGGAATGGTTCCACGACCAGGAGGACAAGGTCAAGAGGTACCGACTCATAGGTCACGAGGTCAGCATCCGCCAGACCATCAAGGATTGTAAGGTAGGTGAACATAAGTGATAAGGTCATCATTGACCACGTTCACAAAGGTCACAAGGTCAGCATCTATCAGAATGTAACTCCATATATGGTATTATTCTTCACATTCAGAACAAGACAACTAGTGTGTTATGTCTTATGAATATTGTTAACAAGTGGTTCAGCTTTCAGAACATCGTTGAGTACTGTTGAATTTCCTTGCACAGATACTAGAGCGCACCTTGACGAGTAAGGAAGGTGACATTCAGAGTGTAAAGGCATTGGGGTCACGGTTGGTCAGTCTGAGTGAGGACTCTCCGGAGTGCCAGAAGAACATCCAAGTCAGTATGGACAACCTTGACCAGCAGTGGCGCCACCTATCACAGCAGGTGAAGGAGCTGGATTCGGTGCTGCATGACTTCTGTAATCAATGGCAAGCCTTCTCTAAGGAACTGCAAAACACCAACCAGATCCTGTCAGAGACCGACTACTGTCTGGGTCGCTACAACCTGGTGGGAGGGGACATCACTACCCTCAGGATGCAGGTCGACAAACTCAGGGTGAGGAGGCTGGTATTACAACCGCTTTACAGTTGTAGGTTTTTAAACTCCTGTCATATATACAAGAGAAAACTTAAGGAGGAAATTCTGAAAGAATTCAAATAATTACAATTTCTAAACCAATGTTATTCAAACTGAATGACATATTTCTTAACCATTTTATTGTTATGTTGACCAATAAAAGGATATTTCCCATTCATGAAATATGTTTTCTTTGCAAACAGAATCTTTGTGGGGAGGTAGAGAGAGGCACAGCTGGTTACGACTGTTTTGTTACCCTTGGTAACCAGTTAACACAAGTGTGTGAGGCACCAGTACGGAAGGAAATCCAGACCACACTAGCAGATGTCACTGGAAAGTAGGTCTTCTCAGCTACGCTTTTTTAGAAAGATAATAACAAAAATAAAAAAAAATATGTATTTTTGCCTAAAATCAGAAAATACTTAACTTTAAATTAAGAGATTTACAAAATCCTGAACAAGATTTTACAAGGTTATGGGAATAAATGTTTTGAGAATTTGTTTGACATTCTATTATTTTACTCCAGGTGGCGCCGTATGAGTGGGGAGCTACAGGACCGTAGTGCACGCTTCGAGGACTGTCTCCAGCAGTGGCAACAGTACGAGGAGGAGTACAACTACGCACGGAGGTGGCTCGAAACAAAGGAGAGACAGTGTAACGAGCTGGTGGCTGTACGGGAGGATAGCTCGCGCCGTGAAGAGTGCTTACAACAGAGCAAGGTATGGCAACCAACACCATCTAGTTCTGGCAAATCTTAATATCCCACACCTTAAAACTTACTGGGCAAGGTCTATCTCAATAAATAAAACAATTCTTAAAACTTACTGGGCAAGGTCTATCTCAATAAATAAAACAAATCTTACCATTTACTGGGCAAGCTCTATCTCAATAAATAGTACAAATCTTACCATTTACTGGGCAAGGTCTATCTCAATAAATAGTACAAATCTTACAATTTACTCTGTTTTTTCCAGGCACTGCAGCGAGAGCTAGATAATTTCCAGTCACGCCTCGGATCACTCTACCAACTGAGTGACACAATCACAAAAAATATGGACACCTCATCTATCGTTGGGATCACCTCACGCCAGACTGCCATCGAGGCACGCGTCATGGCTTTACGACAAATTCTCGCCAAACAGGTCAAGCTGCTTCAAGGTGACCTTTCACAGAAGCAGCGCTTCACAGATCTGTTTGCATCCATGACAGCGTTCCTTGACGAAGCTGAACACACCCTCGGTGATGAAGAGCTTCCAAATTCATCAGAGGAGCAGGCACTGCGGGAACGATATGAGGAGATAAAATATCTCTCCTTGCAATTCAATAATAACATGCCACAACTGGATGCTCTCAACGACCTCGGGTACAGAATGGCCCTGAGCGAGGAAAGTTCCATGGCGCTTCGGGAACTTAACCACAAATTTCAGAGACTTTACAATGAGACAAAGGAGCAGAACAAGATACTACAGGGTATCATCCTTATTCAGCAGGACTTCACGGAGAAGTGTGATGCCTGGATGACGTTCCTCGCTCAGACGGAGCAGGATCTCTCCACAGAGATTGCTGGTAATCTGGCTGACCTCACTGACCAGCAGAGGAATTTCGAGGTAAAGCTTATTAAAAAGATAGGTTGTATGTATAATGATTGTCAGGTATTTCAACCCTTTCACCACTGTAAACCAATAATGGTCTTATCCAGATCACTACATAGTAGACCTAAAGTTACATAGGGGTGAAAGGGTTAACTCAGTTCTTGACTTTGAATCATGCTTACAGTACTAAATAAGGGCCCCACAGCCATTTACGTGGACAGTATTAGAACACCTGATGTCACCTCTTGTTTATATAGAGATTTCTGTTATCCTCTTATTTGTATTTCATCATTTCCCGCAGTTATTCCATTCATGGTACATCTGAATCTTGTTGTGATTGACTTCTAATCAAGTTTACGTTTCTGTATTAACAATATGTTCACATTTTCCTCTATCTCAGTAGATTATAATCATGTCATTATTTCTTCCTTTTACAGAAATTTGAGTCCGACATGTACACCAAACAACAAATTCTGCATGCCATCATCAGTGATGGACAGAAGATGATGAAGGAAGGAAAGGTGGAGGACAAAGAAGAGTTCCAGCAAAAGCTTCACCTATTGGCTGAGCAGTGGCAGAGTGTGGTGCGACGGGCCAATCAGAGGAAGGCTATCATAGACAATACAATCAAACAGTGGCAGGCATTCAATGAGTTGACAGAGAGGCTTCGTGATTGGCTGACAGAGAAAGAGTTCGGAATGAAGGCTTTCGAGGTTGACTTGGTGTCGCTACAGAAAATCAAAAATCTATTGGAAAAGGCCAGAGTAAGCTTGATTTATTTCTATGCTTAAATTACAAATGCTGTTTATTGTATTGATAAAAAAGAGAAAGCCATTCATATTGGAGGCCATTCCTATAAGGCAGTCACATACTCAATTGTTTCTGTCTATAAGTGTATAGGTTCAAAATAAAGACAAACTTGTTCCAAAAGTTGGAATTTAAAATAACAAACCCCCAGTAAATGTAGGTGTTGATCCTTTCTATAATTTATTTATGTTTTTTTGAAAAACAATATTTTGTAAAAGAATACTGAATATGATACAGATGAATACAATGGCGTCACAGTGTCTGCTTTCTAGTCACTGGCTATACCTCTATTACGTCATGGTTCAGTTGGTCCAACACAGCAGCACCATTGTAGTGGAACGAGGCCGCATACTAATTAGATACCAAATGAAAACCGCTGAAAAATACACAAATACACAAGTCTCTTGATCAACCTTTAATTGTTTGTATCTCACAGCACACGGAGACGGAGTTCAAACTACAGGAGGATGTGTTGAAGAAGATGCATGACCAGAGTAGACCACTGCTGCAGCGTGCCGATTCAGACGCCACTGATGAGCTGAAAGTCTGCACGGCCCAGCTTCAGCAGTACTGGCACCAGTTGTGTGGTAGCCTTGACGACCACTGCCAGAAGCTGGAGGCGGTGCTCAGACAGTGGCAGGAATGTGAGGAGGACATTGAGGACATCCTCGGCTGGCTGAAGGACACCAGGCAAAGCTTTGGGGCTGACCTCCCAACTGCCTATGACCAGCTACAGGCCGAGCTAAACAGATGCAAGGTAGAAAGCATGGATTCAGAATGATTCAGTATAATAACCAGACCACAGAAGTCTATGAAGTTAGGGGATGTAAAAAGGAGACTTATTTAGGTATCATAAAAATTACCGGGGCTTATTGGTGGAGGCACCGACTTTAGTCCCAACTGCTCACATACTTATACTAAATCTTTGTAATAGCCAATGAAGGAAATATTAGAGCTTGCAGGGATCAAATTTTGCACAACATTGTCAATGATCACAAATATTACACTTAGGAGTGTACTTATGTATACGGCAGATTCAATATATTCCCTGGGTATTTAATTTGGCACCATCTTTGGTGACCCCTAATATAACAAATTCACCATGAAATTTTTCAAATATACAGTAACTTGCAAACAAATCTGGAGGGTAAACTAATTTGATTGTTTCCCCAGGACATAGAAACGGAGTTTGTCAATGCTGAGATCAAACGTGACACACTACTGTCGAAAGAAGCGAGGCTGGGTCAAGTCATTCAACCCGACGACCTTAATGTTCTCCACCAGAGGATCAGACTCCTCAACAAACAGTGGGACGAACTCCGCAACCAGGCGGCGCTCAGAGCACAACGTATAAACGACAACATGTTCCGCTGGTCGACCTTTAATGAGCGTGTCCGAGACCTCATGGAGTGGACAGATCAAATGGAGGTCAAGGTCATCTCAACAAAGAAATACCACATTGAGGACCTGCTGACCAAGATGCAGAGGGTAAGAGTAATACATACCTGCCAAGTGACCCGATTTCGTCGGGTTACACCCAGGATTTTAGCCCTTCACCTGCTTTTATAACTTCACCCGCCGGGTTACGATTTTGACCTGGATTTCATCAATTTCCCCCTTTTTCGCCCGGAATCTTTTCGTGTATTAGAAGTTACCAAAGTCACTCGGAATTCTCTAGACTTTTCCATCCTTTGTCATAGGAAAGATGACCTATTTCCTGTTTCCGTTTCTCACCGACACCCTAGCCTCGATCCACTGATATATATTTCAACTTTCATAATGAATACCTAAGATCTAGTAGATATGTAATATAAATCGGGCTCCCACAATGATGTACCGTTTGTGGTACTCTTGTTGTTATTTGATAGAAAAATAAATGCAATCTACTGTTCTTTTTTTTTGTTGCTAAGATGATTGAAAGAAAAAATTACAAATTACTTATTAAAAGGTTATTCAGAGATGAACAGAGATAAATAGATACAAGGATAGTAGGTTCTACTAGACATTTTCTGTTACCCCTGTTAATGTTGTGTGTGCATTTATTGCCGCTGAAGGAAATGACAGAGAAGGTAAATTTGTCTCACTTACTTGTAGTTTTTGTGTTGTAACTACATGTGTGTTACTCTCTAAAATTAATGTTGTAATTAAAAAATATTTCAAAATTTCACGAAATCACTGTTTGTCTATAATTGTACATCATTATATATCTACATTTCCACTGTAAGTTCCTGTATAAGCGCGCATAACAAGAGGGCTATGAACGCAATTTGATCAGCATCATTTAGAAGCTTCTCCTCGCAACATGAATAATACAAAACAGCTGTTAGAAGCAAACATTTGGGTGACATAATCTGTTCCAGGAATCTTGTTTTCACTGACAACACAAACACTTCAATATCAAAAATATAAGGGAATTTCTATTTTTAGATCAATGATAATAATTTATAATGTAAATATATTTATTGACTAGCATTAGCCAGTATGAACATTGAACAAATGTTGTTTAATCATTAGATAAACATCAATGTTTTCGTCTGTGATAGTACTTCATTATATACACATTAATGTTAGTGATGTTTGAATTACCTTTTCATTTTCTCTATATGTATTAAAATGTTACACTGTATACTGTATAGTGCTTAAAATTTGCGGGGTCAATATTTCGCGGTTTCGTATTCAGTACATATTCACGGGAGTTAAATTTCGCTGTGCACCCGAATCCCATGTGTTGTGCAAAGTATTCTGAGTGTCATCATTTAAGGGTTAAACCTCGAAATACAGGTAAATCATTTGAAAACACTGATCATTAATATGTTGTTGCCACTTATACATAAGTGTAGGTTTTACATGGACTGCCCAGTTGTTCAGTGATAATCTGATTTGAGTTCATTTAAGCTTGCATAACAGCTTTGGGTTATAAGTATTTTTGACATGTTGTGATAAGATCCATAAAAGTGATAAACATTTTTCGATAATTTCGCTGGTGTTTAGAATTTGCGGATATTAGTCAAAGCGCGAATATAGCATTTATGAACAAAAGACACAAGCAAGGAATATTGAGATTAAATACTTCAATTTATTACACAAATATACATTTGGGCTAAGGGGCTATAACAGCTGTGGTGTTTGGTACTACCTTCAGTTTGATTTGGCTATCTGGTAAGGAAATTTATGTCAATAATCCATTGGTGCTAGCCGAGCCAAGTAACTTGAAGGGAGCAATATTGATGAACTGAATGTAAATTAATAATTCTTGAGGGACTTACGAATTACATAATGATGTAAAATGCCCAAATTTGTTGCAAGGCGGGTTGCCCCAACCCTTAATATGGGGAGGTACGATTTATCCATGCTCGCAAACAGCTGGCAAGTGTTTAAAGCCTTATTGAAATCGGAAACAGCTGCTATGACCCCAGGCATCATCTAAATATGGTCGTGTGGTGGGGATGGTGGTGGAAACATGAATTTCTAGGCGCCAAATAAAACTCTCCAGATGCTGATGACTGCAGTAGTGACCCGTCACGTGATGAAACTGACCAATCCCTGATCTGATAACATCTTCAACTAGATGACCAGTCACATGACTTACACTAATCGACGCTTGCCAAGACTTCTTGTACTGGGCATATAGTCATTGTAGACTTGTCTTAGTTCATAAACTGCACTTATTTTCAATAAGTTTTAAAAATTAAAAAACCCGCGAAATATAACCACTATACAGTAACTAGTTGATGCTTAAACAAAAAACAAAAAGTCATAAAATCTCTGGAATTTCTAATCTTCTTGTTGACAGCAACTTCTCAATAATGGTATTTAACTGAGCAAGGAGCTAGTTTGTTATAACTTCAGACACAACCTGGACAACATTAAGTTCCAGTGTAAACCTATTTGTGACGACTGGTCACTAAATTCTACAATAGAACAATATTTACAGCAGATATCTATAGTTTGTGATTGTGGATAATATAACAAAAACTAAGCATTCACTGATATGTAGTATTTCCTTGACAATAATTCCATGAGGACAAAGATTTTAATTATAAAGCGTTTTGTTGACCAGGACTTCCGAGAGGAGATGGCTGACAGGGAGCGAGAAAAGGTTCGCCTTGTAGAACAGGGTAAGGAATTAATGAAGGTTAGCAGTGAAGTACGGTCCTCAGACATCGACAATAAAATACAGCGACTCGAGGAAAAATGGCAACACCTGAGCTCTGTACTCAACTTCAGGTAAACAGATTTATCCTTCTTAACCAAATGGGATATAAATTTCATCTTATGATCATTGATAGATATTTTATTAAGATATTTTGAAGAATTAGTGAGAAACATTTTACTTAGGTTAAAGGTCACAATGAAAAACAATGGCTTTCAAAGGAGATTTTTTAAAAGGCAATAATAATTCAAGTTCCCATTGTAGACGGCTTTTGAGAAGTTCCCCAGTGACTCTTCTGACATTATCATAATAGTACACAATTGTGTTTGGTAACGAGTATGGGCAAGCTCCTAATCCTTACCAACCAACCTTAGAGTTATCTTGTGATATAGTTCCTTAGTTTGAAATGAATTGATACATACAATTAAATAACAATGTACCGTAGAATATAGCAAATATTCAGTAATTATGGGGACGTCACTTTCTCCATGTCTACTTTACGAGCTGGTTTTATAAGAGAATGGCCGCATCAATTATACGTTTATGTGAACAGACAGAGGAAGCTACAAGAGACGCTGTTAGCAGTACAGCAGCTTGACCTCAGCATGGCTAACCTCCGCAAGTGGCTATCTAACATGGAGCACGACCTCAGTGGTCCGATCATCTATCAAGTGTGTAACCGGAAGGAAATCCAGGAGAAGCTCTGTGAACAGCAGGTTAGTGACTGAACTAACCACGTATGGTTTAAGTTAAATGATATTACATGTTTTCAAACTTTCATTTTGTACGACAGGGAATGACCATTTATTTAATCTTGTCTTTCCTAAAAGGTCATTGATAGTCTGCACCTTAACTTCTAAAATAAAAAATAAAAATCCGAAGAATTTCCACATAAAAAAGTAGGAACCAATAAACCAGATAGAAATATTTGATTTCCAGCAGAGATGGCTGGATTTATAAAGCAAAGCCATACCTTGTACCAGAGATTGATGGAGACCCACACAGAAGCTGAGAACATGTGGAGTAACTTGTTTACGTGTGTTAGGATTCTATATTATATTTTACAGGAGTTACAAACAGACATAGAACACCACAGTGCTGGTGTCGGGTCAGTCCTCAACCTATGTGAGGTTCTCCTTCATGACACTGATGCATGTCCCTCCGAGGTCGAGTTCAACGCTCTCCAAACCGCTATGAAGAACCTAGACAGGAGATGGCGCACAATTTGTCAACAGTCACCAGAACGGCGGGCAAGGTAATACTCCTCTTAATTAGGTCAGCTTTCACCAGAACAGCATGTCAGATTAATTAGGTCAGCTCTCACCAGAAAAGTATGCCAGATTAATTAGGTCAGCTCTCACCAAAACAGCATGACAGATTAATTAGGTCAGCTCTCACCAGAACAGCATGTCAGATTAATTAGGTCAGCTCTCACCAGAACAGCATGTCAGATTAATTAGGTCAGCTCTCACCAGAAAAGCATGTCAGATTAATTAGGTCAGCTCTCACCAGAAAAGTATGTCAGATTAATTAGGTCAGCTCTCACCAAAACAGCATGTCAGATTAATTAGGTCAGCTATCACCAGAACGCTGTGACCTAAAAATACCTATCTTGTATTTTATATGGACTAATGTATTATGTTTTATTTCAATGATCATGAAAATATCATAGGCAAAAAATGTGAAATAGCTGGTTCAGGGTGTTGGTACCTGTTATTACTTTGTTACAGAATTGAGGAGACATGGGAGTTATGGCACACTCTACTGGAGGACTTCAAGCTGTTTGATGATTGGCTTACGGACATTGAGCAAGAGGTCATAGGGTCACCTCGTGACCAGTTAGACGTGAGCCTTACTAAAGAAGAAGTTAAACATTTCGAGGTAAGAAGCTAATTGGCTGATGATAACAAAAAATGACTGGATCAACATGAATATAGATGTATTTCAGGAGATTCTGTACTAGCTCCGGTTAAATGAGGAGTTAAGTTGTTCTTTTCTTTAGGCAAAATACATTCAGAAAGTGTAACTATTAAACAGACATTTTAGCTGTGAGTATCGAAGTATATAGACATTTTAGCTGTGGGTATAGAAGTATATAGACATTTTAGCTGTGGGTATAGAAGTATATAGACATTTTAGCTGTGGGTATAGAAGTATATAGACATTTTAGCTGTGGGTATAGAAGTATATAGACATTTTAGCTGTGGGTATAGAAGTATATAGACATTTTAGCTGTGGGTATAGAAGTATATAGACATTTTAGCTGTGGGTATAGAAGTATATAGACATTTTAGCTGTGGGTATAGAAGTATATAGACATTTTAGCTGTGGGTATAGAAGTATATAGACATTTTAGCTGTGGGTATAGAAGTATATAGACATTTTAGCTGTGGGTATAGAAGTATATAGACATTTTAGCTGTGGGTATAGAAGTATATAGACATTTTAGCTGTGGGTATAGAAGTATATAGACATTTTAGCTGTGGGTATAGAAGTATATAGACATTTTAGCTGTGGGTATAGAAGTATATAGACATTTTAGCTGTGGGTATAGAAGTATATAGACATTTTAGCTGTGGGTATAGAAGTATATAGACATTTTAGCTGTGGGTATAGAAGTATATAGACATTTTAGCTGTGGGTATAGAAGTATATAGACATTTTAGCTGTGGGTATAGAAGTATATAGACATTTTAGCTGTGGGTATAGAAGTATATAGACATTTTAGCTGTGGGTATAGAAGTATATAGACATTTTAGCTGTGGGTATAGAAGTATATAGACATTGTATCCTAAGTTAGACATGATATCCTTGGGTACGTATTGTATCGTCAGGTAGACATCATATTAAGAGTCCTGCAGAGATATGGGTGCATATACATAAACCCTGGTGTCCGTCTGTATGTTCGTCAATCCACACTTTCTGTTCTGGGATTAAGTCAGGATGCAAAAGACTGATCTTTTTATAATTTGATTGACAGTGTTGATACAATGTCCGACATGTCTGCAGGACATTTGATATATTTGTACATACAAACAGGTGTTCCTGACATATTTTTTCCTCCCCGACAGAGTCTGCTTCGATACATTTGTACATACAAACAGGTGTTCCTGACATGATATTACCTCCCCGACAGAGTCTGCTTCGATACATTTGTACATACAAACAGGTGTCCTTGACATGATATTACCTTCCCAACAGAGACTGCTTCGATACATTTGTACACACAAACAGGTGTTCTTGACATGATATTACCTCCCCGACAAAGTCTGCTTCGATACATTTGTACATACAAACAGGTGTTCCTGACATGATATTTTCTCCCCGACAGAGTCTGCTTCGATACATTTGTACATACAAACAGGTGTTCTTGACATGATATTACCTCCCCGACAAAGACTGCTTCGATACAATTGTACATACAAACAAGTGTTCCTGACATGATTTTTTCTCCCCGACAGAGTCTGCAGAAGAGAGTGCATGAGAACCTGCCCAGCTTGGAAAGCATCAACCGTCAATATCGTCGTCTGGCACGTGAAGGCCGTACTGATCATGCAAACCACTTGAAGCGTGAAATGCAGGACGCAAACGATAGCTGGGACAAGCTCCAGCAATGCGTATCCAACATGACACGTCAACTCAAACAGTCATCAAATCTACGTCAAGACTTCACCTCAGTACGTGACGATCTGTACACCTGGCTCAATGATACTGACATGCAGCTTACCAACATTGAACACCTGTTGTCAATGGATACGCCAACCAAGATGGCCGAAACAAGGGTAGGTGTTAATGTTTGTTGGGATGTTTATATAGTGTTCTTGTTGAACGAAAAGTTGACAAAATCGAAAGAAAGGTAAAGATAGTTTATTTAAGCTTTGTTTAACACTTTCAACCCTAGGTAACTTTTGTAGACTCTACCATGCATTGATCTGGATGAGTCCATTATGGTCTTCAGGGATGAAAGGGTTAAGTCTGCTTAATATATTTCAGAATCAGACACAAATTCAATACTCAAATGTACCTTTATATCAATATCTTGACTTTTACAATAAAGTCTGTGTATGAAACCTTTTCTCTGACAGAGACTTCAGGACGAGATTGACGGTAAGAAGCCACGTCTGGAGTACCTTGACCAGTCGGCACTCTATCTCATACAGAAAGGGGACAGTGTGGATGCCGCCCTCGTACAAAAAGAACTTGATGACTTCAAAGTTTATTCCCGACAGGTGTTTGAACGTGTCACTAAGTACCAGAACAAGCTGCGTCGCATTGCGGACATTCAGGTAGCTAAACCTGATAATGTAGCATACAGAGGAAATGTTTCTGTTATAGATCATTTAATTCAGTGTTAACTAGCCCTCTTCTTAAGTATTCATTCATTGAAATGATTCTTGAGAAATTAACTAAAAGTTTTAGTCATCGATCAAAGTTACAAATGGAAACTTTGAAAACATTAGGTGTTTATATATTTGTTTCAAATATGTTAAAACAATCAAATAACTTCTTTTGAGTATCTAAGAGACTTAGGATAATTATACAGGCTACCAAATTTGTTCAAATGAATGACCTTAACATATTCCCAAGGTCACAGTGTTCTTCTATGTGAAAAACATTTATGAGTGATTTCCACTGAATAACCAGGAAGCCTAGGGTTATGATATTTGGCCTGTAGCATGTTGTTATAAATGGCTTTCAAGTTTGTTCAGTTTCTTTGACCATTGGGGTCAAATATGTTAAAATAATCAAGGAACATCTTATGAATAACCAAGAGGCTCATGCTCATAACATTTGGCCAGTAGCATGCTGGACTGAAGGGGCCATCACGTTTGTTCAAATAAATGACCTTGACCCACTTTCAAGGCCACATGGATCTTAAGTGAGAGAAAAAAAAGAACTTTGAACAGAGTAATAAGTTTTGGCCTGATGCTTCTTGGAATTGATCCTTTGGAAGATGTAGTTTGCATGAGTAAAACAAGTTAAAATCTTCCAGCAAAGATACATGATATGTTGAGTGATGAAATCTTCCAACAATGACCGTAATGTTGTATTGAGCATATTTAAACAAATTTGACCTTGACCCATTTTTAAGGTCACATATATGAGATGAATACAAGGTGAGTACAACAGTCCCATTGAGCCTCTTGTTGACTCTGTGAACTTTGTTGCAGGAGGAAGACAGAGTAAAAACTGACCAGCAGGCACGAGCAGGTGTGGACGAGATTGACCTGTTGGAGCGTCAGTTGAAAGCACCAGACAGTCTGGACTGGGACATGGAGGAGCTAGAGGCATACCTCGAGGCCTCGCCCCCCGAAAGTCCTCCAGAGAAGCGACGAGCTTCAGGACAGGGAATCCTACAGCAACGCCCTATGTCACCAGTCAGGGCATCAACGTTACGGAGGTCAAGGTCACCGACAAGGTCATCCTCACCTCTCAGAACATCCTCACCATCCACCAGAAGGCGTTCACCCTTCAGACAGAACTCACCCAGTCGCTACGCCAACAGGTCTCCAATCAGGTCACCTCGCACGGTCTCACCCAGCCGCTCAGATGATAGCTTCTCTGCAGGTCAGCTCTTAATCTGTTCAAGTATTCTTAATTTCAAAATGTAAAATAGTGTGAAAATTACGCCTTATCATAACAATTTGTATTCTTAATACCTATGCCAGACTGGAATGGATAAAAGTAAACAAAAATGAAATGAATACAATATTGTTTATCTTCAGGTCTTTCACGTGATGAGAGAAAGAGGCGTATGCGAGAGGAAGTCGCCCTGAGAAGTCGCGAGTCCAAGGTGGAGTCTTTGCTGGAGGATCTGGTTGATGCCCTAGAGAATGCCAAACACAAGTTAAGAGTGGCAGAGCGGGAAATGAGGTGTTCTACCCCTACCGGCCCCCACCTTGATCAGAGTGGCGCAGACTATGTAAGTCCTACTTGTATTACCCATCCGCACATGGGAGTTGATTTTGTGCCGTGATCTTTGCTGGTTTCTTTATTCGTACAAAAGGTACATTATTGTAACGTATACGTTGACATTACAATGTGTACAGTCCGAGGGTTATCTTCACCGGCTGACATGTCCTCTGTATTATATGTTAAGCAGCACCTAGTGTGATTTAAGATAATATCAAGCAATGGAAAACAGGAATATACGCTCGAAGTTCTTCATGGGACTTCAACTTTTTCTATTGTCGCCACATCAGTGATTGTGGTCACAATCAGCTGTCATGGTTATTGTGGGTGGTATAATTATAGAGTTAAAATATCTACCAACTTACAGGAATAGCAAGAGAATACTAACATCTAGATTAATTTATCATTTAAAACATTGAAGAGTTCCAATATTGACATACAAGAACTAACATTTGCTTCAATAATCACCCTAAATACCCTGATTTTCAATAATCACCCTAAATATCCCGATTTTCAATAATCACCCTAAATACCCTGATTTTCCAAAATCACCCTAAATACCCTGATTTTCAATAATCACCCTAAATACCCCGATTTTCCAAAATCACCTGGTATAACACACAAATGACTTTGATAAATACTTTACATCACATTGTTGCAATGTTGTACCTATTATAGTGTTCGAGAGTGTCATTAATTTACATGGTTGTTTTATATTATATGGTACAGGTGACTTTCTATGGCCAAGTGTAGAAAATTATGTTTATGTGAGAACTTCATTTCTTCTTTAAAAAACCTTCACAAAATGCCTTATTTGACTCCACTAGAGTGCCTATCTGGCCGCTGGGCATCTGAAGACAGTTTTGACAATTGTGTTATGTTGTGTTTGTAGGGTCAGACCATGTCTGAGTGTGAGCAGAGTGTGGACACTGTCCGGAGGCTTGACCGACTCGCTAAGTCAGAGACTGGTCTGTCTGTAATACCCTCGGCAGATGAGGAGGTCAGAAGTGAGTATCTACACAATAAACACCATTATCTCAGTAATACTTTTAAATGCACTTATCTGTGACTTAAAGAAATTATCCTTCTCTGGGCCCTGGAGAATATACAAAACACATTCCTTTCGTATTGTTGTGAATGTTAACCCTGGATGGTATATTGATTTTATGTTCATTTTGTACAAAATACTAACAAGATAAGTTTTGATTGCTTTGCCACAGACGTGTTACAGCGCTGGGAGAGACTGCAGGCCCAGGCCATAGAGAAGGATTACCGACTGTCACAACAGCGCCAGGACTGGGGTCAGTTCCGTACTGACCTCGACAACATGCTGGCCTGGTTAGACAATGCTGAAGCCATGCAGGCTGGTCACTCACGTCTCCCTGGCGACATCGTCCAGCTAGATTCCATCATTAGACAACACAAGGTAAATAGTCACTCCCAGAGCTTTTCCAGAAAGAGCTTGATAATTAAGAGAAATTTTGTTTTCTCTGGTGGGGAATATTGTTAGTTTTGTGAGTGAATTTCCTTAGATACAAGTAGCATCACATTAGCAACAATTAAACCTCAAATACTGGAAAAAGTCACAGTAATACCAAATCACAAATATCAGAAAAGTCACAGTTATACCAAAGCACAAATATCAGAAAAGTCACTGTAATACATCCCCAAATATTGGGATGTGACATTACTTTGAATGATGTGCAGTGACAGTTCTGGGCTGTTTTGTGAGTAAGAAATGTTGTATCATTCTGGACATGTAAACTAGTGTGGATTGATTGCCAGCAAGATGTCTGTGTATGTTAATGGGGTAAAGATTTAACTGGGATGTTTAACAACCCATTAACCTGCTATCTATAGCATTAAACGTTAATGACTCCCGTTTATATTTCAGGATAGCCCTTACGGTCCTATGAAAGTAGAGGTATTGAAATCCACGGATTAGTTCGTTTATAATCTTCTTCTAGTCATTTGAGATTTCTGCTTTCCCCGTATAAAGCTTTGTATAACTAACCATACTGTCGTTGATGAAGGGCCCAGTTGGCTATGCTGAGTGTTGTAGTGGTTTCAGTGTTTGTCGTTTTGTGGCTATTTGATGGTTTCAGCTTGATAATTGAGTTTTAAGGAGGCGTGTGTTTTAAGATGTGATTCTTAAGTCATGAAAGAGTTGTTTCAACACTAACAATTAAAGCATGCTTAAAACTTCCTTCACTAATTTCGATCTCATATAAATACATTTCAGTTAACATCTTAATAAAGTTTTACATAGGTGTTACTTGGCTGTTTTCATGAAATCTTACCAGTCAACCATTTGTTTTTCGTCAGAGATACCCGAGGTATTGAATTTTGAAGTAGAATACATGCATCTGGTAAATGAGAGAAAGCTCCATGTTTTTGAAAATTCATTGTTTTGGAATATGTTTGGAGTTATTTCCCTTGTACAGTAGACACCTTGCATATTAGACATTTTCCCAAAATTTTACATTTCCTCACAAAATTTGTAATTGGAAGGTAATTAATAATTAGAATTCCTTGCTAATAAACAAATAAGCTTTATATAATAGCTTTATCAACTGTCAAAAATATATTAAATCAAAACAATTTGTATTCATTATTAACAACTGATAACAAGCCTACTTTTGGTGATAACTCAGAGTACTAACTGCATGTTTGATTTGATTTCTTATGTATTGCAGAATTCTAGGATATGAATTATAGAGTCGTATTGTTATACTATGTGCTTGTAGTTGCTGGCATTGTGTTCAGTTGAATGAAATGTCCCTTGGTTAGTTTATACAGCTCACCCTGAATTCATTTGAAGCTGACTGCAAGTTAAAGTGATTTCAGTCGAGATTTATGAAAAAGAAGAGCTCAAGTTGCAGTTTTCAGACTACTTGTGAGACCTGAGTGACTTTCTCTTCCAAACAAACTTTGGAATATCCAACCCTTTATTATAAGAAAGCAGTAGGTTCTGTCCCCAGGCTGGGATATACTAAAGTCTTTAAAAATGGTACAAAGTAATTGTAATTCTCTTCTTAACATTCAGCAGTTAGAGTAATCACAAATAACAGTAGTATTGATATAGAAATGAATTAATGGAAGTAAAAGATGTTAGATGAATAGTTACAATATTTCAAACATCTACATTGTACATACACATGTATTGGCATACAGTGTCAAATATATTATTTAATGCCCTCTTTAGTTGGTGATAATTTATATTTCTGAGGTCATTAATTCATTAAAGTAATATCTGTTTGTCTATTATCCATTAAATATGCTTCCTGGCCCTATTGTTTCTGGTGTTCGCTGATAGTGTAGTCTTGTTAAGACCTGCTGATAGTGTAGTCTTGTAAAGACCTGCTGATAGTGTAGCCTTGTGAAGACCTGCTGATAGTGAAGTCTTGTGAAGACCTGCTGATAGAGTAGTCTTGTTAAGACCTGATGATAGTGTAGTCTTGTTAAGGCCTGCTGATAGGGTAGTCTTGTGAAGGCCTGCTGATAGTGTAGGCTTGTGAAGACCTGCTGATAGTGTAGCCTTGTGAAGACCTGCTGATAGAGTAGTCTTGTTAAGACCTGATGATAGTGTAGTCTTGTTAAGACCTGATGATAGTGTAGTCTTGTTAAAGCCTGCTGATAGTGTAGTCTTATGAAGACCTGCTGATAGTATAGTCTTGTGAAGACCTGCTGATAGAGTAGTCTTGTTAAGACCTGCTGGTAGTGTAGTCTTTTTAAGACCTGCTGATAGTGAAGTCTTGTGAAGACCTGCTGATAGTGTAGTCTTGTTAAGACCTGCTTTATTTTCTAGTTTCTGATCAACATTAGTCTCTGATACCTTTCTCTGTCTCCAACATGTATTTCTACTAATGATTGTTAAATAATCCAGAATAGTAATGTATCATGTACAATAATCTCCAGATAAAACCTGGCCTGTAATCTCTCCAGGTAAAACATGGCCTGTAATCTCTCCAAGTAATACCTGGCCTGTAATCTATCCAGGTAATACTTGGCATGCAACCTCTCCAGGTAATACATGGACTGTAATATCCAGGTAATACCTAGCCTGTAATCTCCAGGTAATACCTAGCCTGTAATCTCCAGGTAATACCTAGCCTTTAATCTCCAGGTAATACCTAGCCTGTAATCTCCAGGTAATACATAGCCTGTAATCTCTCCATGTAGTTCCTCGCCTGTAATCTCCTGGTAATACATGGCCTGTAATCTCCAGGTAATACATGGCCTGTAATCTCTAGGTAATACCTAGCCTGTAATCTCTCCATGTCGTTCCTCGCCTGTAATCTCCAGGTAATATATGGACTGTAATCTCTCCATGTCGTTCCTCGCCTATAATCTCCAGGTTATACATGGCCTGTAATCTCCAGGTAATACCTAGCCTGTAATCACTCCAGGTAATACATGGCCTGTAATCTCTCCATGTCGTTCCTCGCCTATAATCTCCAGGTAATACGTACATGGCCTGTAATCTCCAGGTAATACCTAGCCTGTAATCACTCCAGGTAATACATGGCCTGTAATCTCTCCATGTCGTTCCTCGCCTATAATCTCCAGGTTATACATGGCCTGTAATCTCCAGGTTATACATGGCCTGTAATCTCTCCATGTAGTTCCTCACCTTTAATCTCCAGGTAATACATGGCCTGTAATCTCCAGGTAATACATCGCCTGTAATCTCCAGGTAATACATGGCCTGTAAACTTTCTAGGTAATTCATGGCCTGTAATCTTTCTAGGTAATATATTGTCTTTAATCTCCAGGTTATATATAGCTTGTGTTCAGGAAATAAGTTTGTTTTATATTAATATATATAGAAAATTCAGTAAAGTAAAGTGAAGATGTAAGCCCAGCTGTTGACAGAAATGTTTCACTGTTAGTGATATATCACTCCCGTACAAAATTTAGTTCAAGTAAATGTTTTGTTCCTGCTTTTGGTTTTTTCTTGATTTAACAAATTATTTTGTCTTTTTTTTACAGGACTTTTTAGTACAACTAGAATCAAAGAAAACCCGAGTGCTTTCTATCAATCTTATCAGTAAAAACTTTATAGACATTCGCACTGACGAAGGTCGTCTGCTCAAAGACAAATTGCGCCTGATGAACCGACGTTGGGAGGCCATGTGTGCCCATGCGACGACACTACAGCAGGAACTACAGGTGGCACTGATGCAGTGTCAAGAATTCCACCACACAATACATGATCTATTGCTGTGGTTGGAAAACATCGAGACCAAACTACAACAAAATGAGCCCATCAACCTAGGTGCTGATAACAGTGCCCTCTGGTCAAAACTCAAGAAACTCAAGGTACAGTCAAACTTCTAAACTTACAGCAAAGTCCAAAAAATTTCCCGTCATATAACACTACTTATACAATTTTTTGATTCAAACTATTATAATTCAAATTTTTCGCTGTTTCAAAGTGTAATCAAGGCCCATTCATTATGAAAAGACTGACAAATATACCTAAAAAAATCCAGGTGAATAATTAAACTGTACTAGAACATTAAAATGTCCTGCGGTTATTTTTATAGAACAGGCTTCGGAATTTAATTGACAATAAAATATTAAATTTGATGAAATACAATATTAATATTTGAAAAAACATGTATTGAGCCTATGTTTTAAGAATCACATTGTGTCTTATTTACAGGATCTCAATGTTTAATATTCGTGATCAAAGTCTTGATGTTTTGAAATTTTCCAGATAGTCCCGCAAAGTTCGAAACATCGAAGTTTGACTGTAATTAACTCATTGGTGTATTAATAGCATATCTATAGCTGTGGAGACATCAAAACCTATTACCTAATGTCTATCCAGAAAGATGTTTAATCAGAAAAACAATATGTCCCATTGAAACTTGCATGTTTAAGTTTTAACTTTGAGATAACCTTAAACTTGATCATATTAAGTCAAACTTGCCTAAGTTAAATACAATTAAGTTTGACCCAATTCAGGGTAGTACATAGCTGATATGTACCAGACTTACCTGTCACAGGTCACATGATGTACTAGTCACATGACATACCTGTCATAGGTCACATGATGTACCAGTCACATGACATACCTGTCACAGGTCACATGATGTACAAATCACATGACATACTTGTCTCAGGTCACATGATGTACCAGTCACAAAACATACCTGTCACAGGTCACATGATGTACCAGTCACATGACATACTTGTCTCAGGTCACTTGATGTACCAGTCACATGACTTACCTGTCAAAGGTCACATGATGTACTAGTCACATGTTACACTTGTCACAGGTTACATGACATACCAGTCACATGACTTACCTGTCAAAGGTCACATGATGTACCAGTCACATGACTTACCTGTCAAAGGTCACATGATGTACTAGTTACATGTTACACTTGTCACAGGTCGCATGACATACCAGTCACATGACATACTTGTCTCAGGTCACAAGATGTACCAGTCACATAACTAACCTGTCAAAGGTCACTTGATGTAACAGTCACATGACTTACCTGTCAAAGGTCACATGATGTATTAGTCACATGCTACACTTGTCACAGGTCACATGACATACCAGTCACATGACTTACCTGTCAAAGGTCACATGATGTACCAGTCACATGACTTACCTGTTAAAGGTCACATGATGTACCAGTCACATGTTATACCGGTCACAGGTCACATGATGTACCAGTCACATGACATACTTGCCTCAGGTCACAAGATGTACCAGTCACATAACTAACCTGTCAAAGGTCACTTGATGTACCAGTCACATGACTTACCTGTCAAAGGTCACATGATGTACTAGTCACATGTTACACTTGTCACAGGTCACATGACGTACCAGTCACATGACTTACCAGTCACATGACTTACCTGTCAAAGGTCACATGATGTACCAGTCACATGACTTACCTGTTAAAGGTCACATGATGTACCAGTCACATGTTATACCTGTCACAGGTCACATGGTAAAATGTGCTGCTGTATAACCAGACTTTGTTGGTTGATACAACTACAAATGTTTAATTGCTGTTTGTAGGAGATTCGGTCCGAGTTACAGGGTAACCAGCCGCGTGTGACATCACTGAAGGATACTGCTGATCAGCTACTGATGAACACAGACTCAACTGAGATGGTCAATGCTAAGGACAAGATGCACATCATTGCCAACCGTTTGCGTTCCTTACTGCGTCTCTGCTCCTCTTACATCCTCAGTCTGGAAGACCGACTGGAGATCCGTCCTTACTCCAAAACACCATCAGTAAGTTATTGATACTAACTCCATTGTTCCTTTAGCTGATATCATTAATCAGGATTTCCATTCCCCATCCCCAATCTTTTTATGCCCTGCCACAAAGAGTTTTTTTTAGTTTTCACTTATTATTGGAGGAAAAAATTGTCTTAGGCGCTGGCCATATCTCTGGGGTTGTATTTGTTTTGGGGGCTGGCCATATCTCTGGGGTTGTATTTGTCTTGGGGGCTGGCCATATCCCTGGGGTTGTATTTGTCTTGGGGGATGGCCATATCTCTGGGGTTGTATTTGTCTTGGGGGCTAGCCCTATCTCTGGGGTTGTATTTGTTTTGGGGGCTGGCCATATCTCTGGGGTTGTTTTTGTCTTGGGGGCTAGCCCTATCTCTGGGGTTGTATTTGGCTTGGGGGCTGGCCATATCTCTGGGGTTGTTTTTGTCTTGGGGGCTGGCCATATCCCTGGGGTTGTTTTTGTCTTGGGGGATGGCCATATCTCTGGGGTTGTATTTGTCTGGGGGGCTGGCCATATCCCTGGGGTTGTATTTGTCTTGGGGGGTGGCCCTATCTCTGGGGGTGTATTTGTCTTGGGGGCTGGCCATATCCCGGGGGTTGTATTTGTCTTGGGGGCTGGCCATTTCTCTGGGGTTGTATTTGTCTTGGGGGCTGGTCGTATCTCTGGGGTTGTATTTGTTTTGGGGGGCTGGTCATATCTCTGGGGTTGTATTTGTGTTGGGGGCTGGCCATATCTCTGGGGTTGGATTTGTCTTGGGGGCTGGCCCTATCTCTGGGGATGTATTTGTCTTGGGGGCTGGTCATATCTCTGGGGTTGTATTTTTCTCGGGGGCTGGCCATATCTCTGGGGTTGTATTTATCTTGGGGGCTGGTCATATCTCTGGGGTTGTATTTGTCATGGGGGCTGGCCATATCTCTGGGGTTGTATTTGGCTTGGGGGCTGGCCATATCCCTGGGGTTGTATTTGTCTTGGGGGATGGCCATATCTCGGGGGTTGTATTTGTCTTGGGGGCTAGCCCTTTCTCTGGGAATGTATTTGTCTCGGGGGCTGGCCATATCTGTGGGGTTGTATTTGTCTTGGGGGCTGGTCATATCTCTGGGTTTGTATTTGTCTTGGGGGCTGGCCATATCTCCGGGGTTGTATTTGTCTTGGGGGCTGGCCATTTCTCTGGGGTTGTATTTGTCTTGGGGGCTGGTCGTATCTCTGGGGTTGTATTTGTTTTGGGGGCTGGTCATATCTCTGGGGTTGTATTTGCCTTGGGGGCTGGTCATATCTCTGGGGTTGTATTTGCCTTGGGGGCTGGTCATATCTCTGGGGTTGTATTTTTCTCGGGGGCTGGCCATATCTCTGGGGTTGTATTTGTATTGGGGGCTGGCCCTATCTCTGGGGATGTATTTGTCTGGGGGGCTGGTCATATCTCTGGGGTTGTATTTGTGTTGGGGGCTGGCCATATCTCTGGGGTTGGATTTGTCTTGGGGGCTGGCCCTATCTCTGGGGATGTATTTGTCTGGGGGGCTGGTCATATCTCTGGGGTTGTATTTGGCTTGGGGGCTGGCCATATCTCTGGGGTTGTTTTTGTCTTGGGGGCTGGCCATATCTCTGGGGATGTATTTGTCTTGGGGGCTAGCCCTATCTTTGGGGTTGTATTTGTCTTGGGGGCTAGCCCAATCTCTGGGAATGTATTTGTCTCGGGGGCTGGCCATATCTCTGGGGTTGTATTTGTCTTGGGGGGCTAGCCCTATCTCTGGGGTTGTATTTGGCTTAGGGGCTAGCTCTATCTCTGGGGTTGTATTTGCAATACATGTATTCCTTTCAATGAGAATATTTTACTGTGATTGCTTAAATATACAGGTGGAGAAAACAGGCTTGTTGGGCCTTTTGTTCAGTTGACACCAGTGTTAACAACTACTGTCAGCCCTGAAGTGTTTGTATAAATATTCATCAACAATGTTTGATTTACTCTAAATGCATAAAGAGCACTTCCAAATCAAGCCCCTAGAGTAGATTTAAAAAGTTAAAACTGTGTCCATCTCCAATCCACAGCCGTCACACAGCCTGGACGTAAGTGGTGACAGTCGCTCATCAGATCTCAGCACCGGCTCAGTCGTATCACGTTCTGCAAGGACCAGTACACCAAGATTCTCTCCCAACTACAGACCAGGCTCATTCCTCCGCAACAGGACTCGCTCACCCTTAGCACTGTCCAGACAGGTAATTACTGACCTAACGAAGTGTCCAGCACCTCACCTGTGTGGAGTGTCCATAGCTCACCGTAATCACCATCATCATGTAGCTAGTGTTATCTAAGATTGTTATACCATGTGTATAGAGGGGTTGGTTTCAGGTTAGAGATGACTTAGTCCACTCCTACAATCTTTCCAGTAGTTGAAGTTTGTATAACAATAATCCTATATTGAATTAGATTTAGTTATTTTACATTTTACAAGAAATCAAGGTTATTTTGATTAGAAATGAATGTCATTTCAATGTTATTATTGACACCTGTCATAAAGGTCTTGTGTATAATGTTGTGAAGAATTTCTATTTTATAATTGACTTTTTATTTTACAGTATTTGACACACAGAAATTCTAATTTGACTGTCCGAATTGTCTCCCTTTGAGGTTTATTTTGGTGTTGCATTATTACCAGATACAGCTGCTGTTGTTTACATGGCTAGCGGGGTATGTACCCAGCTACACTTGTGTGACATTGACCTTAAAACCTGTGACCTTGAACTCTGAACTCTCTGGTAGCACTGTACATTTGTGCCGGGTGTCTGCATGACTACATGTCATAACAGTGGTTTCTTCTTTATACAAGTTGTCTGATTTCACTGATTTCTCCTGTATACAAGTTGTCTGATTTCACTAATTTCTCCTGTGTACAAGTTATCTGATTTCACTGGTAACATTCATTGCCCTGGCTGTGTCATTTCCCAAACCTCTGATTTATAAGTCATACAGTTGACATAGTGTAAAAGATGTGCATTGATTAGATTGCCTCACAAGCGTCAGCTGTAGGGAATTTCCCTTTAGCTGATCAGCGGTAGAGCATCGGGCTGGAGAGCCAAGGGTCGCGGGTTCGAGCCCCAGTGACGGCACTATCTTTATCACTATTCCTCGTCCTATTACAAGTGAGTTGTTGTAAAGTTTTAGGCAGCTCTCATCTCCTAATTAGTGGCTGTGGCTCTCTATTCTAGGAGGTGTGTGATCAGAATTCAGATAGCACCATTAGTTCTGATGGTAATTTAGAGTTGGTTTATGGTAGCACCATTAACCCGGTTTGTAGTTTCTCTGTAGAAATCGTTCTGTTTTCACTGGTAGATGATGAGTTTGATCATTAAGATTTCTGGTGAATTCGCCCCATGCAGTACTTTTAAGACAGAATGTCGGATACAATATTTCAACAAGATCTAATATTGGATTGTGATAATTTGGAGATTTCTAAATGAAACCTCCATTACACTGTCCATCACCTGGCTGTTAGGTTTAGATCATAAGGTGGAGTTACTGAGATAGAACTCCTCCAGCTCCAACAGCTGATATATAACCCACCGATAGTCATGTCCTCCTCAACCGATAGTCATGTCCTCGATCGATAATCATGTCCTCATTGTTTGTTGACTTGCTACACCAGGAGGTAAGCACATATCTTTTAATGAATGTTTTGTTTTCACTTACAGGGAGGAATCCTGACACCCATTCCCCCCTCTCACCTTCAAATTGTCAGCACACAAATACACAGATATTCAAATGTCTTATCCTGATGTTGTAAAGTGTATTAGAATAGTAAAATGATCTATCTGTTATTTTAGGAATTTAAAATCATTATTCTCAATGTTATTTTGTAAAATAATAATAATGAAAGTGAAATAGAATTAAGGTTTCAATCCAATGTTTTCCATCTGATCGCTTATTGTGTCTATATAGATTTGTTTCCTAGAAATGGACCTCCTCACCGATCGTAGTAATGCTAACACAATCTGTGTATCAAACAGAAATTAAAATTTGACCACATTGATACAGAACAGGAAAGAAAATTAATTGAAAGAAGTGTTTGGAAAATTATGAAAATATGCTGTAATTTGTGTTAGAATACTACGGTTGATGTAGGAATGCATTGATGGCCTCTGTTTTTTAGGATTTTGCTGTTTTAACAATTTTGCTGCTTCGATTACGTTTTCTGGTGATAGAACTTCCTGTTGCTTTCGAAAGTGATGAAATGTTCTATGATACCACAGACGGTGGAGAGGCCTGCCCTACATTGAATCCTGAATTGCGGATCACTTGGCAGTGGATCCCTACCACTGATTCATTAGCAGACCCATGGATATCCCCAGTGAACCATTCCCAGTGTATCGTAGAGATGAGCAATTATTGCTTTTTAATGAAATGAATTATTAAAATAGTAACCAATCAAAGAAGACCTATCTATGATCCTGTTCACTGTGGAACCTGGGCACTGACTCTTTGTCCCATACAAGACTAGCCTTACTTTGTATCAATGGCTACTGGCATTGTACAAACACTTTCTCCAGGGCTATTTTTGGATAACGAAACTCTGCTTTGTTTTTTTAGTTAAGATTTGGAGGTGATAGAACATTTTCTTGAAGTCTTTTTGGTAGACACAAATAAATTCCAAACATGATGACGGTTTCATTAAACATTTTTTCCAAAACACTTTGTCTGCAACTCGTTGTAGAAAGTTTTCGACTGCATCTGTCCTGCTTCAGTCTCACTAATGAAATATTGTCTTAACACATTTGTTATTACCATTTCTGAATCGAAGAAATACATTCAAAAATGGACATGACATTAAAAAAAAAAAATCCAGACTTTTTTCCTCAGTGAGAATGAAGGACGACAGGAGTCTGAATGTCAGTCTGAATGTCCGACAGAAGTCGGAATGTCCTTCGGAACTAACGTGGAGACTGTGTCAATGTGTGGAGAAGCTTATATGGGGCAAGGAGTTAAAGGTGTATCATCACCCAGACAGCTTCCTCCTGACACCGCTATATGGCTACAGTGGACTGGTCCGACTGGCTGGTCTACTGGACGATAGGCAGTGTACATATTGTGTGGTTTGGCTAGTAGAGTAGGCCAGTGATTCTGTCTTTCCTTTGTTACTTCCTGCAGCTGTTGTACGGACTGGCGCGACCGTTGCTGGGAGCAGGGGCCTCTGCCCCACACTCGGACAAGTAATGTGGCTACTACTACACTGCTACCCTGGTTACTGTATATGCAGCCCCGTATTATCTAGGTGGTGGCCCACAATTATCTCCCTTGGCAGAAATTAGCATCTTGTCCACATTGTCGCAACGCTTTATTTTCATGGTCCTATCTAATTTTGCATTTTTGAATTGAGAATTCAGCCGTGATCAGTTTTGATTACTTATCTTTCATTTGATTCTTGCATCTACATATAGTTGGCATGTCCTCAGCACTTACACCTGTGGAGGAGGCACAGAAACAAAATACAGCCATTTTACATTTGTTCTGAGTATGTGACTTCAATACTGTGGTTATCTATAATCAAGTGTATAACTGTGGTTATCTATAATCTATTGTATACTAATTCATGGTAATGTGTTAAGTACTTAGCATGCTAAATTCATTGTAAATATAACTGCATGATAATTGGTTATATATATTCCACCAAGTCGATGATTAACTTAATTATGAGATACAGTAAGTAAAAGGCTGTCGGTATGTTAACACTAGCATTAGAAGTTTGCTGCTTTCCTTTCAGACAACACAAATCTGATCCTATGCACACCTTATAAATATATCACTGGAAAATAAATCTCTAGATCATCCCCAGCCAAGTTAGTGTCAAACATCCAAAGTTTTCCCTCACAGTTAAAATTTCCCAAAGATTTGGTAATTTTTTAATTTTCTCCAACAAGATGTGCGCTACCTGTGGACCAGCTAGGTCAGTGAAGGGCTGGCTGACCCTTTAGGTCCTCTCATCAAATATTATCGTTCACATATTTTTTTTCAAATTTGAAAACAGTGCTTCTTTCTTATGACCCAGGGGAAGAGAATTATATTTCACAGACGTTACTTTAGTTTAGCTAAGATATCAAATTTGGCTTACTTCTCTAAATATTTTAAGCACTGAAATTGGAATATAAGGAGAATTTTAGTGTGAGGGCTGACACCTGAGATTCTATACATCAAAACATACTGAAGTATTATAACAGAATGCCACTTAACGAGTAGAAAGTACTCTCTGTGAAACGAGTAAAAAGTAGTAGAGTAAAAAGTACTCTCTGTGAAACGAGTAGAAAATACTCTCTGTGAAACGAGTAAAAAGTACTCTCTGTGAAACGAGTAGAAAGTACTCTCTGTGAAACGAGTAGAAAGTACTCTCGGTGAAACGAGTAGAAAGTACTCTCTGTGAAACGAGTAAAAAGTACTCTCTGTGAAACGAGTAGAAAGTACTCTCTGTGAAACGAGTAAAAAGTACTCTTGGTGAAACGAGTAAAAAGTACTCTCTGTGAAACGAGTAAAAAGTACTCTCTGTGAAATGAGTTGAAAGTACTCTCTGTGAAACGAGTAAAAAGTACTCTCTGTGAAACGAGTAGAAAGTACTCTCTGTGAAACGAGTAGAAAGTACTCTCTGTGAAACGAGTAAAAAGTACTCTCGGTGAAACTGGGTATGTTAAAAGGTGTTACAAAAGAGTTTCTATTTAGCATATAGGAGTGAAATCAAGGAGCTTTGTATACCTCTTGCTTTTATGTTAGTCACATTAACTCATTCACCCCTGAAGACACATTTGAACTCTTCCAATTTAAAGGTTGAAATAGTTCATTATTAATTTTCAGGGGTGAATGAGTTAAGAATATATAAAGAGCAGCTATAAGTGTAATTATTGTATATATAAACATTGTATGGCTGTGTTGTTTGTACTACATGTGTTCCAGTAATCCCTTGCCTGCGCTTTGAACTTTAGAATTCAGCTGCATGCCTATTTTAGCCGAGATTTGTTTGCAGTTACATATTGTGCACTGTTTTGACTTTATTTGCGAACTTTTCAGCTTCGATGGCCATGATCAAGCACTGACTTTCTCTGTAACTTCTCTGCAACTTTTCATTAACAAGGCAGATTTTATTTCATTTTCTAGGAAGCATGTGCTGTTGCGGGTCACCCCTTACCATACCTAGCTAAAATGTAGGGAGTATCAAGCTTAAAGCATTGTGGCAAACATAGTCGCCTCCCTTTGTCAGTGATTGAATGTCTTTGTCTTGTACTTAATTGTCTGCCTTTCTTATTAGATTTAGTTATAGCAAAACAAAACTTGTAAATGTAGTAAAGTTCTTTCCTGCATTGGATGTCATCATATCAAAGTCTGTGCCTGCATTGGACAAAGTATAAAAGTATTACCTGGTACTCATCACCAAAATCTCTATTTCAAATCATTTTCAAGATATGTTTGTTTTCCAAACCTTTTCATAATATGACGTTTAGCCAGCCATCTTATATGTTCAAATTGCTCGTCATCCATTTTCCATCCTTACACAATTCTTTTTTATCTCTATTTCTCAATAATAAATGGTTCCTCGTAGTGTTTAGTTGTACGTATATGTTCTATTAGTTACTGATGGGAAAAACAAGATGGCTATCAGTCAGCCATCTGGAATATTAAAAGTTCAAGTTTGTTATCAATATTTCTTAAGATGTTCGGGATGGCTCTTCCTCAAATTTCATACGTAGATTACCTTGATCCTTAGATGTGCATTATTAAACTTGAGACTTATCAAAAGAAAAGATGGCTGCCAGGTGGCCATCTTGTAATTAGATCATTCAAGTATGTTATCACTATTCTCTATTAAATACTTCGCAGAATTTTCTAAACTTCCATGTGTAGGTTCCCCTTGGTCCCAAGATTTGTATGCCATTGTATTACTCTCAATATTGAGACGATTGCCAGATGGACATCGTGGATATAGAGGACGGAGCTTACTAAACTATCAGTGTAGGTTCCCCTTGGTCCTTAGATGTGCCGGTTTCAATTTACAAGTAAAGAGCTTATGAAAAAGGTGTCTTTAACAGATTTTATTTTATATTTATGCCAACATGGGCTTCTACACCTAGTAAGGGTTTTGATAATCAGTCAAGGTTGAAAAATGAGGTCAAGTGTTTGACAAACTTGATAGGTGAAACAAAACATAATTTATGGCGATCTCATGATGGCAGTTTTATCTTCTAATCTTCTAATATATTAGACTTCCAAATAAAAAAAATGACTTGCAACTTTACCAAATTCCATTTTTCTATTGCAAAGCAAAGTTTAGATATCAACAGTGCTGGTCCAGCTTGATATGCAGACTTCCCCCTTTGTTTTACATAAACATCATCGAGTGTAGTAGTTGTTGTTTTTGACGTAGTCTTTACCTATAAAATATGTTTGATTACTAAAACCAGGTGCTGGTAGTAAGATATTTATATAGATGGCTTTAAACTATTAATCTACAATCTTTTTCTTCAGGAAACAATCATTTAAAATATATTTAATAGTAGTAAAATCTCAAAATGTATGAAACAGAAATTTCAACTTTGAGAAGTATTTTGTTTCCTTCTTCATCAACACTGTGATTCATTAACACCCTCATCCAAAGTCTTCCCTAAATCTTCTAATCAACTAACCCAGCTACCACTAGCCAGTCTAAAACAGTAGTTTAACACTTCTACCACTAGCCAGTCTAAAACAGTAGTTTAACCCTTCTACCACTAGCCAGTCTAAACCAGTAGTTTAACACTTCTACCACTAGCCAGTCTAAAACAGTAGTTTAACACTTGATTGCATGTGATCACTAACCTGCACTCACTGCATGTGGCGATATCACCGAGACAGACATGGCTTGTTGTCATGGTGATACGGTACCCTCCTGGACTTGCTAACATTTTCCTGGTGACACAGATTGTGTCTCCTTGTTCTCCATAACTCATCCTAACCAGCAACATTCAATTTTCATAGAAAATAATCATTTATAATCATTGATGAAGTTTTCATTATGTTTTTATTAAGAGTTGATTTCCTCCTAAGTCTACACTCACTAAAGTTAATGTCATCGTGATTCACATTATCTTGCCTTTTTTTACTTTTCTTTTTAATAAGTTGTCTTCACATTGTCATTTTAATTGGTGTTTTAACACTTGTCACCATTTCCTATCACTCTCCTTGTTATCAATAACTGCTGGAGCTTCTCCTTCAAACATTCAGAGCTATCACCATCATATCAAGATTAGGATTTCATTGAATATTTTCATTCCATGTGAATAATTCTGTACTGTGAAGGACGTGGTTGTTTGTGGATGTCTTGAAATATATATTTTTCATCAATGTATTTTTATTTAAATACATGTAAATTTGTTCATTAAAATCACAAAAAATAATAATCAAACAACGCATTTTCCACTGCAGTATATCAGTTATTTACAAATATTTACTGAAATGCAAATTTTTGTCGACATAAAGAATTTATATTGGTTTAATTTCGTTCTTGTAGCTTAACCGGACCACGTGATGAGGACCACGTTTCCGTATCTGCGGGGCTGCTACGGAGGACATTTTGGGCCGCTCTGCCATTACAGATTCTGTTCCTGTTGTTGCTAGGAATTGCTAGTCTCATACCAATGACGGAGGACGATTATAGCTGTGATTTAGTGAACAATTTCCGCCGTTCACTTGGACCTATGTTACGATATAAGGATGGTCCACCACCTACGTGAAAAAGGGTTTTTTACTTTAGAGAGAAAAATTGTGATTGTATTTATTATTATACAGATACTATATTTTCCCATTATTGTCCAAAAGGGACACACTGGATGTGTGAAGATGTGTCGAAAACCTTATTCCAGTGTAGAGTATGACCAATGTCTCCTCTGATTGGATACACTGGATGTGTGAAGATGTGTCGAAAACCTTATTCCAGATACATATAAGAGTATGACCAATGTCTCCTCTGATTGGACAATTTACAAAGCATCGATACTTGTCCAGTGTATTAAACATTACTTGCCATAACCTCATCAGACCGACCTAAAGTCCCGTCATCATCATCTGTATATATTATACATGGTACAACCTTATACTGTTACATGTAATGGTATGTTATTTTACATTGTTAGTCTGTAGGACTGTTACATGTAATGGTATGTTATATGTAATGGTATGTTATTTTACATTGTTAGTCTGTAGGACTGTTACATGTAATGGTATGTTATTTTACATTGTTAGTCTGTAGGACTGTTATATGTAATTGTATGTTATTTTACATTGTTAGTCTGTAGGACTTGTTAATTAAATATGATATGGTATCCACATGCTTTATTGTGTTTTGCATGTCCAGGATATTTGACATTTTATGGCATACTTCCCCAATGACTTGGTTTACCTTCCCTGTTAAAATTGGATCCATTTTATTAAACTCTTTTATCCACTTTATACAAAGGAAACATTTTAGTTAACAAGACGAGTAGTTAGCACCAGTGTGTTAGTTGTTGCTACGGTTACACCAGTATTTAGACACAACACAAGAGGCTTTATATTGAATACTGTGTCAATTGTGAGTCAACGTTTGCGATGGCCAAAGGCTTCGAGTATAACTGTGATTTTACTGGCCGCTACTCTTGCTATGATTATGCATGAAAATTTTGCCCTTTGTGAGAATGGCTTGTCAGTGTCTCTTTGATATGGGTTCCCAGGTTTGTGGGTGTGGCTATCTCATTATCTCCGCCCATGATGTTTGACTGACAGGTGTCAGAACCTGAAACCTCGGTAAGATACACCAGACACCAGTGCTTGTTTGTATATATATCTAATTTTGATACAATTGTCCTGTGGATTGGTATTTTACCTAACAGTGTTTGTAAGATTTGTATAATCCTGCCTCTTGTCTTAATGGCAGCAATATTGACTGTGATATACCTTTGACATTATCTCCTTGTTGTCTGTGCATTTGTCGTATTTATTTAAACCTTTTTTTATTTATTGCTTGAATCACATAAAAAAGATCTAAAGGAAATATTTATACACAATTTTATCTATGATAAATGTAAGATTTTAACTATGATAATTGGAACAGTATACTACTTTATATGTAATCTCAGTAAATGTTATTGCAGAGTACGGTTGTAAGGAGATCGCTATTATATGTGTGTAGGGTCGACTGCTGTATATCCTTAGTAGTGTTGTATAGCCATTGTGTATGATAACGATAGCTGTGTAATTAGTACCATGTTATAATCTTAGCTGTTCAGCGTCTCAGAACTATTTTGTTAAGAAAAGGTAAAAAATAAATATTATAATAAAATATTGATTCTTGTTTTGTAGTTTGTGCAGATGTCGATCTGGGCTGGGGGCAGGGGTGATTATGTGTGCAGATGTCGATCTGGGCTGGGGGCAGGGGTGATTATGGTATACCATATGTCTATATAGCAGTAAGGTACAGTGTAATATGCCAATGACGGACGTTTCTGATAAAACATTTTTAAAATTGATCAGAAAACTGGAGAAATTGCTAAATGCTACCTCCGCAATATATTAACACACCTGTACAACACACGAAGATGCTTGGAACACAATGGCATAACTAGCTGGGACATGAAATCCATCGATGTTTAAAACAAATACTAATTTTGAATTACCAAATCCATCGACCTAGCAATCATATTTCTCATAATATACCCATGGATTTTGTTAATTTCTTCCTCAATCCTATCACCAATACAAACATTAATGCTTATATAATTGTCATCACCAGGTATTTAAATTTTAAAAAATCAAGTGTTACTAGCCATATTCGAGAAATTCAAAATATATTCACATTATGTTTCTCATTAACATTCTCCTTTATTTGAAATTAAAAAAAAAGAAGAAAGAAAAAAGCTGAAAAAAATACTCTCGGATTGACTTAAACGAAAGTTGAAGCACTGTGATAGTAGTCGTTTCTAGGTAATCCACTACACCAAGAACCTGCTGATTACAAGGCATAGAAAAGGAACTGTATTTGTAATGTTTGGTTCCACCAGGTATCGTACCTGGTACCTCCAGCTGTCTGGTCCACCACATCACATACACCAGATAACCTCCTGTTTTACCCTCTGTTTGGTTCCACCAAGAATTGTACCTGGTACCTCCAGCTGTCTGGTCCACCACATCACATACACCAGATAACCTCCTGTTTTACCCTCTGTTTGGTTCCACCAGGGATCGTACCTGGTACCTCCAGCTGTCTGGTCCACCACATCACATACACCAGATAACCTCCTGTTTTACCCTCTGTTTGGTTCCACCAAGAATTGTACCTGGTACCTCCAGCTGTCTGGTCCACCACATCACATACACCAGATAACCTCCTGTTTTACCCTCTGTTTGGTTCCACCAGGGATCGTACCTGGTACCTCCAGCTGTCTGGTCCACCACATCACATACACCAGATAACCTCCTGTTTTACCCTCTGTTTGGTTCCACCAAGAATTGTACCTGGTACCTCCAGCTGTCTGGTCCACCACATCACATACACCAGATAACCTCCTGTTTTACCCTCTGTTTGGTTCCACCAGGGATCGTACCTGGTACCTCCAGCTGTCTGGTCCACCACATCACATACACCAGATAACCTCCTGTTTTACCCTCTGTTTGGTTCCACCAAGAATTGTACCTGGTACCTCCAGCTGTCTGGTCCACCACATCACATACACCAGATAACCTCCTGTTTTACCCTCTGTTTGGTTCCACCAGGGATCGTACCTGGTACCTCCAGCTGTCTGGTCCACCACATCACATACACCAGATAACCTCCTGTTTTACCCTCTGTTTGGTTCCACCAGGGATCGTACCTGGTACCTCCAGCTGTCTGGTCCACCACATCACATACACCAGATAACCTCCTGTTTTACCCTCTGTTTGGTTCCACCAAGAATTGTACCTGGTACCTCCAGCTGTCTGGTCCACCACATCACATACACCAGATAACCTCCTGTTTTACCCTCTGTTTGGTTCCACCAGGGATCGTACCTGGTACCTCCAGATGTCTGGTCCACCACATCACATACACCAGATAACCTCCTGTTTTATCCTCTGTTTGGTTCCACCAGGGATCGTACCTGGTACCTCCAGATGTCTGGTCCACCACATCACATACACCAGATAACCTCCTGTTTTATCCTCTGTTTGGTTCCACCAGGGATCGTACCTGGTACCTCCAGATGTCTGGTCCACCACATCACATACACCAGATAACCTCCTGTTTTATCCTCTGTTTGGTTCCACCAGGGATCGTACCTGGTACCTCCAGATGTCTGGTCCACCACATCACATACACCAGATAACCTCCTATTTTATCCTCTGTTTGGTTCCACCAAGAATTGTACCTGGTACCTCCAGATGTCTGGTCCACCACATCACATACACCAGATAGCATCCTCTATTTTACGCTTGCTTTTTGCTATAGATAGAAACGTTTGAGTTTGAGAACTTTTGATAGTTCAAAATGGTAGATAACGTCTATATTTTTCAACAGTTCATAAGTTTATCAAGGTTGGGCAGTTCTAATCACTTTTGGTTCCGAGTCCATCACTCAGTCTGTCTGTAAACCATTTCTGTTGGTACTGTTTCACAGAAACCCCTGATGGGATCTGGATGGAACTAGGTCCCTGTAATCCTGATCCCCTTGGTCCATGGTTGTGTACTTGATAGGAGCTTATGGATGTTGACTAGTTATCCTCCGTTTCCACTGTTGCGGGATGTATCTTCACTAATTGATTTGATCGGAAGTACAGCAGTAATCCTGATCCCCTTGGTCCATGGTTGTGTACTTGATAGGAGCTTATGGATGTTGACTAGTTATCCTCCGTTTCCACTGTTGCAGGATGTATCTTCACTAATTGATTTGATCGGAAGTACAGCAGTAATCCTGATCCCCTTGGTCCATGGTTGTTTACTTGATAGTTGCCTATGGATGTTGACTGGTTATCCTCCGTTTCCACTGTTGCGGGATGTATCTTCACTAATTGATTTGATCGGAAGTACAGCAGTAAGATCGTATGTACCTGATGGGTCTGACAATTACCTGGTGTTCATATGTTGATCATTATAAATTATACACTCACAATTACCTAGTGTTCATATGTTGATCATTATAAAACACTCACAATTACCTAGTGTTCATATGTTGATCACTATAAAACACTCACAATTACCTAGTGTTTATATGTTGATCATTATAAAACACTCACAATTACCTGGTGTTCATATGTTGATCATTATAAAACACTCACAAATACCTAGTGTTTATATGTTGATCATTATAAAACTCTCACAATTACCTCGTGTTTATATGTTGATCATTATAAAACACTCACAATTACCTGGTGTTCATATGTTGATCATTATAAAACACTCACAAATACCTAGTGTTTATATGTTGATCATTATAAAACACTCACAATTACCTGGTGTTCATATGTTGATCATTATAAAACACTCACAAATACCTAGTGTTTATATGTTGATCATTATAAAACACTCCCAATTACCTAGTGTTCATATGTTGATCATTATAAAACACTCACAATTACCTGGTGTTCATATGTTGATCATTATAAATTATACACTCACAATTACCTAGTGTTCATATGTTGATCATTATAAAACACTCTCAATTACCTAGTGTTCATATGTTGATCATTATAAAACACTCACAAATACCTAGTGTTTATATGTTGATCATTATAAAACACTCACAATTACATGGTGTTCATATGTTGATCATTATAAAACACTCACAATTACCTTGTGTTTATATGTTGATCATTATAAAACACTCACAATTACCTAGTGTTCATATGTTGATCATTATAAAAAAACACTCACAATTCAACTTCAAACAACTTAGTCAAATTTATTCTCTGATTGGATAGTATAGTATACAAGGGGGATACTTGCTGATAAGGATACAATCAATCTAGAAATTCATAACGGGACCTTCAAAACGCACATTCAAGCCGGACATTTAAACATTAGCTGTGATCTATAAAAGTCAGTTCTACATATAAATTATAAAGTCAATCTACATCATAAATTACAAGGATTTTTTGAAAACCAGTTTCATCAATAAATTTTCACAACACATTTAGACCAAAACACCTAGCTGTACCACAGTCACTCCATCGGTCCCAGACTCGCTGTCTGGTACCATTGGTCCTAGACTCGCTGTCTGGTACCATTGGTCCTAGACTGGCTGTCTGGTACCATCAGTCCTAGACTCGCTGTAAGGTACCATTGGTCCTAGACTCGCTGTTAGGTACCATTGGTCCTAGACTCGCTGTTAGGTACCATAGGTCCTTGACTCGCTGTTAGGTACCATTGGTCCTAGACTCGCTGTTAGGTACCATTGGTCCTAGACTTGCTGTCTGGTACCATTGGTCCTAGACTCGCTGTTAGGTACCATCAAGTTAACACACATTGCCACTGTCATTATTATGGAATGTCAACAGAATTGTTCTATCTACCTCACATATTTAGATTTATTTTGTAGCATTATGGCAGCTACAAAGGACCTGTTGCGTTGTAGGTGAAAACACAACCCTGCCATGAATTTCATATGTTTTAGCGTATTGATAATTAAAAATTAAAAAATTCTAATTAACATGGCACTATTACTTCTGTTGGACCAAAAAACGGATTGCAGCGCCCCCTACACTTACATCACCTCATCTGCCTTTAATGGGAACAATGTTGCAACAGCATAAAACAAAATCTGTTTACACTTTCTAACAGAAGTACCTAGTACACACGTAACTTTAAAATTATATAGAATATTTAGCTGTATTTGCTATCATTCTATGACAAATTAATTTGCTCCTAAAATAAGAACATTTCAATTTCTGATTTTTGGTTTTTATTTTGTTAAGCAGGATAAGCAAGATACAACTTGGGTTCCATCAAATTTCTGACACAAATTTTTCCTAGGGAAGTCCTGTTCCTTTCCCAGTTTACCTATATAGTCTGTATATCAGACCTTCGTTGATGATTCACTGGACTGTTATCTGTAGCTACATACATTTATTAAATATCAAAGTACTAAATCACTACTGTCAAAGTACTAAATCACTACTGACAAAGTACTAAATCACTACTGACAAAGTACTTAATCACTACTGACAAAGTACTAAATCACTACTGACAAAGCACTTAATCACTACTGACATTTAATCATAAAAAATTATCTATTTCTGTATATGGTTACCATGGATAAAATCTCACTATTTTTGACCAAATCTCACTAAAAATAATCACTGGTCTCACTATTTTGCACCGGAAAGTTATGGCATGTATGATGGTATATGACTAGCATCCAATTTTAGGAGAGAAAAAAAATCTGGAAATACCTCTATATCATTTGATAATTTAATCCTTTGTGAAAAGTCTTTCTATTTCAGAAATACTTCTGCAAAATGTGTTATGCATTATATGATAGTCCCCCATCCAGCTAGTCACGGTTCAGATATCATGACCTTATATATAATTATGCCTTATGGTTGTTTAGGAGAAGTTGTTTGAAGATTTTATCATTTTCGACACTTGTGATCTTGAAACATGGACAAGGTCATTAATTTGAACATCTTTGATAGCTCTCCATCCAAACTTCCTGTAAGTCAGATATCATGACCCTTGGCCATACGGTTGTAGAGAAGAAGTTGTCTGTGTGAACAGCTTCTACATGATTATAATTATTAGTGGTATTCTTTACTATAATATCTCACACATAATGTTACAAGTTCTACGATTCTAATCCAATTTATCAGATTTACGTTTTCCTGGGACAGCTCAGTGGGAGGTATGAGGTATGACTTGTACAGGTATCTGTTGAATAGTCACTGAATACCAAAACAAAAGAGTTTGTGCCATGGAATAAACAGGGGAACCAATATATCACCTCTTAAAACTAACACAATGTATAGAACTCATTGTGTCCATAGGGATGAGTGTAGCAGACAAATACACGGCAAAAATAATCATACATCCTACAACAGTCGTAAACACAAAATTATACAGACTTGTTATCATACATTCTACAACGGTTGTAAACACAAAATTATACAGACTTGTAATCATACGTTCTACAACAGTCATAAACACAAAATTATACAGACTATGTAATCATACATCCTACAACAGTCGTAAACACAAAATTATACAGACTAGTAATCATACGTTCTACAACAGTCATAAACACAAAATTATACAGACTATGTAATCATACATCCTACAACAGTCGTAAACACAAAATTATACAGACTATGTAATCATACGTTTTACAACAGTCGTAAACACAAAATTATACAGACTTGTAATCATACGTTCTACAACGGGCGCAAACACAAAATTATACAGACTTGATTATCATACATTCTAGAACGGTTGTAAACACAAAATTATACAGACTTGTTATCATACATTCTACAACGGTTGTAAACACAAAATTATACAGACTTGTAATAATACGTTCTACAACGGTCGTAAACACAAAATTATACAGACTTGTTATCATACGTTCTACAACAGTCATAAACACAAAATTATACAGACTATGTAATCATACGTTTTACAACAGTCGTAAACACAAAATTATACAGACTAGTAATCATACGTTCTACAACAGTCATAAACACAAAATTATACAGACTATGTAATCATACGTTTTACAACAGTCGTAAACACAAAATTATACAGACTATGTAATCATACATCCTACAACAGTCGTAAACACAAAATTATACAGACTATGTAATCATACGTTTTACAACAGTCGTAAACACAAAATTATACAGACTATGTAATCATACGTTTTACAACAGTCGTAAACACAAAATTATACAGACTTGATTATCATACATTCTAGAACGGTTGTAAACACAAAATTATACAGACTTGTAATCATACGTTCTACAACAGTCATAAACACAAAATTATACAGACTATGTAATCATACATTCTACAACAGTCGTAAACACAAAATTATACAGACTATGTAATCATACATCCTACAACAGTCGTAAACACAAAATTATACAGCCTATGTAATCATACATTCTACAACAGTCGTAAACACAAAATTATACAGACTTGTTATCATACATTCTACAACGGTTGTAAACACAAAATTATACAGACTTGGAATCATACGTTCTACAACGGTCGTAAACACAAATTTATACAGACTTGATTATCATACATTCTACAACGGGTGTAAACACAAAATTATACAGACTTGTAATCATACGTTCTACAACGGCCGTAAACACAAAATTATACAGACTTGATTATCATACATTCTAGAACGGTTGTAAACACAAAATTATACAGACTTGTAATCATACATTCTACAATGGTCGTAAACACAAAATTATACAGACTTGTAATCATACGTTCTACAACGGGCGCAAACACAAAATTATACAGACTTGATTATCATACATTCTAGAACGGTTGTAAACACAAAATTATACAGACTTGTTATCATACGTTCTACAACAGTCATAAACACAAAATTATTCAGACTATGTAATCATACGTTCTACAACAGTCGTAAACACAAAATTATACAGACTTGATTATCATACATTCTACAACGGGTGTAAACACAAAATTATACAGACTTGTAATCATACATTCGACAATGGTCGTAAACACAAAATTATACAGACTTGTAATCATACGTTCTACAACGGGCGCAAACACAAAATTATACAGACTTGATTATCATACATTCTTTAACGGTTGTAAACACAAAATTATACAGACTTGTTATCATACATTCTACAACGGTTGTAAACACAAAATTATACAGACTTGTTATCATACGTTCTACAACAGTCATAAACACAAAATTATTCAGACTATGTAATCATACGTTCTACAACAGTCGTAAACACAAAATTATACAGCCTATGTAATCATACATTCTACAACAGTCGTAAACACAAAATTATACAGACTTGTTATCATACGTTCTACAACAGTCATAAACACAAAATTATACAGACTATGTAATCATACGTTTTACAACAGTCGTAAACACAAAATTATACAGACTTGTAATCATACGTTCTACAACGGGCGCAAACACAAAATTATACAGACTTGATTATCATACATTCTTTAACGGTTGTAAACACAAAATTATACAGACTTGTAATCATACGTTCTACAACGGGCGCAAACACAAAATTATACAGACTTGATTATCATACATTCTACAACGGGTGTAAACACAAAATTATACAGACTTGTAATCATACGTTCTACAACGGGCGCAAACACAAAATTATACAGACTTGATTATCATACATTCTACAACGGTTGTAAACACAAAATTATACAGACTTGTAATTATACGTTCTACAACGGTCGTAAACACAAAATTATACAGACTTGATTATCATACAATCTTCGACTAACATTAACACAAAATTATACCTTTTGATATTATAAATTCTAGGACAGTCGAGATATAAAAGTAAAAACAAAAGAATACTACAGGTCCGATAATAAGAACCTAGAGATTATTATCATTTTATCTTTTGTAATCCTCATGAAGGTAAGTGCCTGTTGTTTAATCATTTTTTTTCCCCACTGTTAATTAGAGAATTTATTTTAATTCAATAGTAGCATTCCAGCCTGCCAAGTTTATAGAGTTAACACAGGACAGTTGCTACACTTGTACTGATCAATTGAGGCCTCCCCCAGTATATATAGATTTCTGTGTCTATCCTGATTACAGACACATTTCCTCACCTAGATCATTGCTTTCCTTGTATTTTCAGTAGACATCATGACAGGTGCCACATGTGGCACCAGAGTATCTTCATGGCGTACATCAACATTTTCTAAAAATTTCATGGGAAATGTAATTGACTTCTGAAATGGCCAATGTCAATGGTTAACGGGAAGATCTAAAGTAAACGTCATTCCCAACATCAGGTACTTCAAACAAGATCCTAATTTTGTTGTGGAACTTTTTTGAAATGAGATCCAGGTCACCATAAGGTAGCATACCTCCCTAAGTCACCATAAGGTAGCATACCTCCCTTAGTCACAATAAGGTAGCATACCTCCCTATGTCACAATAAGGTAGCATACATCCCTATGTCACAATAAGGTATCATACCTCCCTAAGTCACAATAAGGTAGCATACATCCCTATGTCACAATAAGGTAGCATACCTCCTTAATCAAAACCACATTTAACCAATGTTAATAACTAAATACATCAGAGGCTGCGTTATGTCAGTGTTAACACGACAGTGTAACCATCGCTTACAGAAGTAACACGACCGTGACACATCACAGGGTAACCATCGCTTACAGAAGTAACACTGTGATGTGTCACGGACGTGTTACTCCTGTAAGCGGTGGTGACAGTGTGATGTGTCACGGTCGTGTTATTACTGTAAGCGATGGTTACACCGTGACACATCACAGTGGAACCATCGCTTACAGGAGTATCACGACCGTGACACATCACAGTGTAACCATCGCTTACAGGAGTAACACGACCGGGACACATCACAGTGTAACCATCGCTTACAGGAGTAACACGACCGGGACACATCACAGTGGAACCATCTCTTACAGGAGTAACACGACCGTGACACATCACAGTGTAACCATCGCTTACAGAAGTAACACGACCGTGACACATCACAGTGTAACCATCGCTTACAGAAGTAACACGACCGTGACACATCACAGTGTAACCATCGCTTACAGGAGTAACACGACCGTGACACATCACAGAGTAACCATCGCTTACAGAAGTAACACGACCCTGACACATCATAACTGTTATTCTATTGATGTCAATGACAATTAAGTTTACAGGACAAATTCATACAAATGTTCTATTTCTTAATCTAGCACTTTGAAAATTATAGCACCAATTATTATGTAAAAATACAATACAAATGTTAATACAGTATTCAATATATATACCTATAAAACACATACGTGTATCACAATTTTATGACCTCACATCATTTAAAAAAATAAATAAACAATCCAATACCTAGTAATTTTTCTGCATATTTCATGTGTTCCAAATATTTAAATATTCCTTAAACATTGTATGTACCTGTTGATTAATACAAAAGTGCAAGTAGTTGTAGCCAAATAGGACATTCTGATCTCATTTATACTGAAAATAATAAATAAAAATAAACTTTTTATGAAAAAAATAATAATAACCAGTTGATCTATTGCGAGTCTCCGAAACATTTATACTGAAAAGTACCATCAACTATTAAAGTAATGTTGGTGTATGTACATTTCTGATGTCCTGTCAAGTACCTGTTGGTATATATATGTACATTTCTGATGTCCTGTCAAGTACCTGTTAGTGTATGTACATTTCTGATGTCCTGTCAAGTTCCTGTTGGTATATATATGTACATTTCTGAGGTCCTGTCAAGTACCTGTTGGTGTATGTTCATTTCTGACATCCTGTCAAGTACCTGTTGGTGTATGTACATTTCTAAAGTCCTGTCAAGTACCTGTTAGTGTATGTACATTTCTGACATCCTGTCAATTACCTGTTGGTATATATATGTACATTTCTGATGTCCTGTCAAGTACCTGTTGGTGTATGTGCATTTCTTACATCCTGTCAAGTACCTGTTGGTGTATGTACATTTCTGACATCCTGTCAAGTACCTGTTAGTGTATATATGTACATTTCTGACATCCTGTCATGTACCTGTTGGTGTATGTACATTTCTGACATCCTGTCAAGTACCTGTTGGTGTATGTACATTTCTGATGTCCTGTCAAGTACCTGTTGGTGTATGTACATTTCTGACATCCTGTCAAGTACCTGTTGGTGTATGTACATTTCTGATGTCCTGTCAAGTACCTGTTGGTGTATGTACATTTCTGATGTCCTGTCAAGTACCTGTTGGTGTATGTACATTTCTGACATCCTGTCAAGTACCTGTTGGTGTATGTACATTTCTGATGTCCTGTCAAGTACCTGTTGGTGTATGTACATTTCTGATGTCCTGTCAAGTACCTGTTGGTGTATGTACATTTCTGACATCCTGTCAAGTACCTGTTGGTGTATGTACATTTCTGATGTCCTGTCAAGTACCTGTTGGTGTATGTACATTTCTGATGTCCTGTCAAGTACCTGTTGGTGTATGTACATTTCTGACATCCTGTCAAGTACCTGTTGGTGTATGTACATTTCTGATGTCCTGTCAAGTACCTGTTGGTGTATGTACATTTCTGATATCCTGTCAAGTACCTGTTGGTGTATGTACATTTCTGACATCCTGTCAAGTACCTGTTAGTGTATGTTTATTTCTGATGTCCTGTCATGTACCTGTTAGTGTATGTTCATTTCTGATGTCCTGTCATGTACCTGTTAGTGTATGTACATTTCTGATGTCCTGTCAAGTACCTGTTAGTGTATGTACATTTCTGATGTCCTGTCATGTACCTGTTAGTGTATGTACATTTCTGACATCCTGTCATGTACCTGTTGGTGTATGTACATTTCTGACATCCTTCATGCTATTAAGTATTTGTTTTGTATTGTTTTTTCATGAAAGCGAAGAATGTTTAGGATTAAAAAAACTGAGAAGAAAAACCCTACTATACTAACCAGGTACAACATAAAACGTGGAATGATCTACAAAAATATTATAGAAATTAGGAGTGTGCTAGATAAACACCATAAACAATAGGAAGAAATTCCACACTGATATGCCATTGAAGTAAGATATTGCACAAAGCCCTAAATAAATTTGATTTGTCAGTCATTTCTCATCTAACGACCATATACAATGTATATTAGTAATGAAAGTAAACTTTGTAGGTAAACAAATGTACTGATGTTTGATTTTAATGGTACAACAAAAGATACACAAATATTGTAAAGGGATTGTGATAAATATGTGCGATACAACTGTTGTCAAACTCTACATGTTACCAGAACATTATCAGTGGTGGTGAGGTGATGGCCTGTAGCCCTATAGTGTGAAAACCAGAATACCACAGGGCAAAACAATATGTGGCCGCCCTTGAACTGAAATACTGAGAATCTTTTTGAGGCATTCTTGTAACAAAATATGCGAAAATATTGAAATAGGTAACAAAGTGAAGTTACATTTGTTCATTGTCTTTTAAGTTGAATTATTTCTGGGGTGTGGTGAAAGATGGTGACATATTATGTTTAACTTCTCAGTCAGAAGGAATAACGATAGGTCACATCTTTTTCAGTACCTTTGATAAAACGTTTTTTTATATGGATTGTCTCCCTTTAACTATATTAAAAGAAAAAGGTATCTTTTGGAGAAAAAAATAATGGGACCTCCAATGGATTAACACAAATCTTCCATCATTTTACTCAATCTGCTCAATCGTCTACATCACACCAAGAAACCTTGATCAAATTAAATAGGAAAATGTTTCCTACTTTTAACTACAGGCTGTACAAAAGTCTAGCAATGTTTAATTCTAGTATGAGTGACTTCTATAGGTATAGCCACCACAGAGGAAAAATGAGAAGGCCAGAATGTATAGGGTGTATCAACCACGACCTTTACACTAGACAGGTAAAACAATGCCAGTTTCCAGAGCAGACAGGATCTGGATATAACATTGTTCACGTAAGATTTATTAAAACAAGAAACACCAGTGAATTAGTCCTTCTTTCCTAATCTGAAAGATTCCATGGAGAAAGAATCGAAAAAACTAAACTAGCTGATTTTCTTTTGTAGTTATTCTTCCCTGCGAGAGGGATTGTGATTAATAGCGGGTCAATTTAATCTGGTTACCTGTATATTAGTTATTCTTCACTGCAAGAGGGATTGTGATTAATAACGGGTCAATTTAATCTGGTTACCTGTATATTTCATACAACAATATAAAGTTGATGCAGCAGGTTTTCCTGGCTAATTTCCTTCACCAGTACATCACCTCTACCGCCTTGTGATGGAATGTAGGTATACAGTTAGAATGTCATAGTTTGGAAAAAAACTGTAAACATTTATGGTTATTTCAATATACTTTTCAACTTTCAAATCTGAATATTGGACTTAATGAAATTGCAATAACATTTACAAATAGGTTCTTGAAAAAAATACCGATTACAATGACATATTTGAGTTGCAGCGCAAATCTCGGTTGTTGCTTGAATTTATTTTTAAATCATAATAACACCAATTACAATGTAAAACATGAAGAATTAATCTTGATATTACAGTCGAAAATTTCAACATGTAATATCAAGACTTGTGATAATTGTACCATAACAAATTACTGTATCAAATGTCAGCATTGAATACCCCTCAAAATAGTATACTAATGATAAGTTGATATCTCACCAACTTAATAAACCTAGGGGAGCGCCAATTCTATCTAGCCAACAACAGCCACTCCGCTGGCCAGACTGCAGTCTTGGCATCTCTCCATTACCTTCTGACCAGTTGTACCACGGCTGGTCCTTAATGATGATAGCAAGATGTAGACGTCTGGCAAAGTTCCTCAGTGAGTATTAACCCTTCCACCACTATAGACCATAATAGACTCATCCATATCAATGTATGGTAGAGTCTACTAAAGTGACATAGGGGTGAAAGGGTTAACGAGGACTTTCAATGCCCATAATGAACCCAAATCAGTTACATCCTTATTGAATATTTGTGTTCATATGGCAGGAATATTAAACAAAAAGCTCAGTATGGGCGACATAAATTTAAGACTAAACATGACTGTCACGGCCTGCAGTAGTGTTTGTTTGGCGTATTCCACCCACACAAACAAAAATATCCATTGACAAACTAGAACGGGCTCCCTATATCTTGCACAAGGAGCTGACATCAGTGGATGGGGCCTGGGACTAAGACAGAGTCAGGGGAGGTGTTGCCTTTATATCAGTCCTTGACTTTGCATAGCTTTCATACAGCGCAGGGCTTTCTTGGCAGCAGCACTTTTGGCAATACGGTAATTGCGTCCAATTCCAACAAATACGCCTTTACTGACAACATTGACTGTGACCCGGATTTTCCCTTCTAAGGTCCTCTCCGGTTTTCTGAAACACAATGGTAAATAATGGTATAGAATTAGACCTGAAAGGGAGACGATTGCATCCCTTTATTACATCTCTGACCAATAACACTGTGAATGACTAGGGCCACTTGATTTATCACCAGCCAGTGGATGGTAGTAACAGTGTACGAAGTGGTCATGCAACTAAAATCACATAAAACATTACAAAATGTTCCTCCTTTAATAAAACATTGGAGAAATATTTTTTATTGAATCCATAAACAAGAAATTCCAGAGTGATGTTGGCTCCCACCTTTAGAAGATATCTTCATCAGCTCTCTATACAAGTTTGATTCTTACTCTTCACTAGTTGAACTGATAGTCTTGTCAACAGTAAAAGGATCTTGTGGTAACTCGTGATCAAAACTTAATACTGCTGTGTATACGATTGTCAGGTAACACTAAATACTGCTGTGTATACAATTGTCAGGTAACACTTAATACCGCTGTGTATACAATTGTCAGGTAACACTCAATACTGCTGCGTATACAATTGTCAGGTAACACTTAATACCGCTGTGTATACAATTGTCAGGTAACACTCAATACTGCTGCGTATACAATTGTCAGGTAACACTTAATACCCCTGGGTATACAATTGTCAGGTAACACTGAATACTGCTGCGTATACAATTGTCAGGTAACACTTAATACTGCTGTGTATACGATTGTCAGGTAACACTAAATACTGCAGTGTATACAATTGTCAGGTAACACTTAATACCCCTGGGTATACAATTGTCAGGTAACACTGAATACTGCTGTGTATTCTATACAAGTTTGATTCTTACTCTTCACTAGTTGAACTGATAGTCTTGTCAACAGTAAAAGGATCTTGTTGTAACTCGTGATCAAAACTTAATACTGCTGTGTATACGATTGTCAGGTAACACTAAATACTGCAGTGTATACAATTGTCAGGTAACACTTAATACCCCTGGGTATACAATTGTCAGGTAACACTGAATACTGCTGCGTATACAATTGTCAGGTAACACTTAATACCCCTGGGTATACAATTGTCAGGTAACACTGAATACTGCTGTGTATTCTATACAAGTTTGATTCTTACTCTTCACTAGTTGAACTGATAGTCTTGTCAACAGTAAAAGGATCTTGTGGTAACTCGTGATCAAAACTTAATACTGCTGTGTATACGATTGTCAGGTAACACTAAATACTGCAGTGTATACAATTGTCAGGTAACACTTAATACTGCTGTGTATACAATTGTCGGGTAACACTTAATATTGCTGTGTCTACAATTGTCAGGTAACACTTACTAACGTTGTGTATATGATTGTCAGGTAACACTTAATACCGCTGTGTATACAATTGTCAGGTAACACTTAATACCCCTGTGTATACAATTGTCAGGTAACACTTAATACAGCTGTGTATACAATTGTCAGGTAACACTTAATACCCCTGTGTATACAATTGTCAGGTAACACTGAATACTGCTGTGTATAAAATTGTCAGGTAACACTTAAAACCGCTGTGTTTACAATTGTCAGGTAACACTAAATACCGCTGTGTATACAATTGTCAGGTAACACTTAATACCCCTGTGTATACAATTGTCAGGTAACACTGAATACTGCTGTGTATACAATTGTCAGGTAACACTTAATACCCCTGTGTATACAATTGTCAGGTAACACTGAATACTGCTGTGTATACAATTGTCAGGTAACACTTAATACCCCTGTGTATACAATTGTCAGGTAACACTGAATACTGCTGTGTATACAATTGTCAGGTAACACTTAATACCCCTGTGTATACAATTGTCAGGTAACACTGAATACTGCTGTGTATACAATTGTCAGGTAACACTTAATACCCCTGTGTATACAATTGTCAGGTAACACTGAATACTGCTGTGTATACAATTGTCAGGTAACACTTAATACCCCTGTGTATACAATTGTCAGGTAACACTGAATACTGCTGTGTATACAATTGTCAGGTAACACTTAATACCCCTGTGTATACAATTGTCAGGTAACACTGAATACTGCTGTGTATACAATTGTCAGGTAACACTTAATACCCCTGTGTATACAATTGTCAGGTAACACTGAATACTGCTGTGTATACAATTGTCAGGTAACACTTAATACCCCTGTGTATACAATTGTCAGGTAACACTGAATACTGCTGTGTATACAATTGTCAGGTAACACTTAATACCCCTGTGTATACAATTGTCAGGTAACACTGAATACTGCTGTGTATACAATTGTCAGGTAACACTTAATACTGCTGTGTATACAATTGTCAGGTAACACTTAATACTGCTGTGTATACAATTGTCAGGTAACACTTAATACTGCTGTGTATACAATTGTCAGGTAACACTTAATACTGCTGTGTATATAATTGTCAGGTAACACTTAATATTGCTGTGTATACAATTGTCCTTTCAAAGTGAGCTTGTCATTTGACCTCATAAAATAATAATGTGTGAGTATAGCGAAATATCTGATCTGTCATCTGAAAAAGCAGATTAAAGCTCAAAATGAAATACTCAGTATGCAAAACTACGCCCTGGGGAGAACCTCTTTATGAAATATGTAGATTTGGACCCATATTCATGAAACCGTTTTTTTTTTTATAGATTTCCGAAACAAGCAAAAAAAAAAAGAACACTTGTTCCAGACCATGAGACAAAGATCTGTACCAATCCGACAAGTGGAAAAAGCTTACTTGGTTCTTTAGACCAGGTGAGCTAAATAATATATGGTCATCTTGTGGAAGTTCTAAAATATGCATTACCATGTGTTTAACATATATTCAGTTACTATATAAGATAGTATTACAACTTATGACATAATAGTAAATGCAACAAGATATACCATGTACTATTTTATATATATACAACTTGGGGGCTTTTCAGCTGCACACATATCGCAATACGAGAGGTATACAGCTTCAATTTGGGAGGTACACAACACATATGTTGTTGTATTCAGCCCCCATGTTAATATACAGTTATACCTACATAATAAGGTGCCTATAAGTTATAATTAGGTATCCTATAGATCCAGGATTTTCCAACAATGATGAATCCTCTCATGGGATTGGTACAACATGGGCTAACGGGGCCCATGTGGCCAATCCAGGATTCAGGAAATATCCTCTCATGGGATCTATATCCAGAAAATTATATCTAGATATCATGCGGACCCAGGAATTTCCTGATCCGATATCCTCTCATGGGATCCAGGTATATGAGCTACTCATTATGTCTGGATCCAGGATTGTCAGAAATATCCTCTCATTGGGGTCCGTTTTTTGATAATGGGAAATCTCATCCAGCCGTTGGAACCAGGGGCAACCGTTTCGCTCCTGGGGGGATATATTGGCAGTAATCCTGGAACAAGGGGTGAAAGTTCACTCCTGGTAGGATAACGTCAGTAATCCGTGAGATTTCCATAGCTTATATATGTGTAGTATGATATAGCCCCCAAGGCCAAACCTAAATGTGATTAAAATAATGTATTTCTCAGATGAAGCTACATCTAATTATTAAAATTAAAAAAGAATACATCTCTATAGGGTATATGTCTGACATTTCTCACCGAGATATACCACCATATAACTTCTCACTGATGTGGTATAACATTACCCACAGAGATATACCACCATGTAACTTCTCACTGATGTGGTATAAAATTACCCACCGTGATATACCACCATATAACTTCTCACTGATGTGGTATAACATTACCCACAGAGATATACCACCATGTAACTTCTCACTGATGTGGTATAACATTACCCACCCAGATATACCACCATATAACTTCTCACTGATGTGGTATAACATTACCCACAGAGATATACCACCATGTAACTTCTCACTGATGTGGTATTACATTACCCACCCAGATATACCACCATGTAACTTCTCACTGATGTGGTATAACATTACCCACCAAGATATACCACCATATAAATTCTCACTGATGTGGTATAATTTTACCCACCAAGATATACCACCATATAACTTCTCACTGATGTGGTATAACATTACCTACCAAGATTCACCACCATATAACATCTCACTGATGTGGTATAACATTACCCACCAAGATATACCACCATATAACTTCTCACTGATGTGTTATAACATTACCCACCGAGATATACCAGCATGTAACTTCTCACTGATGTGGTATAACATTACCCACCAAGATATACCACATTATAACTTCTCACTGAAGTGGTATAACATTACCCACCGAGATATACCACCATATAACTTCTCACTGATGTGGTATAACATTCCCCACCAAGATATACCCCCATATAACTTCTCACTGATGTGGTATAACATTACCGACCAATATATACCACCATATTACTTCTCACTGATGTGGTTTAACATTACCCACAGAGATAAACCACCATATAACTTCTCACTGATGTGGTATAACATTACCGACCAATATATACCACCATGTAACTTCTCACTGATGTGGTATACCATTACCCACCAATATATACCACCATATAACTTACTCAAACTTGGCGGTCTCTGGTTCCATTTCCAGCAGCTCACGGACTGGTGACTTGGGGATACTCTTCAGGTACTTGTCTGTCAACAACAGAGGGAATACAGCATCATATTCTATTTTGTACAACCCGGAGAATTAAATGTATATCCCTGTACATTAATTCTTGTATTTCACTGTTCACTGTCTAGACTGAAACTGATCAGGCTGATAGTAACATCACTGTCTAGACTATCACTCAGGCTGATAATAACATCACTGTCTAGACTGACACTCAGACTGATAGTAACATCACAGTCTGGATTAACACTCAGACTGATAGTAATATCACTGTCTAGACTGACACTCAGACTGATAGTAATATCACTGTCTAGACTGACATTCAGACTGATAGTAACATCACAGCCTAGACTGACACTCAGACTGATAGTAATGTCACTGTCTAGATTAACACTCAGACTGATAGTTACATCATTGTCTAGACTAACATTCAGACTGATAGTAACATCATAGTCTAGACTGACACTCAGACTGATTGTAACATCACTGTCTAGACTGACACTCAGACTGATAGTTACATCATTGTCTAGACTAACATTCAGACTGATAGTAACATCACAGTCTAGACTGACACTCAGACTGATAGTAACATCACTGTCTAGACTGACACTCAGACTGATATTAACATCACTGTTTAGACTGATAGTAATGTCACTGTCTAGACTAACACACAGGCTGATAGTAACATCACAGTCTAGACTAACACACAGGCTGATAGTAACTCTATAGGAAGTTTGAAACATATCAGTATGTTTGGTGAGGATCTACGTACCAATTTGAGGTTTCATCATTCTGTAGTACACTCTCCAGACAACGTCCAGCGACAGACCACTGTCCAGGTATATGGCACCAGCTAGGGACTCAAAGATGTCCCCTAGTGCTTTTGGTACCTCAAGTTCCACATACTCTTCACTGGCATCTTCATTCTCCTGTTTATAACAAATACAAATATGTATAAAATCATACAAATACAAACAAACAAATACAAACAAACAAATACAAACAAACAAATAAACAATAACATAGAAACAATTACATACAAATAAATACATACAAACAAATACAAACAATTATAAATAGGTACAAACAAAAACATCCAAATACATACCAAAAAAACATACAAACAAATACAAACACATAAAAACATACAAATACATACAAACAAAAACATACAAACAAAAATATACAAATACATACAAAAAACATACAAACAAAAACATACAAACAAGCATAGAAACAAATACAAAAACATCATTACAAATACAAACAAATACAAATACATACAAACAAATACAAATACATTCAAACAAATACATTCAAACAAATACATACAAACACATACATACAAATACAAACAAATACAAATACATTCAAACAAATACAAACACATACAAAAACAAATACAAACACATACAAAAACAAATACATACAAACAAATACATACAAACAAATACATACAAACAAATACATACAAACAAATACAAAAACATACAAAAACATACATACAAATACAACAAGAGGCCCAATGGGCCTGAATCGCTCACCTGGTATTAATCTCACACTTGTAATCTTAAAAGTGGACTAAAATAAAGCTACAGGCAGAATAATAGTGTTTTATTCATAAGAACCTATTAAAAGATTTAAACATATGACGCCTGTGACCTTGAATGTCGAACAAGGACATTAGGTTGAACAGAGTTAAAAATGGACGAAAGTCATTCATTTGAACAAACTTGGCAGCCCTTAATCACAGCATGCTACTGGCCAAATATCGTAACCCTATGCCTCTTGGTTATTCAGAAGAAGTTGTATAAAAGTTTTAAACATATTTGACCCCAGTGACCTTGAATATAAGTGAAGATCATTCATTTGAATAAACTTGGTTGCCCTTTATCCCAGCATGCTACTGGCCAAATATCGTAACCCTATGCATCTTGGTTATTCAGAAGAAGTTGTTTAAAGGTTTTTATCATATTTGACCCCTGTGACCTTGAATATAAGTCAAGGTCATTCATTTGAACATACTTAGTAGCCCTTAATCACAGCATACTACTGGCCAAATATCATTAGCCTAGGCCTCTTGGTTATTCAGAAGAAGTTGTATAAAAGTTTTAAACATATTTGACCCCAGTGACCTTGAATATAAGTGAAGATCATTCATTTGAATAAACTTGGTTGCCCTTTATCCCAGCATGCTACTGGCCAAATATCGTAACCCTATGCCTCTCGGTTATTCAGAAGAAGTTGTTTAAAGGTTTTTAACATATTTGACCCCTGTGACCTTGAATATAAGTCAAGGTCATTCATTTGAATAAATTAAGTAGCCCTTCATCCAAGCATGCTACTGGCCAAATACATTAACCCTAGGCCTCTAAGTTATTCATAAGAAGTTGTTTAAATGTTTTTAACATATTTGACCCCTGTGACCTTGAAAATAGGTGAAGGTCATTTATTTGAACAAACTTGGTAGCCCTTCATCCTAGTTTGCTTCTGGCCAAATATCATCACCCTAGGCCTTTTGGTTATTAAGAAGAAGTTGTTTAAAGTAAAATATTGACGCCGACGCCGGACCCCAGAAGCCGGACGCCGGACGGACGACGGGCACTGCACCATGGCATAAGCTCACCTGGCCCGAATGGCCCTTTGGGCCAGGTGAGCTAAAAACATACATACAAATACAAAAACATACATACAAATACAAACACATACATACAAATACATACATACAAACACATACATACAAACACATACATACATACATACATACAAATACAAACACATACAAATACAAGCACATACATACACATACAAACACATACATACAAATACAAACACATACAAACACATACAAACACATACAAACACATACAAACACATACAAACACATACAAACACATACAAACACATACAAACAAACTTGTAGTGCCAAAATGAAATAGACATATCAAGGGAAACCTTCATAAGAAATTTGAAAAAGATTTGTCAAATAGCAATAACAAACTTGAACTCTCAAAATAGCTAAATAGCTGTCTGTCAGCCATCTTGTTTCCCGATCAGTCTCAAATACATGCACAACTAGGGAAAAAGGGGAACCTGCATAGAAAATTTGAGACATATCTGTCAAGTACCTCTTGAAATTTAGTGATAACAAACTTGAACTGTCAGAATTAAAGATGGCTGCCTGGCAACCACCTTTTTGTTACGATTAGTCAAGTAAAACATGCACAACTAGCTAGGGACCAAGAGAAACCTTCATATGAAATTTGAGAACTGTCAAATACTTCTTGAGAAATAATAACAAAATTGAGCTGGCGAAATAAAAGATGGCTACCTTGCTCATAATAAGTCTGAAACTGAAACATGCATAACTACATGTAGGTACCTATCGGAACACACAAATGCAATTTGAGAAGGAACAATTCATTACTTTTATCAGAGATAGTATTAACTAAAGTTGGTTAAAGACAAACAGACAATGGACTAAGGGCAATTTGATCAGCCCAATATCCGAAGATGGTTGGCTAAAAGTTGGCCAAAAGCTTACATCCTCATCCTCCAAATCAATTTCGTCGTCTCTTTCCTTCTGTTTTGCCACAAACTTCTCAATGACCTGGAACAATGGTGGTGAAATGGCCTTGAAGTACTTGTGGAAGTCCCACTTGACGGCCAGTGCGGCGAAGATGTTATTGTTGACTAGCGCCGACCTGAGGTCAGTGAGTACTCCCGGGGAGTACTTACACGAGTCCTCGTACAGGTGTCGTGTGATCACGTAGTCAAGGATGGCGTCCCCCAGGAATTCAAGTCTGAAAGGTTTATAGGGTTGTTTACAGACAACAACAATCATAACTCCAATAATGAAAATTCAATGGGTTTCTTTTTCAGACATTCAATTTCCTGAAATTGATGATGTACACTGTAAATACAACCATGCAAGATCAAAAGTACAGAAAACAAGAGGCCAATGGGCCCGTACCACTCACATTTTATTTATTTCACATTGGTGACCTTTAAAAAGTTTCAGGAAAAAGTACATCTGAATCGGCTAAATATTACTATAATATAACTATAATATTATTAAAATATTACTATAATATTATTAAAATATTACTATAATATTACTATAATATTATTATAATATCACTATAATATTACTATAATACATTTTATGAATTTTAATGGAGGAGTTCAATTAAGGATTGAATCTTGCTTTGGTCGATTTCATGGGATGATGAATTGAGTTGGTCTTGAAACAAATTTAATAAACTGCGAAGCAATACATGTTGAATTTGTTTCAAGACCAACTCAATTCATCACCCCATGAAATCGACCAAAGCAAGATTCAATCCTTATATTTCAATCAACATGGTGTTTTTTTCAATAATTGGAACTTGTGAAGTGCATTCTGATCGTTTGTCCCAGGTTCTGGAGCTTGTGCAAGTCTACGTATTGACGTAATGTAAAATATTATAGTGCGTCATTGAAGGACCACCATACAACATGATGGTGTATGTTGATAATTCCATACAACCAAATTAAGTAGTCAATAGTTATCTCCATTCGCAAAATCATACACACAGGTAATGTTAATCTGGTCAAAATCATCGGCACAGGCAATGTTAATCTGGTCAAAATCATACGCACAGGTAATGTTAATCTGGTCAAAATCATACGCACAGGTAATGTTAATCTGGTCAAATTCATACGCACAGGTAATGTTAATCTGGTCAAATTCATCAGCAAATGAAACAGGTTACATTTGGTAGTTGCATTGAGTCCAACTTGAGTAAGAATTGAAATATTTAATTTTACTAAGGTGACCTTAAAATTTCTTCAGATCCAACAATTAATAGTACTTCACAACAGTCCGCAGCAGGATATCAGGAGAAGGTGTTTTTACGTGGGTCACTCAGGGTTATTTATTTGAACACACTTGATAACTTTTCATCCCAGACTTGCTACCGGCCAAATATCATCATCCTAGGCCTCTATGTTATTCAGAAGAAGTCATGTTAAGGTTTTAATAAATTTGACTCCTGTTGCCTTGAAAGTTGGTCAAGGATCACAACCTAGACTATTTCAAAGAAATTGTTTAATATAACCCTTGTGACGTTGAAGGTGGGTCAAGTTAATTTATTTGGACAAACTTGACAGCCTTTCAACCCAGCATGCCACTGGTCCAATTTCATCAGCCTAGGTAAACCTCTAGGATATTCAAAAGTCATTTAAAAGGTTAAACAAACTTGACCCATGACCTTCAAAGTGGTTCAAGGTCATTCAATCAAACAAACTTGACAGACCTTCATCCAAGCTTGCTACTGGCTAGATATCATCAGCCTAGGCATCTTGGGTGTTCAAAAGAAGTTATTTAAGGATCCCTTGGAAAAAAACGTTTTCTGGAGCAAAAAGTTAAACTTTCAAGGTAATAGTCAATGAGGTTGTTTTGAACAGAGTGAGTGAGCTTACCATTGGTAACAGTCTGTGAAGTTGCTTTGAATAGAGTGAGTGAGCTTACCGTTGGTAACAGTCAGTGATGTTGCTTTGAATAGAGTTAGTGAGCTTACCGTTGGTAACAGTCGGTGATGTTGCTTTGAATAGAGTGAGTGAGCTTACCGTTGGTAACAGTCGGTGATGTGTTTCGAACAGAATGAGTGAGCTTACTGTTGATAACAGTCAGTGAGGTTGTTTTGAATAGAGCGAGTGAGCTTACCATTGGTAACAGTCGGTGATGTTGCTTTGAATAGAGTTAGTGAGCTTACCGTTGGTAACAGTCAGTGAAGTTGCTTTGAATAGAGTGAGTAAGCTTACCGTTGGTAACAGTCGGTGATGTGTTTCGAACAGAATGAGTGAGCTTACTGTTGATAACAGTCAGTGAGGTTGTTTTGAATTGAGTGAGTGAGCTTACCGTTGGTAACAGTCGGTGATGCTGCTCTGAATAGAGTGAGTGAGCTTACCGTTGGTAACAGTCGGTGATGTTGTTGTAGTGATATGACGCGTGGGTAAAGGCTTGAAGAAGGTAGGCCCGGTCACGGAACTTGTAGCCGATCTTCTCCTCAAACGATTCGTAGCCAATAAGAAGGTGTTCCATCAGACGCCTGTTGTCGTTTGTGTTAGACAGTAGTGGTGATGGTGGACACTGATACCCATAGGAACTCACAATCTGATGCTCCTCCTAAACACATAAATTGGTTTATTGATTATTTCATGGTCCTCCTCATTTATCTTGGTGAGGAGGGAGGGACAGAAAACTTTCACCTCAAGGGTAAGATAAGTACAGCCTTAAACAGGACATTTGAAATCTCGTCTGAGGCCAGCTGCTCAGAGGGCCTGTATTGCTTACCTGGATCTTTATGCCAAGCAAAGGTCCAGCAATAGTATGTACGGCTATGGGTTGGGGATCTCCGCCATAGTATGAACGGCTATGGGTTGGGGATCTCCGCCATAGTATGTATGGCTATGGGTTGGGGATCTCTGCCATAGTATGTACGGCTATGGGTTGGGGATCTCCGCCATAGTATGTACGGCTATGGGTTGGGGATCTCCGCCATAGTATGTACGGCTATGGGTTGGGGATCTCCGCCATAGTATGTACGGCTATGGGTTGGGGATCTCCGCCATAGTATGTACGGCTATGGGTTGGGGATCTCCGCCATAGTATGTACGGCTATGGGTTGGGGATCTCCGCCATAGTATGTACGGCTATGGGTTGGGGATCTCCGCCATAGTATGTACGGCTATGGGTTGGGGATCTCCGCCATAGTATGTACGGCTATGGGTTGGGGATCTCCGCCATAGTATGTACGGCTATGGGTTGGGGATCTCCGCCATAGTATGTACGGCTATGGGTTGGGGATCTCCACCATTTCAAAATCATGACCCAGAAATCAACCCCTAGGGGTGGAGCTAGAACCCAGGATCGATTCTAATAAATGACTGTGTCTATCTCTATATTCCTGTAAAACGTATATATGGTTATGGGGTAGGGGTCTCAACCATTTCCAAGTAATCATAATTGCCCACAAACTAAAACCCTAGGGCAGGACCCAAGAGTCGATACTTATATCACCAATGCTTAATGCCCACCAATAGCATATATGATTATGGGGTTAGGTTCTCAATCTTTTCAAAATTATGACCCAAGAATTAAGTCCCTAGTGGTGGGACATGATCCCAGCGTCAATTTTAATATGGCTGTGTTTATCTCTGTATGCCTATCAAACATATATATGGTTATTAAGTTTGGATCTCAACCATTTCAAAGTTATGGGCCAGAAATTAAGTCCCTCAGGATTGGGCGACACCCCAGGGTCAATTTCAATATATGATTGTGTCTGTCTCTTGAAGCTTAGCAATGATATATATGGTTATGGGGTGGGGATCTCAACTGTTTCAAAGTTATGACACACCCTTAGGGGTGGAGCCAATATCAATCCTAACCTCCTGATTGTGTCTGTCTCTTGATGTCCAACAATGATATATATGGTTATGGGGTGGGGATCTCAGCTGTTTCAAAGTAAATGGCTCAGGAATGAAGTTCCAAAGGGTGGGTCCAGATCCAAGAGTCCTTTATAATATCATGATTGTGTTCCGTCATTTTATGCCCAGCATAGGTATATGGTTATGGGGTGGCTATATTTGATATAAACTGAAATATTCATAATTCTATACTCACTAGTAGCTAACTGTAATGTAAATAGGTTCTAGGTACCTGTGAGCTGGAGGTCTACGTACCTGTGAGCTGGAATTCTACGTACCTATAAGCTGGAGGTCTACGTACCTGTGAGCTGGAGTTCTACGTATCTGTGAGTTGGAGGTCTACGTACCTGTGAGTTGGAGGTCTACGTACCTGTGGGTTGGAGGTGTACGTACCTGTGAGCTGGAGGTCTACTTACCTGTGAGCTGGAGGTCTACGTACCTGTGAGTTGGAGGTCTACGTACCTGTGAGTTGGAGGTCTACGTACCTGTGAGTTGGAGGTCTACGTACCTGTGAGCTGGAGGTCTACGTACCTGTGAGCTGGAGGTCTACGTACCTGTGAGCTGGAATTCGAAGTCTACGTACCTGTGAGTTGGAGGTCTACGTACCTGTGAGTTGGAGGTCTACGTACCTGTGAGCTTGTGGATGTCTCCTCGTCAGGTTTGTCTCCTACTGTAGCTGCTCTAGGTGGCAACACTTTCAGCCCCAGTGAGAACATGAACCGTAGGGCAGCCTTCTTTCCACAAGAAGTGAGATAGCATCCGATGAGGGACTCGACACAGTCGGCGATGGACTTGTCCGGTATACTGTGGAGCGTCTGTAGACAGTAAGAAAACACGTCCGAACCCTTCACCTCATTCACTTCCATGTCCTGCTCCTCAACCTCCTGCCATTGGTCAATATCAATGATCTGTTGGTCAATCTCATCCTCTGTAAATGTTTTTCCATATTCCTGTAACTTCCTGGTACCCAGTTTCTCTGTTATCCTTTCATGAGCTTCCTTGGCAAGATCACTTGTCTTACTCAACACCACGTGTGGGACAGGGCCCTTCCGTTTTGTCTCATTGATGACGTAACCAGGTGGCAGCCAGTTTTCATATGGCTCAAACTTTGTGGAGATCATACACTCGGCAAGGCCAGTCTTCTTACCTAGCCTGTACAAGTTACAGTTACTCACCTGCTTACTACGCAGGTAGCTCAGTTTACCCTCATGTATACCTGGATAAGTACAGTACAGGTACACAGTGATGGCATACTTAAGAAACGAGTCGCCGATTGTCTCCAGTCGCTCCAGACTAAAGAAGTCGTTGGCGTTTGACATGGTGAGGGCTTGTAGGATAGTGCAGGGACTTGGACCGATATACTTACTCAGGTCTATATCCACATCTAGTGACAACAGTGGGTCTGGAAACGCAACCTTGGAAAGATCAACAGGGGCAGACTTTTTAACGTCACATTTATCTGATTTTCCAAAATGTCCGACAGAAGAGAAAACATCAGCTTGATTTTCATTTTCACAAATCTGTTGCTCCCCCCACTGGTTCTCGTCACTTGTAGGGTTATCCGAGACCTGACACTGTGAAGTTTGTGGTGTCAATTGGTCATCACAGGGGTCACCCCAACCAGTGTGACCTTCTTCTCGAGTGTTATCACAGTCGTATTGAATATCACAGCTTTCAGCTTGATCAACTTTGTGTCTATTACTATCGCAATGTAAAATGTCTGAACACGATTCATCATCTCTGGTGTCGAACTGATTGGAACAATTTGTTGTCAATTTGCTGAAATCTTTGAGGAGGCCATTTGTTGACAGTCCATTACAATGAGGTGTGTTTTTTATTTTACAAGATTTGATGCATTGTGCCAGTTGTGTATGACCACAGTCATGGTTGTTCAGTGTAGAGAGATCCCTCTGTACACAATATTTACACTCTATATCACAGATATCTTTATTTAGCTTGCATTGTTTGTCAGTTTCTTCTGCATAGTGCCCGTTACATAACAATGTTCTTTGATCCTCACCTTCACAAACAACTGGTGAAACTTGACTAGTATGGCTGCCTCCACTCTTTTCTTTGTTGACAACAGTATTTTGACTAAAGAGTTCTGTCCTCTGTTCCTTGTCGACAGACGGAGCCTTTTCTGGTGTAACCTGTTCTTCTCCTGTGTCTGTCTTTTTGCTGTTTTGACCATTTTCATAGTCAATGTCACTTTTGACAACTTCACTTTCTGTTACCGATTCCTGTAACTTCACATTTTCACAAGCAGCCACTGTTGTGTCACGGTCAGATTTCACATTTTCACAAGCAACCACTATTGTGTCACGTTCAGATTTCACATTTTCACAAGCAGCCACTGTTGTGTCACGGTCAGATTTCACATTTTCACAAGCAGCCACTGTTGTGTCACGGTCAGATTTCAAATTTTCACAAGCAGCCACTGGTGTGTCACGGTCAGATTTCACATTTTCACAAGCAACCACTGTTGTGTCACGGTCAGATTTCACATTTTCACAAGCAACCACTGTTGTGTCACGGTCAGATTTCAGATTTTCACAAGTAGCCACTGTTGTGTCACGGTCAGATTTCAGATTTTCACTAGCAACCACTGTTGTGTCAGGGTCAGATTTTACATTTTTACAAGCAGCCACTGTTGTGTCACGGTCAGATTTCACATTTTTACTAGCAGCCACTGTTATGTCACGGTCAGATTTCACATTTTCACTAGCAGCCACTGTTGTGTCACGGTCAGATTTCACATTTTCACAAGCAGCCACTGTTGTGTCACGGTCAGATTTCACATTTTCACTAGCAACCACTGTTGTGTCACGGTCAGATTTCACATTTTCACTAGCAACCACTGTTGTGTTACGGTCAGATTTCACATTTTCACTAGCAACCACTGTTGTGTCACGGTCAGATTTCACATTTTCACTAGCAACCACTGTTGTGTTACGGTCAGATTTCACATTTTCACTAGCAACCACTGTTGTGTCACGGTCAGATTTCACATTAATTCTACTTGTCGTGTAGTTGCCAGATTTCAAATTTTCACCATTCCCTTCCATGTTCATATTTTCAACATCCCTTTCTTCTGAATACACTTTTGCACTTTCCATAATACCGGTATCCTGATTTTCCTTTTCCAATACTTTTGTTTTTTCCAATTCTTCTGTCTGCACATTTTCGTCAACAGTTATGACCTGTTTATCAGCACTTTTCGTATTTTCGTTCTCTTTCTGTCCTTCCTGTGAAGACATTTTTTCTTCAGTTCTATCCACATGCTCTTTTTCCTCTTGCACAGAGAACCCGAAGTCTAGTGCAGGGAACACAAACCCTGGTGGGAGGTCCACTTGTCCGATATTAGCGCTGGTTGCAATCCGGATTCTAATCTCCTCGGCAACCAGGAGATAATTGATCCTGTAGAGTATTGTGGGAAGACAAACAGCCTTTCTCCAGAGAGATGATGGAAAGACATGTACCTCACAAAGTTCTGGGACAAGAATTTGCTTCTGTTGCAGATTTTCTCTCCTGGCTTTCTTAGTCTCTGCACTGCTTGTTGGCAAAGCAACACCCTTTTGGTTCATGTATCTAGGGGTCAAAAGGTTAAGACGAGCAGAAGTGTGATCCACATCGAGTAGAGGCTGTTCCTGATTGGTCACGGTCAGACCATATTTGGTAGTATAGTATTCACTGAATGTCTTGTATAACTCAGGCGAGGGGAATGCAGAGGACGGATTGAGATCACTGCGTATTTCTGCCACATAGAAATGCTGTGGTTGGTCAATATTACGATACGATGGCATAACAACGGCATCTTCATACTCGTCTTTCTTAAACTCAAAGATTTCCCGCTTGGAGTCATATATGTTTCTCTTCACTGCTTGTTTGGAAAGTTTCACCAAGTCAATAAAATCCCAATCAACAAAATAATCTGAATTGTCGGTTTCTGAAACAGTAACATTTATAAGAGGTCACTGAACGTAGCTTCACAAGCTGACAAAGTTCTCAGACGGACCCACTCATTGTAAGTCGGACCCACTCATAGTTAGTCGGACCCACTCATTGTAAGTCGGACCCACTCATTGTAAGTCGGACCCACTCATTGTAAGTCGGACCCACTCATTGAAAGTCGGACCCACTCATTGTAAGTCGGACCCACTCATTGTAGGTCGGACCCACTCATTGTAAGACTGACCCACTCATTGTAAGTCGGACCCACTCATTGTTAGTCGGACCCACTCATTGTAAGTCGGACCCACTCATTGAAAGTCGGACCCACTCATTGTAAGTCGGACCCACTCATTGTAGGTCGGACCCACTCATTGTAAGACTGACACACTCATTGTAAGTCGGACCCACTCATGGTAAGATGGACCAACTCATTGTAAGTCGGACCCACTCATTGTAAGTCGGACCCACTCATTGTAAGAGCAGATTCGTTTACAACTGTTTTGAAGATTTCAAAGAGGCAAATGGATCATAAACACACAAAATTACATAAAGAAACCAAAGCTGTTAAACGGTGTACCATCATAAGTTCTAGTAACAGATTTTATAAGGATAGTAAAACTGGTGAAGCTCACCAGCTAGTAACAGATTTTATAAAAGACTGTAAAACTGATTGAGCTCACCATCTAGTAACAGATTAACAGGTGACTTACTGCGATTGAGGGGGATGATACAGTAGCCAAGGTCGGCCTGGTCTGGCTGAAACTCCATGGGGTCCTTCTCCAAACGTAACACTTCTGTAAACACAAATCGGTGGAACTCCTGCAATCTGGCAAGCTCTTCCTCCGTGAAGGATGTACCACTCCGTAACAGGTCCAAGGATACAGTGACCTCCCCTGATCTTGTGTACAATGGAAATGTAGGGATCTAAAGAAAAACAAGACACCTAATTAGTATTGACAACTATAATTACATCACAGTCAAGCCTCCTAAATGTAGGTAAGTTAAAGTTGATCCCACTTCCCGGGTGTGACTTTATTGATGATTTAAAGTGACATATGGATGACACTCATTTTTTAATCTGACATTCAGGTGACACTATTTGCTGATTTTATTTGACATACAGGTGACATTCATAATGATTTTATTTGACATACAGGTGACATTCATAATGATTTTATTTGACATACAGGTGACATTCATAATGATTTTAATTGACATACAGATAACATTTTAAATGATTATAAATGACATACACGTGACATTTTATATGATTTTAATTGAAATTCAGGTAACATATTCTCTATTGACAATAAGAGTTTTAGTCACAGTTACCTGTCTCGACTAGATAATGATATTGTTTTACCATGGGTATGTGTTTAGAACTCAGCAGTCCAAAACCTCGGTTTGTTTCCTCCGGGGTGTACACACGGCGCCCTCTGGTGTTCTGATCATCAGATATAGGCTGGGTCAGTGTTAATTGGATAAGAAACAGGAAGTTGGTGTCCACAGTGGGGTGACCTTTCACCAATGATGAGCCAAGCTGCAAGCAAAAAAGAATATATTTTTTGTATTACATACTTTGTTAGAAAGTAAAATAGATCAAACTTCCTGTAAAATGTGGACATACCTTCTTATTGACCATTACATCCCACCAATATACCCGTCTGATGACAGTAACATACCCACCAATATAACCCACTGATAACAGTGACACACCAACCAATATAACCCACTGATGACAGTGACACACCCTCCAATATACCCCACTGATGACAGTGACACACCCACCAATAAACTCCACTGATGACTGTGACACACCCACCAATATAACCCACTGATGACAGTGACAAACCCTCCAATATACCCCACTGATGACAGTGACACACCCTCCAATATACCCCCCTGATGACAGTGACACACCCACCAATATACCAGTAACATACCCACCAATATAACCCACTGATAACAGTGACACCCCAACCAATATAACCCACTGATGACAGTGACACCCCCACCAATATCCCCCACTGATGACAGTGACACCCCCACCAATATACCCCCCTGATGACATTGACACCCCCACCAATATACCCCACTGATGACAGTGACCCACCCACCAATATACCCCACTGATGACAGTGACCCACCCACCAATATACCCCACTGATGACAGTGACACACCTGACAATATAACCCACTGATGAAAGTGACACACCCACCAATATACGACACTGATGACAGTGACACACCCACCAATATACCCCACCGATGACAGTGACACACCCTCCAATATACCCTTCTGATGACAGTGACACACCCACCAATATCCCCCACCGATGACAGTGACACACCCACCAATATAACCAACTGAAGACAGTAACACACCAACCAATATACCCCACTGATGACAGTAACACCCCCACCAATATAACCCACTGATGACAGTCACACACCCACCAATATACCCAACTGATGACAGTGACACACCCACCAATATACCCTACTGATGACAGTGACACACCCACCAATATACCCTACTGATGACAGTGACACACCCACCAATATACCCTACTGATGACAGTGACACACCCACCAATATACCCAACTGATGACAGTCACCCACCCACCAATATAACCAACTGATGACAGTGACACAACCACCAATATACCCCACTGATGACAGTGACACACCCACTAATATACGACACTGATGACAGTGACACCCCCACCAATATCCCCCCCTGATGACAGTGACACACCCACCAATATCCCCCCCTGATGACAGTGACACCCCCACCAATATAACCAACTGATGACAGTAACACACCCACCAATATACCCCACTGATGACAGTGCCACCCCCACCAATATAACCCACTGATGACAGTGACACCCCCACCAATATAACCCACTGATGACAGTCACACACCCACCAATATACCCCACTGATGACAGTGACACCCCCACCAATATACCCCACCGATGACAGTGACACACCCTCCAATATACCCTTCTGATGACAGTGACACACCCACCAATATCCCCCACTGATGACAGTGACACACCCACCAATATAACCAACTGATGACAGTAACACACCAACCAATATACCCCACTGATGACAGTAACACACCCACCAATATAACCCACTGATGACAGTGACACACCCACCAATATACCCAACTGATGACAGTGACACACCCACCAATATAACCAACTGATGACAGTGACACAACCACCAATATACCCCACTGATGACAGTGACACACCCACCAATATAACCCACTGATGACAGTGACACACCCACCAATATACCCCACTGATGACAGTGACACACCCACCAATATATCCCACTGATGACAGTGACACACCCACCAATATAACCCACTGATGACAGTGACACACCCACCAATATATCCCACTGATGACAGTGACACACCCACCAATATAACCCACTGATGACAGTGACACACCCACCAATATATCCCACTGATGACAGTGACACACCCACCAATATAACCCACTGATGACAGTGACACACCCACCAATATATCCCACTGATGACAGTGACACACCCACCAATATAACCCACTGATGACAGTGACACACCCACCAATATATCCCACTGATGACAGTGACACACCCACCAATATACCCCACTGATGAGTGACATACCCACCAATATACCCCACTGATGACAGTGACACACCCACCAATATACCCCCCTGATGACAGTGACACACCCACCTGTTTGATGTAGTACTGCTTTCTCTTTGTAGTGCCGGGCCTTGCCTCCCCTGCAATGTCTTCACTGTCCAATGTACTCGAGTCTTCCTCCTCCTTCATGAAAAGCTCCTTTCCAATTGGAAGTAACTGATCATCAATCTCCCCTACAAAATAAATTCTGCACTATTGATCAAGTGAAAAAATAGTTACATAATCTGGTCATTAAGGGTGTTCAATATAATGATGATAATCAAGACATGGCAAACATTCACTACCCTCCAGGTAGTCTGCAGGTACAACAGTTTACTAAAAGTGTTCTACATCAAAGTTATATCAGTAATGTTACTCTATACCGACAAATGTCCTGCTATTTGTATCTTACCAGAGCCATGGAAGATCACATAAATGTTTGTATCTTACCAGAGCCATGGAAGATCACATAAATGTTTGTGTCTTACCAGAGTAATGGAAGATCACATAAATGTTTGTATCTTACCAGAGCTGTGGAAGATCACAGAAATGTTTGTATCTTACCAGAGCTGGGGAAGATCATATGTTTGTATCTTACCAAAGCCGTGGAAGATCATATAATGTTTGTATCTTACCAGAGCCATGAAAGATCACAAAATATTTGTATCTTACCAGAGTAATGGAAGATCACATAAATGTTTGTATCTTACCAGAGTAATTGAAGATCACGTAAATGTTTGTATCTTACCAGAGTAATTGAAGATCATATAATGTTTGTGTCTTACCAGAGCCTTGGAAGATCACATCATGTTTGTATCTTACCTGACTTGTGGAGAATCTCACAAGCCTTCAATGCTACAGCTTGTTTGGCCAACATCCTGGTAGGCATGGGGATACCCTACAAAACACGACATTTTCCTGTAGTATATAACACAGTAACACAAAGGCCAGAAAAATAAACCTAGTACATATCCTATTATATACACTGAAATTACTTCAGCAAAGTTAATGGAGCCTTGCTACACAGCATAAATACATGATACACCATGATTGTCTAACCTGGATTTCTTCTTTCAATGGCGAGTTGATTGGAAGCCTCAAGGTGGCGCTGTACACCGTCTGCTCACCCTTCTGAATCGCACCAATAACACACTTTGGTGTGAGGTGGGTGAAGGCGTCACTTGGCAACTTGGCACAATATCTGTTTGAGAATGAAAAAAAACCACTTTCCTAATGGAACAAATTCAAATTACAATACATAACCCTTACAAAGGGAACATATCAGGTTTTCCATTTTTCTCACATAATCACTTTTGTAAAATAGTCTTGTAAACAAAGATTTATACATTACTTGTCATGTTCAAAAAACTAATATATAAAAACTGTTCAAAGAAATTACTCTGGCACTGAATGATCAATACTTCTGTACATTTTCCCCATCTGAGCCCTGCCTTTCCAGCCCTGTACATTTTCCCCATCTGAGCCCTGCCTTTCCAGCCCTGTACATTTTCCCCATCTGAGCCCTGCCTTTCCAGCCCTGTACATTTTCCCCATCTGAGCCCTGCCTTTCCAGCCCTGTACATTTTCCCCATCTGAGCCCTGCCTTTCCAGCCCTGTACATTTTCCCCATCTGAGCCCTGCCTTTCCAGCCCTGTACATTTTCCCCATCTGAGCCCTGCCTTTCCAGCCCTGTACATTTTCCCCATCTGAGCCCTGCCTTTCCAGCCCTGTACATTTTCCCCATCTGAGCCCTGCCTTTCCAGCCCTGTACATTTTCCCCATCTGAGCCCTGCCTTTCCAGCCCTGTACATTTTCCCCATCTGAGCCCTGCCTTTCCAGCCCTGTACATTTTCCCCATCTGAGCCCTGCCTTTCCAGCCCTGTACATTTTCCCCATCTGAGCCCTGCCTTTCCAGCCCCAGGGGTCCATCAGAATCATACTTTTTCATGCCATCTAATTGCTATCTCGTCATAATTATACTGATCAAATTTGAAACAAATCCTCCTGAAAATGGACAAAATATACTCCGAAGTATAATTTCCCTATGTAAACTCTAGTAACGTTATCCTCTCCCCAAGGAAGAATGGATGAGCCAGGGGAATGACATACCCATTAAAATAAAATGCCTGATGTCCTTTCCATCATGAAGAGTACCAGGTATTTGAATCTAGTACAACTTGGTGTGAAAAAGAAGATTTTTTAAACTTAACCAACCTTTCCTTTGGGTCCCCACCCTGGCCCCTGAGTTGAGGGTAGAAACCCAAACTTCACACTCTGACATCCTATTCCACCAAGAGCAAGGTGACCTAAAAATGTGATTTGGGAATTGCACCTGTCAGGTAAACAGAGTGATATTCTGGCTAATCATAGTGGTCATGTTAATCTGGCCGTTATAATATGGCATGAAAAGCTCCGCTAGAAGACCCAAGCGACATGGTTATGAGAGGCTGTTGTAAATGTAACAATGCCATCGTAGAGCTAACCTGTTGACTAGACCAATGGCTGATGTGAGAGTGACCTGGACGCCTCCCTCCTCATCACACGGTTTGTAGGGTGGCAGGATGTCATGGTAGAGGTCAGTGATGTTGTCGCAGTTTATCTGGTCCTCATCATCATGTCTTTTCCAGATCCCCTTCAGGACCTGCATAAACAACAACAAAACTCTTAATAATCACAGCATGTTCGCTGGAGACACGTTACACCAAAGGTAGGTAACTCTGTCGGTCACACACACAGTTCCTACCACCGGTCAAGTGGACACCGGTTTATTGTCTCTGACCAGCCTGTTAAATTTCATCAATGATCCTATAATAGGAATGTACAAATAAAGCTCTTAGGCACTATTAAATGACGCTACATTAATATTCTAACCAAGACCATTACATTTTATGCAACAATTTTCTGAATCCTTTTTTAAATTGCATTTATTTGTTTGTTTAGTGACATGATAATACTCCTACCCCTTCGATATCCTTGTATTTAGCCAACCCTGTTCTGAAGGCCTTCAGGTTTGACTTGTCTGCTAAAATCACGTACTCCGACTCTCTAGCTCGAGCTCGTCCCTGAAAAACAAAATCATATGACATCATGATAAAAAAAAATCTTTCACAATTGTATCAAGATAACGAAGAGAACAAAGATTCAACTCAAAATTCAAGATGGCTGCCTGGCGCCCATCTTGGATTTCCAATCAGTCTACCAATAAAGCATACACAACTAAGGACCATGGATAATCTATATGAAATTTGAAAAATATTCCTCCAGGACTTTGTGAGAAAAGCACTAACAAACTTAACTCTGAATATCCAAGATGGCCACTGTAAGCCATATCAGTTTTCTGATCAGCTTCAAAATATATATTGCATAACTAAGGACCATTGGGAAGCTATTTGTGAAGTTTGTGTGCTACCTTTGACTGGCTATAGGACCGGTAATCCTTAGGTGGGTCAAACTTGGTAAGGTATTTGTGAAGTTTGTGTGCTTCCTTTGACTGGTTATAGGACCGGTAATCCTTAGGTGGGTCAAACTTGAGAAGGTATTTGTGAAGTTTGTGTGATACCTTTGACTAGCTATAGGACCGGTAATCCTTAGGTGGGTCAAACTTGGGAAGGTATTTGTGACGTTTGTGTGATACCTTTGACTGGCTATAGGACCGGTAATCCTTAGGTGGGTCAAACTTGGGAAGGTATTTGTTAAGTTTGTGTGCTACCTTTGACTGGCTATAGGAATGGTAATCCTTAGGTGGGTCAAACTTGGGAAGGTATTTGTGAAGTGTGTGTGCTACCTTTGACTGGCTGTAGGACCGGTAATCCTTCGGTGGGTCAAACTTGATGATGAGGTTACACTTCGGTATGTCCACTCCTTCTTCCAGCACATCAGTAGCCAGTAAGAGGTTGAGCTCTTGGAGGCGGAATTTACGTAGGATATCCTCCTGCTTTTTGTAGCTCTTACTGCCTTCCTTCTTGGATCCTTGCCCGGTGATGTGGTGACTCTTGATGAAACATAACTGGTCGTCCCATGCACATACTTCCTCTATGAATTTGTTCAGGGCAAAAGCCACATAACGATGATCGACAAACACAATGCCACACATGTATTTGTCATCACTTCCGGAGAATAACTCTATCCCCGATTTGTCTTCAGGAATATCCTTTTTAACAGCCACATGTATGATCTTGGACCCTCCTGATCTGTCCTCATCATCTGAGGAATCGGTCAAGGCGAGACTGTCATCGGACATGTAAGAATCGTCGTCCATTTCATCCGTATCTTCTGTGCTGATTATCTTGAAGTCACAGTCAGGTTTAAACCGTCGCAAATGGTCAATGAGTTTTTTCACTTTTGGCGTGGTGTACAGTAGCAGTTCCTCAACGTCGTACTCCGGTGAGAAGTTACTATCAAAGTGATGGATGAGCAGTCGTAGTTGAGTGGCAGCCAGGCGGAGGAACTTCTTTTTCACATCTACAGTTTCATGCTTGTCAATTTTCTCCAGCTGAGAGACGAACATCTGTGCGAGGCTCACTGCACACCAAGGACCTAGGCGGTACAGGATATTGAGACACTCCACAATGACAGTTTTGGGAGTTTCTATCGGGTCCCCACCACCCTTTCCATCCAGTTTAATGTTACATTCCTGCAAAAAATGAAGCGTGTTTTCCAACATACTTCCTAATTCTTCAACCATGCCAGTTGTATCCTCATACTTGTCACACTCAAACACTAACTCTGTGGGCTGCATTCCGTACCTCTCAGAATAAACAAGAGTTGAGGTTTCTGCAGAGGCACTGAAGCGCTTCTCCAGTTTTTTTATGGTTGTAACCAACTCGATTGGGTCTTGACAATGCTTGCTGGTGAAACAGGAAGTAAGGCCCAGAATTCGGGGAGACTCCTCAGCATCGCTTTGTAACTGCAGCTTTTTTGTGATGAGATCATATGGATGACCGGGGTCCAGTACATGTTGGCAGTGATCAAAGATGAGCACATTGACTTGAGATAATTTCAGGAGATTTTCCTCAATGACATGATGGAAGAATGAGGGAAGCATGACCAGCACTTGTGTCCTGTGTACCTCCAGTGTCCACCAATCATTGTCCCTGTCCTGACAGTCGGTGGAGTACTGCCCCACTGTCAGGTCTGTTTGGTGCTCAATCATCAGGGCATACTTGGCAATATCATTTTCTGAAAATAAACAATATTATAGTTTTATTTATTCATGCTGCAATAGTGAGCTGGTGTCCGTGGAAACCAGTGTAATTTAAATGCTATACCCATCACTGCCAAATATTGGGGTATTTGTTACTTCAGTACTAGTATCAACCTACATGTAGCTTATTGTAGGGAGTTAAATAATGGAGGATATTTTATGTTGAATGATTGTTATAAATCTTTGAAGTGATGGAGTCCTAGTTCTCTGTTTCTGTCAGGAAGAAGCTTAGGTCCAATTTCTTCGGCACTCCCTACAAACACCTGCAACCTATACTTCCTATTGCATGAATATAAAGGAAATAACATTTTTTAGGGGAAATAAACTTTTCACGGACAGCATACAGTAGGAAAATGTTGGGACTTTGCCTTAATTACTGCCATATCCTGGGCCCCTTTCGCGTATCCGGTTCAACCAGTTGAAACTGTAAAGAAAACAACAGGCACAGACCTGAACAGAGGCTGACCTCAGGAATATTTGGCATGTGTAGATTGAGGGGTCCAGACGTGCCCGACTGAAACTAAAATGCTGAATATTGCTAGTTTGTTTTATTTCTTTCTAAAACAATGTCAAGCGTCATGCAGTTTTTAAGATACATTATGTAATTCAGTGGACGCATGAAAGAAGGGCATGATATTCTTGAATCTTGGTACATTGTTTTTTATTCTCTGAAACTGTGCATTTTTAGCTCTGCTTATAAAACGGTCCAAATGTGTCCATTTTTCGTGGAATATTTCTGGGCCACCTGTACCTTTCAACCGGGATAAGCGAATGTAACCCTGTGCACTCCATCATGGGATAGTCCCTGGTAGCTAAAACATTTTGTGAAAATATTACCACATATCCTGTTTCCCCAGATAGCCTGCAGATAATATGCTAAAACGACTCCTATAATGGAGGGGTAGGTATATTTCTTATTTAAATACATCTGAAACACATATGGAAACAAGGAAAAAATAAAAGCACATAGCCAACATTCTTCAAACATTTATGCAATGAAAAAACAGATAGCCCTTTTCACCAGATAACCCACAAAAGGCATTTTTATATGTAAAACCAGTATAGCTGGCAGAATATAAGAAAAAATAACAGTATGTTTTACATTATTTTTATTTAAGAATTCGCCTTCATTGACTTTAACCTTTATCCCAAAAAAAATAGAAGCAAAATCTTTTTCAAATTCTGCCTGTTGGTCAGTACTCTAAATATGATCCTGTTGGTCAGTACTCTAAATATGATCCTGTTGGTCAGTACTTTAAATATGATTCTGTTGGTCAGTACGCTAAATATGATCCTGTTGGTCAGTACTCTACATATGATCCTGTTGGTCAGTACTCTAAATATGATCCTGTTGGTCAGTACGCTAAATATGATCCTGTTGGTCAGTAATCTAAATATGATCCTGTTGGTCAGTACTCTAAATATGATCCTGTTGGTCAGTACTCTAAATATGATTCTGTTGGTCAGTACGCTAAATATGATCCTGTTGGTCAGTACTCTAAATATGATCCTGTTGGTCAGTATAATCTAAATATGAACAACCTTTAGCTCTATGCATATGCCACATTAGGTTGAAATACCTTCGAATGAACATTACAAGTATTCTTTAGAGATGTACCCTTCTGCTTCCAGGGAGGCCATATGTACACCCTACATTTAACAAATTATTTTTCCTTGCCCAAGGGATGCTTATCACCAAATTTAGTCCGGAGTCCCTTTTGACAGTTGTACTTGACTAGTCTAGTAGTATCAAAATTTTAAAGTAATAAATAACAGATGCTGTGTGAAGGCATCAGCTCATTAAATCATTACCCTGACAAACAAAAGTAAAAGCAATACAACACGTAAGCAGTACCACTGTTGACAAGGAACACGCCCCGCTTTCCTCCCTGGTCCAGTGGCAGCTGTAACTGATGGCCATGCTCCTTAAGCAGCATCACACTGAGGAACATACGACTTGAGGTGGCATCAAGGCATACCAATGTGTTCTGTTGGACAGCCGCGTCCAACAACTCCACCTACACAACAGCCAATCAAAACAACCATTTAAAATTTCATTTACACAACAGCCAATCAAAACAGCGATTTAAAATTTCACTTACACAACAGCTAATCAAAACAGCGATTTAAAATTTCACTTACACAACAGCCAATCAAAACAGCGATTTAAAATTTCACCTACACAACAGCTAATCAAAACAGCGATTTAAATTTTCACTTCCACAACAGCTAATCAAAACAGCGATTTAAAATTTCACCTACACAACAGCTAATCAAAACAGCGATTTCAAATTTCACCTACACAACAGCTAATCAAAACAGCGATTTAAAATTTCACTTACACAACAGCTAATCAAAACAGTGATTAAAAATTCATAGTTCATAAACACTGATTTTCATATATATAAATAACTTTTGAACAGATTAATTGTGAAAGGTTAGAATACCCAATGTGCGAACAGAGAGAGCTTAGATAGAAAGTTCGCAGCATAAAGTTTATCCCTTCAAGTATATTTTTTTTTGTGGTGTCAATACACTCCATGTATGTTTTGAGGGTTAACACATACAGTACCTGGTATGTTTTGAGGGTTAACACATACAGTACCTGGTATGTTTTGAGGGTTAACACATACAGTACCTGGTATGTTCTTGGGGTAAATGTATGAGTTGGAATGTCCTCATATCTGAGATGGCGTGGCAATCGTCTCGAAGACTCGCTTCCCGTACGACCCATCTATAATGCAATAAATATTAAATAACACAAAAAAAATGATAATCAGTTAAGTTTTGATGCATATGGCTATATGTCTGATATAGCTGTGTACCTATGACATTGCCTAAATCATATGATGAGATAAATGGATACCCAAGAAGTTAATAACTGCACCAAAGAGAATTTTATGATGTACTTGGTGAAAAACATGTTGGTCTTGTGTGTATTACAAATATTGAGCGAAATATCACATAAATATGTGGATTCAGTGTTATTTTTGCATGGCCTAGAGATCATGATATCATTATAAGAGATATATAAAGAAATTATGATATATGCCATTTTCATGTATAAAGAGAGGATACAATTAACATATACAAGGCATGTAGCCCGGCGCCATTTTGAGATGTACGTACCAAATTACCAGATCACAGTGCAGTTTGGTTTGTATGTAAAACCAATCTTTTATTTAGTGGAAACGGTTGTTAACCAATCCTTTGTAAGTCAAAAGACACAATGGATCCCAATATAATCTCAAGCAGCTCTACCAAATCCAACTTACTTTTAAACTCAAGACTGCTTTGCTTTTTACCTAAAATTGAGTTTTTTTAGGTGTATAATTTGATCCACTGCAACCATAAAATATGGCATCCCTACTGTTGGTGCCAGCTAGTGCATCATAAAGGGGTTTCCCAGCAAATCTCAATTTGATCTTAAATGCCTCTGTCATAGAATATTTAATTTTATCCTAATATTTGAACCAAAATTTTGTCTCATTTTCAATTGGGGTTTTTTTCACATGTTTATTCATTTATACTGTGTCACAGATAATTGGGCAGGAAAAAGAGGGACAGAAAAATTGACAAACTACACTTTATATGAATCACTTTGTATACAATGTTGACTCATCATCTAATGATAAAATGATAAATATATGATTATTGTGATATCATTGACACACAATTTTACTACACTTTATTTACATTAGCAGGTTTTATCAATAATAAAATGTGGATCGGTAATATAATGAGTAGCATTACTTTTGGCACCATATTATAATGACATCATGCTTGAAAACACATTGTACAGCTGTGCACTATTTTGAAAAACCCAAACAATTTAGATAGAATAATTTTTAAGTCCAATCAGTCATTTTTTGTCTGTGAAAATAATGTTTAAAATAAAGTATTAGTTAAACAATCATTCTTTAATTTCAATTTAAAACTAAGTACTGTGTATATATCATTCATACCAAAAATAGGGGTGGGGATCCGGACAGGATATTAAGAATATAAACAGAAAATTACTACGTTGTTATTCATTAGACTTAGCGATTGAAAAAAAAAACATTTTTATACTTTCTTGATAAAATATGTAGTTGCAGCAATAAAATATTATACAATCAGTTAATGAAATAATGAATAAAAAACTTTGTTCTTTTCTGGGCATTCTTTATACTTGGTTTATACACGGGGGTTTGTTACAATTTGTATACACATGTGTTATACTGATATGGGTCACAGCACACCTAAGCCTACACCAAGGCTCCTTTCTTGTATCTGGTTTAACCTGAAAGGAAACGACAAGCACGTATCTGAACCGAAGCCGACCTCAGGAATATTGGGCAAGTGTAGATTGAGGGGTCCAGATGTGTCTTACCAAAATTAAAATGCTGACTATTGCTAGTTTGCATTATTTGTTTATAAAACAAGGTAAATCCACATGAAGACTTTCAGATTTGTCACATTATTTAGTGGATGCGTGAAAGAAGGACGTATATTATTCTCGATCTATTGTTATTTATTCTCCAAAACAGTGCATTTTTTAAATCTGCCTACAGTTCGGTCCAAGTGCGTTCGTTTATCGTGGAATATTTTTGTGTCACCTGAACCGTTTCAACCGTGATATGCGAACGTACATTATTTGATATGTAGCCTTAGTCTGGTTCATATGTACATGTGATAATGTATGAGATTCCCAATTTCAATGAACCACCAACTCCTAACCGAAGAAACAAAAGGTTAATTTTTCAAAACAGCAATAATGAAACAGAAACGTAAAAGCTGATAAAAATCACAAGTTGCCGAAAACAAGTCAGAACATTTTGTTGGTGCATCATTGTTTTTGGAAATATTTTCGTGAACTATTTGACGCTCAGTGCATATTGATATAGGTGTTTCAGGAAGAAAATACCTCACCGATTATCAATAAATCAATTGAAAATTCATGTTAACGTATAAATACATTCATGCACGATCTTACAGTTTCTTGACCGGTTTAGTTGGCCTCAAAACATCATCAGAATACCAAGATTTCGTGAACCATTCAGCAGCTGTCCACCATGCTGGATTTCCAAGCGGAAGTGAAGACCCAACAATTATAAAACAGAATTTGATTGGCTGTATGGAGACGCTAAATCATTCGACCAATGAATGCACTCCTAACAAACGTAATTAAAGTACACACAGAAAATAAAAGTATGACAGAAAAATCAGAATTAGAAGCACAAAAGGTGTTAAAAGTAAGATTACTATCACATTGCCTTACCATTCTACCACAGTTTGGTTAGTTACAAAAACAGCACACATCTCTAATCTTGATGGAGAGATTTTACCGGAAAACGTAATCAAATTAGTCCAAAATTGTACTGAATCAAAGTGAAAGTAGACTTATGATGTAATAGTCAGTGCATCTAAACATGTATGTACGGTCTCGATATATTGAAGAACTATAGTTTTAGATTTTGTCTAAATACAGAATGAAACAGATCAATAAATTAATAAGTTGGTGAGCTATGGGTGGTGTGTGAAATATAGATTTAAAGCGGACCAAATTGAACCAATATTCAAAACACTTTTCCATTCATGTGTGGCAGGGTTTTTTATTGTATCGTCAGAGGATGTGCTGTACCTATTTCAGCGCCATGGCTGTCTCCAGTAATTTTGATCCGGATCGTTTTGCCCTTAATCCGGTTCGCCCTAATAGAAATATATACATTTTTAAGTGATCAATACATGTTGAAATGTTTAGAAAGAATAAAAAAAACTTTTTATTTTATGTATCATAAACAACTGCGTTGTCTGAAGAATTTCATGCAGGTATAGCTACATTGTAAAAACTAAGGAGACCTAGAAGAGCTTGAGATAAGACTGTTTTGCCATACACAACTAAACAGGACTAAAACATTTCATTCAATAAATAATTTTAGTGCAAAACGACCAAGGGCGAACAGAATTTCAGGCGAAATGACCTAACACCATTAATTTTAAGGTACATTGCTGTTATGGGGGGATTTTTTTGTTTAAACAATATTTTTAGATGGTGATTTGATATTTTTATCGTTGTAGGCACCACCGAAAATTTATTACATACCCGAGTATGTTACAAAAGAGGAAGAGGAATCACTTATGAAAAATGTCTATTCAGCACCAAAACCTAAATGGACCCAGCTGTCAAACAGACGTCTTCAGAACTGGGGTAGGCACTACATGATGTTTTATTTGGGACCACACTGTGTATTTGGGAGTTCTTAGGAAGTGGAGTAAAGTTAGGAATTTAGAAACAATGGGAATGATAATGTTTAAGTTTGTCCAAATGTCGACATACTATTTCCATATTGGAGATTTAGTTTGGAAAAGTCTCAGTTGAATGAAGTGACAACACCAATATATGGTTTGCACTCCTTGTATATTGAATTCTAGATGAAGTGTCCAGATACTTGTGTTAACAACAGTACAAAGCTTACAAGTGTCGTATGGTTGGGCTTGACTGCTCTCTGCTTCAAAACATGTACACCATCTACAGTGAGTTATTTTACTAAGGTTTTACAGCCGACCACAGGCTGCTTCCCCTATCAAAATCGTGTGTTATTCCCCCAAAATGGAGGGAAAATGAGATTGTCCAATTTCAATAGAAACATAGGAACCATCTTGGCTAAGCCAAGGGTTACAATTCGGTACAATTCGGTCTACCTACCAAAAAAAAAAAAAGATGTCTATGCATATACTATAGGAATTCTCTCTGTCCTGACTGCCCTTCCATCTTTTGTTTCAGGTGGATTACCACACCCCAAAGGGATGGTATCTGAAGGCTTGCCACCGGTAATATTAACTTCAACACAAAGATTGTGTGTGTTTGAATATATGTCTCGGTGGGGACAGACAGCGAGGAGGGTTTATAGTACTATTTCACTTAGCTTAAAGTGTGTTTGAATATATGTCTGGGTGGAGACAGACAGTGAGGATGGTTTATAGTACTATTTCACTTAGCTTAAAGAGTGTTTGTGTGTATGTCTGGGGGGGGACAGACAGCAAGGAGGGTTTATAGTTCTATTTCACTTAGCTTAAAGTATGTTTGTGTGTATGTCTGGGTGTGGACAGACAGCAAGGAGGGTTTATAGTACTATTTCCCTTGCTTCAAGTGTGTTTGAATATATGTCTGGGTGGAGACAGACAGCAAGGAGGGTTTATAGTACTACTTCACTTAGCTTAAAGTGTGTTCGTGTGTATGTCTGGGTGGGGACAGACAGCAAGGAAGGTTTATAGTCCTATTTCACTTGCTTAAAGTGTGATTGTGTGTATGTCTGGGTGGAGACAGACAGCAAGGAGGGTTTATAGTTCTATTTCACTTAGCTTAAAGTATGTTTGTGTGTATGTCTGGGTGGGGACAGACAGCGAGGAGGGGTTATAGTACTATTTCACTTGCTTAAAGTGTGATTGTGTGTATGTCTGGGTGGAGACAGACAGTGAGGATGGTTTATAGTACTATTTCACTTAGCTTAAAGGGTGTTTGTGTGTATGTCTGGGGGGGGACAGACAGCAAGGAGGGTTTATAGTTCTATTTCACTTAGCTTAAAGTATGTTTGTGTGTATGTCTGGGTGGGGACAGACAGCAAGGAAGGTTTATGTTACTATTTCACTTGCTTAAAGTGTGTTTGTGTGTATGTCTGGGTGGAGACAGACAGTGAGGAGGGTTTATAGTACTATTTCACTTGCTTTAAGTGTGTTTGTGTGTATGTCTTGGTGGGGACATACAGCGAGGAGGGTTTATAGTACTATTTCACTTGCTTAAAGTGTGTTTGTGTGTATGTCTTGGTGGGGACAGACAGCAAGGAGGGTTTATAGTACTATTTCACTTGCTTAAAGTGTGTTTGAATATATGTCTGGGTGGGGACAGACGGTGAGGAGGGTTTATAGTACTATTTCACTTGCTTAAAGTGTGTTTGAATATATGTCTGGGTGGGGACAGACAGCAAGGGGGGTTTATAGTACTATTTCACTTGCTTAAAGGGTGTTTGAATATATGTCTGGGTGGGGACAGACGGTGAGGAGGGTTTATAGTACTATTTCACTTGCTTTAAGTGTGTTTGTGTGTATGTCTTGGTGGGGACAGACAGCGAGGAGGGTTTATAGTACTATTTCACTTGCTTAAAGTGTGTTTGTGTGTATGTCTTGGTGGGGACAGACAGCAAGGAGGGTTTTTAGTACTATTTCACTTGCTTAAAGTGTGTTTGTGTGTATGTCTGGGCGGGGTCAGACAGCAAGGAGGGTTTATAGTACTATTTCACTTAACTTAAAGTATGTTTGTGTGTATGTCGGGGTGGGGACAGACAGCAAGGAGGGGTTATAGTACTATTTCACTTAGCTTAAAGAGTGTTTGTGTGTATGTCTGGGTGGGGAGAGACAGTGAGGAGGGTTTATAGTACTATGTCACTTAGCTTAAAGTGTGTTTGTGTGTATGTGTGGGTGGGGACAGACAGTGAGGAGGGTTTATAGTTCTATTTCACTTGCTTAAAGTGTGTTTGTGTGTATGTTTGGGTGGGGACAGACAGCAAGGAGGGTTTATAGTACTATTTCACTTGCTTTAAGTGTGTTTGAATATATGTCTGGGTGGAGACAGACAGCAAGGAGGGTTTGTAGTACTATTTCACTTAGCTTAAAGTGTGTTTGAGTGTATGTCTGGGTGGGGACAGACAGTGAGGGGGGTTTATAGTAATATTTCACTTAGCTTAAAGTGTGTTGGTGTGTATGTCTGGGTGGGGACAGACGGTGAGGAGGGTTTATAGTACTATTTCACTTGCTTAAAGTGTGTTTGTGTGTATGTTTGGGTGGGGACAGACAGCAAGGAGGGTTTATAGTTCTATTTCCCTTAGCTTAAAGTGTGTTTGTGTGTATGTCTGGGTGGGGACAGACGGCAAGGAAGGTTTATAGTACTTAAAAAATTAGAAAATTGTGTATTAAGACACTAGCATTCACGACCCAATACAAAACATTAAGTAACTTCTGGGTCACTGAACATAACGTGGTATTTTGACCATTTGTGATTAAACTAGCCGACATAACCTGGTATGTTTGACCATTTATGATTAAACTAGCCAACATAACCTAGTATGTTTGACCCACCCTTTGTGATTAAACTAGCCAACATAACCTGGTATGTTAGACCATTTGTGATTAAGCTAGCCGACATAACCAGGTATGTTTGACTACTTCTGGCAATCTCCTCCTACATTTTTCAACCGATCTCTTTGAAACTTAGTATACATTATAATCATGATATGAAGTTGTGTCTCCCTTTAAAGAATTTTGATTCAACAATTTTTGCAAAAGTTATTGCCCTTTGTTCATTTCAGTATTTGATTTTTGTCTGGCAATCTCCTTCTACATTTTTCAACGGATCTCTTTGAAACTTGGTATACATTATAATCATGATATGAAGTTATGTCTCCATTAAAAGAATTTTGATACGACGATTTTTGCAAAAGTTATTGCCCTTTGTTCATTTCAGTAATTGATTTTTTGTCCGGAGATTTTCTCCTACATTTTTTATAGCATGTCAGCTAACCACTCTTAGAATAATGCAGATCTTATTTCAATGTAAGAAAGTATATAACACTATATGGCATTCGATGGGTATATATTATACCACCCCGCGGTACTCTTGTTAACTACATAAGAATGCACACAAAATTTATCTTGAGCTTTAATCCTTATAAAAGCTGACAAAATTTCCAACATTGGTCCCAATATTTGTTTGTTTTTGTGGTTTCAGTGGCTGAAAGTTTACACGGAGAGGATAGCAGTGACAGGCGCTGGACTTTTTGAAGATAAAAGTTTAAATCATGTCTTAGTGAACGAATATAAGGCTGGACAAGGTATAATGGTAAGTCACTTTTATTATTTGAAAAATAAATATTACTGTAGACCAAATATGGACAAATTTGTTGAACTTGTTTCTTCAGAAAACAATTTTATTATTAGAAGTTTAGCTATGTTTATTTACAAAGCTAATGAAATGAGACATGGGATTTTGTTTAATGTGTAACTCATATTAATGTCTTGCATCCTTCGCTTCGCATTAATTTTTTGTTAAAGTCCATTGCATCCTGTGTGCATGCTTACTATTGTGAATGAATATGTTCCTTGTGAATGTGTGTTATTTTGCTGCTATAAATTTCATGTAAATGCCCTCAATATTTGAGAGCAAATATGTATTTATTATTGCCATCATGTCATTGTCATGTTTAAGCATTGTTGCCTATTGCAAATTAAATAAAGGTTTATTTATTATTCCGTCTGTTCGTATTGCTGAGTTATCTGCTCTTGTGAGCAGGTATTGATTGTTACTTCATTAGTTTGTGTGAAAACATTACGTCGTTTTCTCAATTTTTTTTTACGTTACTCTCACAAACAAATGACGTAACAATCAATCCCTGCTCACAAGAGCAGATAACTCTGCAATACGAAAAGATGGAATTAACTGTCGTTTGTCTTCAACTGTCTGTCTGCTTGCCGTGTTATATGTCATTATAATGACCCGTCAAATACTATAATGTGTATTATTATGATGACTTGTCAAATACTGTGATGACCTCTTACCTGTCAAATACTATAATGTGATGTTTTTATGAAGACTTTTGACCTTTCAAATACTGCGATGAGCTCTGAACTGTCAAAAGCTGTAATATAAAATCATTTTTATGACCTTTGACCTATCAAATACTGCAATGACCTGTGACTTTTTAAACAATTGGATTTTTTTAGGTCACCTGAGCTTTGCTCAAGTGACCTATTCCAATCGCTTTTCGTCCGTCATCGTCCGTCGTCCGTCGTCCGTCGTGCGTCGTGCGTAAACTTTTACATTTTCAACTTCTTCTCAAGAACCAGTGGATGGATTTTTTTCAAACTTGGTCAGAATCATCCTTGGTAGATGAGGCTTCAAAATTGTAAAA